GAGATTGATCATATTGAGGTAGCAGATAAAATGTAATTGTGTAACGTTCCATTGCTGTTCATCGGTCACATGTTACGAACGTTTGTGTGTTTCTGTTGGTGACCAGTAGCTAGTAGTGAACAATATATTTCCTTGAATGGGTTAAACAATGTGTGTAATGAGAATCATCGATCTTGCACTCGGGAGCCTGTGTTTGGTTGTTCCATACGAAATACGAAGGAAACAACAAAGGACACTATCGAGTCTAGATCTCGTGTTTGGGAGGTGATCACCTCCCCCCTCCTGTGTTTCAATGGGTATTTCCATAAAGTTATTTTTGATCACTGTGAACTGGAAGATGGAAGTTTTATCCATGATTTACCTGTAAGATCCCTTTTCAATATGGATTTGTGGTGCAAGACATTTTGATAACCCTTGCAAGACAGTTTCCTCCGTTGATTGGAACAGCTACTAACACACTCTTTAGAGGACGATACATGGTTTTGAACCCAGGATTATTAGAATACCTCAGCCTCATATCTTAGATGTACATATGTAGACAAAGGTCAAGTTAGCAACGAATGAGTTTCAATCTTCCAATTAAGTTTGATTGTAGAGTTTAAGTTTGCCAGATGCTTGTTTCCTTTAATTACGTAACCAGACTTAAATCTAGACTTGACTCTGAGATAACTTGGCATCAATCATCAACAACATTCATCTTCATGATTGTTCTCGTCAGAGCAATTCAGAATATGACATTGTAAGATTGTTTTAACCATAACAATTTAAACTTCTTTGTTCAAAGCTTTCAACATACCTTTCAGCTTACCAGATGAGTAATTACCAACTTAACATCAATGGGCCTCACTTCCCAGCGGGAGCACATGTGGCTCATTACAGTCTAGCAAACACAACTCTGATTGGCCAGGAAGTACAACATCGATTCTGGGAAAAGCACTGGGGAGAGCAGTTTCCAGCCCCACCTCCACTTTACATGTGGTGCCAGCCAGGAAGATGTTTACATAGTTACCCATATGGCTTGCCTCCCACCTTCCGTCCTGTTTATGCACAGACTGGCTCTGACCAATCAGAGCATCCAGTGTTGTTACCAACACCTAGACAGGAAAAGAGCAGTGATGCTCCAGACAAGACTTTTACAGCTAAATCAGACAATGCTTTGGTAGGAACTCTTCAGAAAACTAAAACATTGACAAGAAACACAATGACAACATCCAAGCTAACACAAGTTTTCAATTCTGTGGGCCATAAGGTCAGTGTCCCAATTCTTTTTATGTTCCCCGTATTTCTACAAGTCGTATCAGGATAATTTTTTTCCTGACATGTACCTTGTTATCAACGAACAAGAATCTGATCAATTTACTAGAATGGTCACATGGCTTAGTTTGTGAAACTTGTATTTACTCTGAAGATCACCAGTTGCTTTGCATGAGATACTTGCTCATCACAGTTTAACCACAGCAGTCCATCAGGTTTTTCCCTCTGCTTGATAGTAAGTATCTATTATCCAGATTTACTTTGGGCAAAGAGAGGAGAAATGATATCTCTCCTCAAAACACAATAATGATACCAGCCAGGACCAAACCTTTAACTTCTTGATGCCAACCCCAGATTCCAAGTTACACGATGCCTTCTTGCAAGAGTACAATTTCCTTGTTGTCACTTATAGGAATCTCAACACAAATTAATGTCACTGCATACCCCTTATCTACTTAATGTGATCAACTCTTAGCTTCTCCTGGCAATTCCAATTTGATATCTTGCAAGCTGGTAATGAGAACAAACAAACGTATCTGCTAAAGGGTGTTCTTTGAGATAAGACCAAATTCTCCTGTGTAAGTTAAAAGGAGATGTATGGCAGTCAGAAGGAAGATTTACTGTTTGAATATTGGGAGTCAAAGAACTATGTAAACAATTTCATTGAAAGTCTGTTTGTATAATGATATCATATATGATGTATACTGATATTGTAATTATTTTCCTTAATCCAAAATGCAGGCTTTGGACCCAGTGACTGAAGATCTTAACTGGAATATCTTCAGCTCAGATCTGGCTGATGGAATTGTTGTCAGCATATTGGATAGTTTCATCTCTGAGCTTCCTGTGCTTGATATAACCATGGTACAGTCTGTATTGCTGGAAATTGACAAACATTTATCCCAAGATGAAGCTCAAAGTCAGAATAGTTCAATCAAAAAATTGGATTACTTTAGTGACATTGAAAGTTTGCCCTGCACAAAACAAACTTGCAGTGATGAAATAAGCAGCGAGGAGGCAAGGGGATCAGGTGAAACGACTGGAAATTCAGACAAGTTAGAAAACTGTACAACTCTATCTGAAGCACATGGTTTTTCAAATATCTGTGGAGAGGAAGGTAATTCTTCCCAAGGCTTTCACACAATTGGAAAGACATTCCAGGAGGAAGAAGACAGCTGTTCTGATGTGACCATTGTCAATCCAGACACATCAAACACAAATGAAATTGAAACATTAGGTATTGATAGCAATTTAACAGATGGACAAACAAAGCAGATAGCTTGTGACAATGACTTCAAGGAAGAACAGACTTAGAAATTCGTAAAGCTTAATTTCTTGCAAGTAATCATCATACTGACTGCTAATGAGCGAGACAATGCAATCACATGTAACCGTTAAACAGTCCTTAGATAAATTCCTGTAAAATAATGAAATTATTTCAAAGAACTAAATGCAAACAATATTTAGAGATCATATAAGCTTGATTAAAAGTGATTTTCTGTGATCTCTTATGCACATATATAGGCACAGTTAATTCAGCCAAATGACAAAAAAATTATCAGAAATGGTTTAAGAACAGGATCATGCCAAAAAATCAATAATAAAATAAAGAATAAAAAAAAAAGTCAAGCAAACCAAACTAAAATTAAAAATTAGTTGCATTACAAAGGTACATTGATATATGCATCAGCCACTTAACTTTGTGAGAAGGGTTTCTCATGTCCATGACAACCCCATGAATGAACAACTAGGAACCATTACCCGACTTCAGTTGTTAGATTACTCACCTCGAGTCCTACAGGCTATAAAATCACGGCAAAATAGATCAGCTTTTTTTCACATCACAAGCTTGTAGCATTCAACAAACTTGAAAATCCCCATTTGATTCTATGATGTTGTTGCTATGGTTTTTGAAACAACAATCACTGTCCTCAACGGCAGTCCATTACCTCAAGTTAATGACTGACTTCAAATCTCATGTTCTGGCAATGACTGCAGTAAGTAATCCTTAAATACAACTATTATTGAGAGTGGAACATCAGGAAAGATAGGTGCTTGATCATGTTGTTAGAAAGTAAGTTACCACTTTGCAAACCACCCAGTTGTGATGAGTCACTTGTGAAAAAAAAAGTTCTACTACAACTTCACAGTCAAGTTGGGGGGATAACGGCAAATGAGCAACTGTCAGACAATATCTTTTCTCAAAGTCAAACTTGTCACTTCCACAATAGAGCCCTTCCATGGTCTTGTCTTCAGAGCCATTGAGCTTTTTGCCATTGCCACAAATCAACGAACACCAGAGGCTAATCACGTTTCTCAACGCCTTGTTGGTTGGTTAATGCCAAACTAGTATGTGGCTACACCAGTGTGAACTTTTTGTCATTGGAAGGGGTTCAGAGTTAACCTTGGATATACTCAATCCCCTTAAGATGTAAAGCAATTAAATAAATAAGAAAAACAATAAAACTTTACTACTGCCTTTAAACACTGCATGTTAACTTTATTACAAGATTCTTTAACAAAACCAAAAAACCTATTCTGTACAAAAGCTAAAAAGGATCCTAGGTTACACAATTTAATCATGAGCAAGGTCATTTTATGCTTGTCCTCCTCCTCTTGGAGTCCCGCCCTGCCTGCCACGGGGCATTTGTGTCCCACGACCACGATGAGCACCAGGACCTAATAAATAGGCAAGATGGATATATCAGTATACAAAACCAGAAAGCTGAAGGTCATGGAGGTTCACAATTCAAAAATGGACTAGCACACTAGCATTGACTATTTTTTGTCTCTGTAAGTTTCCATGAGATCTACTGGCATTCCTTTACAGCTTTGAATGCCTTCAGTTTGGGAGCAAAACAAGATCCAAACATCTCACCTCTCACAGGATCCCTTCTTAGACGACGAACTCTTCCTGATGCTGAAGTACCTTCAAATTACATTTACATTTCTTTATTACCCACTTATTGGAATAGTTAACATGATCTTATTAAGGGTAGAAATAGCAATAAGACTTCTGTAATTATTATTAGTAATAGGGTGGGAATGAATTGCTGGATTGTGAACTCTAATTTGAGAAAACTCTCATTGAGTAAGAAGGTCACTCAGGAATAGACAACAACACAACATGACTTAACTCTATAACTCTCAAGATCTAATACTAAGTAATTCTCCTTACTGTCTGCTAGACAATTCTTAGTGACATGAGTTTGGAGAATTTAGCGTTACATCAACAAACAAGCCCCTAAGTGGTATCTTTCTTTGTTTCCATCACTTATCACTTATCTGTTTGATATTGTATTAAAATTGTAAGGAGAAATACTGTCTTGGTCACTCCTGAGAGTCTAATACCCCATTCACACTTTAGCTTAAACAGGTTTAAAAGCTGTTTTTTTTTTAACATGATTGAATATTTTTTCTTCATAGTAGTGAAATGATGTTTATCAGCTTCAGATGTACCACATTGAGCATACAAGTTAGCCACTACCTGAATCCTACAGAAAATTCGATTTTTCAGTTCTCTGTTTCTGATTTTCATTCAGTTAAATCTGGTTTAACCAAACATGTTTTCCTGGTGTGAATGGGTTACAAGGGTTAAGTATTACAAAAACAATGGAAAACTGCCACAAGTCTCCTACCTCTTTGAGTTTGGGTACCTCCCCTTGTAGTGGACCAAGTAGATGTTGTGGCTGGCCTCCTTAACTGCACAACTGAACCTCTGCCCCTACTTAGATCTGAAAACAAACACAACACTTGATTGTTTACTTCATTCAACATAACACTGATTTTTGAATAACAAACAGTAATTGCTGATAGCAAGACTATACATCCAAATCTGATCCACAGTAACACTGGGCACAAGATCAAGTTTGCTCTCAAGGATGAGCAAGAGAGTTTTGGAACAACTAACTTGAATTTTTAACTTCAGCTCAAAATGAACCCTTTTGGAACAACTAACTTGAATTTTTAACTTCAGCTCAAAATGAACCCTTGCAAAAAATGCAGACAACATGTGAAAAATGTTTAATTTTGCAGTTTGGCACTTTTAAGTGCAACATTTGTGCTACTTCTTAGACCCTTCATCTCATTTACATCAATCAAGAACAAACTATACCCCTTGTTGCTTCTTACTGTATTAACCTTACCTTGTCTAGCTTTAGCTGCAGATCCCCCTGTTGTTGAGGCAGACTGAGCACTAGTCCTAGAAGGTTCTCCTGCAATAAGAAAATTAAACTTGGGATGTAAATGAAAGCTGTGATGGGAAAGGGGGATCCAGTCCTCAGCAGAATTGTCCATAGAAAAAAACTGATTCAATTAAATTAAGTTTAATATATGTAATACTATGATTTCAAGTGCAATTTGGTGTTAATAAGCACTAGTAAAATTTTCAAAGACAACAGAGTTGCATGAGCCTGTAGGAGGAGTGCAATTTGTAGTCTTTGAAAAATTTACAAATGCTCATTTACAACAAATTGCAAGAGAAATAATGTTGTTACTTGTGAATAACTTACATGAAAAAAGCATTACAGGAAGTCATGATAAACAAAAATTTGATATTGGATGCATGCTATTTGTAATTTGCACTCATATTACAACTTTACACTTGTGAAAAATGCACTCATTTTCACCCAGTTGGATGTGCATAATTTTATCATGTGTATTAAAAATGATGAAACTAACTAGACAAGTGGTATACCTAAGGTTAGCATGAGATTTAGTTTTACACTTAACGTCAGGGTTCAGAAATGAATAGTTAAAAAGTTTTGTGGAAAAATGGCTACCTAGCTGTTCCCAGTTCATTTTCTCAGAAAAATATATCATGCCTTAAGATCTAGCAATCTCTGCAGTCTGCACTAAAACAGTAAGAATGGCTTGATATTTATCTGAAATTTTAATTGTCAAAAGGGTTTTTTTCTAGAATTGTATTTTGCTTCATCCCTTACCTGAAATACTTGGCTGGGAAATGTCTTCTGATGCAAATTCTTGTGATTCTTTCATTTCTAACTCACTAGTAAAAATAATAATACTTATCAGTAATCTACTGTTCCACTTTGGACATACAAAATAGTTATCTTAAGTTTAAAGTATAAAGGCCAGGCCACTGAAGCCCTGTTTTCAAGTGGAGAGAGATACCCATGAGTGACAATAGATTTGAAAAATCATCCATAACTACAACATCCCTCAAGCTACCAACCTTCCTTTTCCTACTGCTTCTTGTTCTTCAGCTTCCTCTCCTTCTTTCAGTGCCTCCACATCTTCCAACAGCTCCACCACTTCTGTGTCAAGAACCTCAGGATGAGCTTGAGAAACAGGTACATTCTGCTCAGATGATTCCTCCGATGCCTCCGTAACAGGTGTGACCATGATGGCAGGGACAGTGGCAATACTGCCAGCTTCTGTCTCACTCTCCAAACTTTCTAATGAGAGCTGCCTTGTGTCTGAGCTAGTGCTTGGGATTCGTTGGTTGGACTGGCTGGCTGTACTTGCTTCCACTGCTTCTGGTAAGCCTAAAATAAAAGCAAGAGTGAACAAAACTATTCTTTTACTGAAATACAGATTCAACTTATTCTCATTCCCTAAACCCTTCCTTCCTTCTTCTCTAACACCTTTGCTTCTCTTAATCTCTTGATTATTTACTGTTCCAGATAATATTTATAAATCTAACCACTAGCTTTAGCACATTTTTTAAAAAATTGATAATAGTGAATTTACTGACCCATGTAAGTAAAGACAACTACCTCTAACATATATAAATGTTTGTTTTCATCAACTGATTTCGGAATAAGGTTAAACAAGAGGTTAAATGTTAATCAATTCCAAGACTTTATGGGTTCATGAAAAGTAAGAAGGCAAAATACCTAACAGCATTTACAAACTAAATGGTCAAAATGCTCTTACATGCATGTCCATGCATTCTTATCTAACTGTGATGGAAAGTGGGCAGAAGTTCAGACAAACATTTTGAATGTAAGATTGAGAGAGAAAAACAATAAAATGACCATGATAATGATGTCCTGGTAAGTGGAGCTCAGCTCTGCTGGAAATATTTGACTACTATAAGGGAGTTCAACATGGAATTTTCATTTCATTCCAGCACCCATGATCAAAACTACCCTACTTACCATATTTACAACTGACTGATCTACCTGTGACATTAATTCTACCTCGTCTTCTTTTTGATTGATTTAGTAACAGAGCAACTTGTATCTTTCTTGCAAATCTATGTCTGACTATCTTCAAAACTGTTTCCTTCTTTTCCTTCCTGAATATCTTAATGTCTTCCTGACAACTTGTGCAGCTTTTTTTCTCTCTTTTCCTCCTCACTGCCCTACCTGTAGGCACTACAAAGGAAGGTCTCTCATGAGAAGCTTCATCTGAGCCCCCCATAAGGTCCACTTGTGTGTCATCTACACGGAGCCCTTAAAGAAAAAAAGCAAAAATTGATTTGGAAAGACAATATTACAACTTACTTTCTGCAGAAAAAAAAGAGACAAAAACAAAAAAATGAAAATGAAAAAACTTGGCAGTCATTTATTGTATGAATCTGTAAAAAACATATGAACTCAGAGGCTATATGCCCATTTGTGATTCTGTTTCATGCTGGTATCAGTCAGTTACACATTATCACAATGACCACCGTACACAGTTGAGTAGCAGCAGCAAATAAAACAGATTTAAATTCTCCTATTTTGTTCCATGATTTGCATGGCAGCATAAAAAAACCTTTCCTTGTTGTTTTTAGGGCAATAAACAAACTCAGGTTTTAATGTAAAATTGCTTTTTAATCTTGCTTTGTTCTTCAGTTAACCAAAAGAATGCAAACCACTCACCTTCTTCTGACATGCCAAGTTCCAAAACACCTACAGATGACATAGAGCTCTCTCCAGGTGCAGCAAATGAGAATGATGAACGATTTATTTGTGGAGAGCTAAAGACAAAAAAGGATTTTCTTCAGCTAAAGAAACAGTCACACAATTTTACAAATCTCCTCTTAACTCATCAGACAAGAGTATTATTTGATGTTAGCACAGACAGATATTCCAGTACTGTAGCAGTTTTTCATTTTTACATCTCTAAGGAACCCCAAAGAAAAGGCTTTGTACTGCACAATCTCAAGAAATTCCTGTTCTTTCCTTCAAAAAAAATAATAAAAGGCCTCAAACAACTCCTTGCTACTGAACTAATCTGACTGAACATCTTGTTTAAGATTGCCAATACAAATTCGTAGCGAGGAAAAATTTCAGTTCAAGTGTCAGTATGTTTGTCCAGGAATAGGGGTCCACAGTATAAAGGGCAGCATTGTTGCACATGGTTTTTCTGATTCTCAAAGTTGCTGGTGAACAAGTCGAAAGATTAATTGGTCATATATATTTGCAGATATGGCTACCAAGTGGAATGCAGGTTCTTTGCTTGGTATGACATTACAATACTAAGGGAAGAGGTGTTGCACAAAAACTACTCTGCACTGACACAGAACTTACCTTATGGCCTCAGCAAAACCATCAGTTCTCTTTGGCACATACAGTGTAGGGGTGCTGGGCACCATACAGTCTTCTTCTTCATTAAATGGACCTGGAGCTGGTTGGCCCTGAATAACAATAATTATGCAATTTAAGATACAGGTTTAATGGGGGCTTCATTCATTTGTTACCAAGAGAGTTAATATACTACCATGCCTTCAGTCTACCAAAAATGTCAATGGCCACTCTTAATATTGCAACAATCTAACCAACTGCAAGCAAAGTTCAAAGGACACTCTTTCGCACTTCAGTGGTCTCTTCAGTTCTTAACTCAAGTTCAAGGGATGGAAATGGCATGAAAAAGTTGAAGAAGTTGATATGTAATGCCTCCTACACTGTGCTTCAAAAGTTTGAGAAAATCTTGTATCATCTAAAGATAATTTCATTTGCTTGTCTTCCATTTGCACGCAACTTAATCAATTTTGAGAAAGAGAAATCTGGTATACACAGATTTCTTTTAACAGACATTTACAAATGAACAGGTATAGTAATGGCACTAACTTTGTACTCACTTATAACCTTATGCAGCCAGCTACGGTTTTAATGATGCGCTCATTGCTTCTTGAGCAGTGTCAATTAATACTAGTGTAAGCTTCCAAGTAGGAAAAAAAATTTCATGTCTCACCTGAGGAAATGAAAACGGTGGCAAATGGGACCTGGCAGACAGGAGACGTTGTGTAATTGTAACTGATGTTGTTGGTGTAACAGATCTCTGTGCCCCTTCCAATAACTGACTATCAACAGCAGCTCCTGTTGTAAGCTGCTCGGTTGTGGAAATCTCCCTTTCTACATTTTCCTCAGAAGTCTCAGCTTGTTCAATCTCATTCTGATCCTGTATTTCTTCAGCAACATCTTCTTCTGTTGAAAATGAAATCATCAGTAGTTAGGGAGATAAAACAGACAATTAAATAGAAACAGACAGACCAAACATTCACAAAATGGGACCATGTTAAGACACATTTTTTTTCCCATGGACCAAAAATTGGGCATGCCAAAAATTACCGTAGTTATTTGGTTATAAGGCGCACCGTTTTTTCAAGAAATTCCTAATTTCTACTAAAAATTACCGCCAAAGTTTGGGTGTGTCTTATAGGCGAATATTTTCCCGAAACAATTTTTTTTTATTTCAAGCAAATAAAATGACACACACACATTGACTTTTATGAAATCAATATGGTGGTTCTGAATGCTTAGTAATTTGATACGTCACAAAACGAAATGAAAATAAACAAGTGAAGAGGTAAATACCTTCTTCATCCTTTCAGCCTTTTTAGTGCACTGAGACCTGCATTCTCGGCGGTACATCTTGTTTAATCAAGGCTTTTGTTTGTGTGTGTGGTCGCGTGTGCGACGATTCTGCTTTTGTTGATTAACGGTAAACTAACATCAATACGCGACTTTTTCACTTTTTTGTAAGTTTATGAAAGAATTTACAATAAACTTGACCGATCTTTACTCCCCAAACAACGGTGCGCCTTATAACCAAGTTTTCGCGATTTTCTCAGTTTGAAAACATGCAATAATGAAGTTGCCGAATTGGGGGTGCGTCTTATAGCTGAGTGCGCCTTATAACTGAATAACTACGGTAATTGTGAATAACCCAAAAAACTAACCTCCTACTATCTCTCCAGCATCCTCTTCTCCCATCTGCGTTTCTTCGATTGCTGCTGCTTCCCGAGCATTTTCATCCATGTCATCTTCATCATCATCGATCACTTCCACCACCTCTTGCTTTGGATCATCCTCTTCATTTTCGTCCATATCTTCATCATCTTCATCAACAACCTCTCCTTCCATGTACTCTGCTTCTTCATCCTCACCTTCATCATCTTCCTCCATCTCACCCACATCTCCCTCAGCATAATCCTCGTCCTGCTCTACATAATCTTCATCATCCTCCTCCTCTTCTCCTTCATCAACATTCTCTTCCTCAACATCTTCATCTTCATCACTTTCAATCAAAACTACCTCTGGTTCTATGGTTGTAGCTTGAATCACCTCTTGTCTTCCAGAATCTTGTGTCTCCTGGTCTTCTTCCTCCTCACCCTCTTCCCCATCATAACCATCAAAATCAAACTCTTCCTTTCCTTCTTCCTCTTCTTCAAGCTGATCATCACCTGTGCCATCTGCAGCTGTGTCTTCAAATGCTTCTTGTGATGTTCCAACTTCATCTTCCACTTGAAGCTTGAGTTTGAATGTATAACACAATTAATTTATGGTGGCCTACAGCTTTTTTTTTTTAGGTTACAAGTTACCTTCAGGGCTCAAATTGTTGTATGTTGGTTTTTCATTATAGAACACAGATAAAAGTATAACCAAACAAACAAAACTATTGAAAAAGAAGAATTACTTGCTGCTTTAAGTTCTTTAAAATTCAGACAATCATTAAGGTGTTAGGTAACCTTAGGGAACTCTAATGTATAATATGCAACCTAAGTTGATTCCCCTGATCGTGGTAACTTTTAAAGTACCTGCACTGCTACCAAAAATAGTTACCAATTAAAAATAGTTAATATCATTGGTAGCAATAGCAGTTTTTGTATGCTACAACACAACTGACAAGAAACTGCTAAATTTAGACTAAGTAGCAAAAAAAACTGTTAAAAGAATAAATAGTATTTCCTACAAAGTTTACCAAGGTAAGAAGAAGAGACGTTGTCCAAGTACAAAGGTAGTTATAATTTTGACTGGAATGACTGATTGAATCTACAGCTGACAGCAAAAAACAAATGAGTTTTCAATCCTAAACAAACCTCTACAGTCCTGATTTTCTTTGGCAGAGGTTCATCTTCTGTACTTGTACCTTCCACGACTTCAGTTGCACTTCTGTTACATAGAAAATCACTCATTAAGTGTGGAAATCACCCACTCAGACAATTATTTACTCTTTACACCCTAAAACTGGTATGTAAAATTATTCTCCATATTGTTCTTTAAACATTCTCTAAGAAGCTGATTAGGAAAAATTGTTTGACAATCAAGAGCTTATTTAGTTTGCGATCATTTCCTTTATTCTCATGACCTTAATGTTTGATTCAGGGTTGATATTGTTAGGAGAAATTAGATGCTAGTATCTTAGGAGCCAAATGGTTAAGTTTCTTTACTTGGATAGTTCTCTCAACTAACTGATTATAAGTGTCTTACTCATTAAAAGAATAAAAAAAATTATAACAAATTAAATACTCATTAAATGGGATTTCTCACCCAGGGTTATTTTGAAGATGTTCAAACAACATTGAGTATGTTGCAATTATACCTGTCAGTAACTTGAGATTCATCTCTCTGTCTCTTTCCTGATACCACAGCTGTAGATGGAGTAGGCTGCAGCTGTTCACTGGCTGTCACTTCAGTGGATGACACCTCAGACTCTCCTCTAAAGAGTTCAATTTCTCAGATTACAATTTGAATCAGCAAATTAAAAATGTTTGTAACTAATGTTTATGAATACGACCTACAAAGAACTGGTGGGGGGGGGGATCCAAAAGCTCTTGGATCCAGAAGCAGTGTGATGAAAACAATAATCTTTTTAGGCTGCCAATTTTTGCTAACTCTTGTCCTACATAAATGGACAAACTATTTGGAGTAATTATTAAGCCTTAGGATAACATTCAAAAGAAGTTACAAATGCAAGGCTGACTTTAGAACAGAACAAGTAAAACACCACTAATCTTAACTACATAAATGTAACAAAAAAGATCTAAAATAACAAAACAACTAATTCTCAATAAATTCAGAAATTATTTCAGTACAAGTAGGGTGTTCAAGGCATTCACTTATTAACCCTTTACACCCTAACATCAGCATGCAAATGCTCTATACTGTTCTTCAAACATTTCCTATGGCACTGACACTCACTTCTCATGAGCCTAGTGTTTGATTCAGCAATGATACCTTAGTGAGAAAATAGATGCTATATTTAGTCACCCTCAGAGTTCAAAGGGTCAAACAGCAGTATAAGCAAGCGTTTATTCAATGCCCCCATCTCCCCCTTGCCTTGTTTAAAAACATTCTACAGGTACTATCACGCCACTGTTTTCTAACTGAACACCACTTACTGAGAAGGCTGTTGCTGCTGCACTTCTACAGTACTGGTGATTGGACGAACGGACACTGTGGTTGGTACAGAGGTTGACACACTGCTTGCTGTTGAAATTGCCGTTCCTGTCACCCTTATGGTTCCAGCAACACTTACAGCCTCTGAGGGGGTGGAAGTGACTGTTGGTAAAACAGTTGCAGTGGGGGTGGGTGTGCTTTGTGTTGGTGCAACTGCTATAGGCCGCACACTAGCTTTAGGTCCAGAGCGTTTAATTGTTGTGGGGGTGGTGGTTGGTTTTATTGTTGCTGTTGGTGGCACTAGAGATATTGGTGGTGCTGATGTAACAGTGATACTTGACTGTGTTTCTGCTGTACAAAAACCAATGAAATAGAGTTTCACTATCAAGCTTTGAATCTTTAACAACTCTTCTGTCAATTCAATGTTAATAATACTTCATGAGAAGTTATCAGGGGTTGTCAGATTAAGAGTTACAGGAATTAAGACACAAGAACCAATGCCAAAGAATGGCTCACTATTTCTTTCAACAAGGAGTTTATCTGATCAATTAAGAGCGGCAAGAATGTAATTATTATCAAATGTGGGTCTCTGAAGCACTGAAAACTGATATAATTGCCTCATTTAGGAACTAACAGAGATTAACCATGGACACTATGTTGGAATTTGTTAAACAACAAAGAGTTTCTTTTAATTTAGGAGTGATACTGTAAGGAGAAATAAGATGCCAGTCACTCTTAGCCGTTAGAGGGTGCAAAGACTCTAAATGGTCCTTTCAGGCTGCTACTGACAAAGGCCTAACATTCAAAATGTCAGCCTTTAAACTCTTCACGGTGGCTAATTAACATTTTTAACTCAGTTGATAACACTAAATTACCCTGTCATACTCTCCCAGTGACACAGCACTACAGTTTCTTTAGAAACTTACCCCCTTTAAGCCACTGAGATGGTTCCGAACAAAGTACATGTGTGTTAATAAAATAGAAATTACCTTCTGGAAACTGAACTAACCTTGAGTTGTTGTAGTCTCTGCTCCAGTAACTTCTCCTGAGGATGGTCTTGAAATGGAACTTGATGTATTGACTGCAAAAGACTTTATTTTCATCTGCTGTTTCTGTATCAGTGCTTGATACTGTTGCAGCTTCTGTTGAAGTTTTTCCACATCACTGTCGCAGTACAACCAAGAAAAGAATTGACATGTTAAAATATACTTTTCACTTCATTATTCACAGATTCAACAAATAATGGATCATTTTCTGTGTTCAAGCAGCAATTAAGCCCACTGCATCATCACTCTTATCATCATTAACATTTTACAGGCCTGAGGGTAACAGAGTAAACCAAAAACAATTTAGTTGTCAGTATATATTAGTATCATGGAAAATACTCTGATATCACAGACTGTTACAATAGGGTTCTAGGCTTAACTATATTCAAAGCAACCAAAAGGCAACCTAAAATTATGACATGATTGTCAGTAAGAAAATGCTGTCCACAAAAAAGGGAAAACCTTAAGGCAACATAATAGCAGGATTTAGAAAACGGCAACTTACACTTTTTCTTTCTGCCTGTACTCCTCTATTTGTTTCTTCATTTCTTCAGCTGCCTTCTCCTTTGCGTCATTAGCTGTTTTATAATCTTGTAGCTCTTTCTCCAACCTCATTACTTTCCCTTCACATTGTGAGCTCAAGACTTTCATTCTCATCTCAGATTCAGTCAATTGGTCGGTTACTGCCTCCTTCTCATCACTCAGTGACTTGTGTTTCTTCTTAAATTCTTCATTTTCTGCACTCAGTCTGTCCTTAGTAGCTGATGACAATCAGAAAGAAATTGCAAGATATCTATATGTGTTTCAACAACTCCTAAATACCCTTCTAGAAGCCACAGGAGAACATTTATATTGAGTTGCTGCTTCCAGTATGTTCTATACACCTTTAAAGTACACTACTGTTTCTTTCGTGGTTTCCTGTTTATGTCGATCATTTCAGTTTACCAATCATGAAATATGCAGCTTAATAAATATCCAACACTACTCACCTCCACTTAAACTACTTATCAAAATGGCTTTAAATGGCTGCATCTGCTCAATTAAATGGCTGCATCTTTTTTTTTTTTTTTTTATACAGAGGTTGGAAATAATCTTATTTAATCATTCTCCTTCTACATTAGTTACTTCTTAATGAAAACCTTGACATCACTTCAAACTCATTCCTTACCTGAAAGCTGCTGCAGCCTTTCTCTGGCTTGTATTAGCACTTTCCTGTTCTTATCCTCTTTCTCCTTCAGGGATGTCTACAGTAAGTATGGAAAACGAGGCAGCATTAGTCTCTTGTTGGTTTGATTTTATCACGAACTTAACTGTTCAAAGTAGTCTTATCCAAACTGCTGTGCTCTACGGACTTCATTCATTAACCTCAAACTGCCTTAAGTGACCAAAATAACATTTCCTCTTTTCAACATCAATACAAAATTGAATAGACTAGCAATGGGAATAAAGAAAAATATCAATAAGGGAGTACAGGTTGATCTGATACCAAATTCTCTATAATAACATCATAAGAATTGTACTGCAGATAGTAAAGAGAATTACTTATGAGATCTTGGGAGTAAATGGATGCTACAATAATTCTCATTAACATTGTGTTGTTAAATTGTGCTGAGATGAAAGGCCATTTGAAAATTTTGCAATCATGTTTCAAATCTTCACACATCTCTTTTACCATTTTGAAGTAGCGAGTCAAAACTAATATTCTCCACACTGTTCTCTCTATACTTTCAAGGGTAAAAATGAGGAGAATCTGTTTGACAATCAGGAGCTTCCTGAATTGATGATCCCTCCCATTACTCTCATGACCTTTACAATTGATTCAAGAGTGATTATGTAGAGAGAAATTAGATGCCAGTCACTTTCAAGAGTTTACTAACCTTATTCTGCTCATCCAACTCTTTCAGCTTTTTGACCTCATCCATTGCAGTCTTCAACTGTTCTGTTAACTCTTTCACCTTGTTCTCTTCTGATGCCAGATCAGCAGTACCACTAGATGCATCACCTGGTGATACTCCTTCTGCTGTGGCCTGCCCAGAGTCTTCAAATTTCTTTTTCAGTTCCTCCATTTCCTTAGTTTGTTCCTCATGTTGAGTCTTGTAATGACGAGCTATCTTTTTAAGTTTTTTTACTTCCTCATCAAAGTTCTTCACCTGTTCTGTTAGCTCTTTGATCTTGTTCTCCTGTGCAGCAACATCAACATTTTCTGCAGCTGTCACCCCAGAAGATGCAGCTTCTGCTGTTCCGTTAGCTGTCGACTGCCCAGCCTCATTGGTCTTTTTCTTGAGCTCTTCCATCTCCTTTGTTTGCTCATCAACTTGGGTCTTGTAACGACGAGCTATTCGTTTCACCTTTAGCAACCAAACATAATCCATCAGGATAAAAAATTTTCAGATACAAATGTCCTGTCACCTCTCACATATTTTGATTGCATCAATCCTTTATACCATTTGCTAATAGGCTGATCAATTCAAAGCTTCAACATCCCCCTCCTCATGGAGTCCACAAGCATTAGACTGTCATCCATGCCCTAGAGGTGAGGCATTTGAAACTTGCCTAGGTGGGGTGGGGAATTTGAAGGGCTTAAAAAAAACAATTTCAAATTCAAGGATACTGAGATACTGCCATCCAATACTCTACCATGGAAATACAAAAGGTTTCTATGGTGCTCTAGCCCATAATCTAAGCTCACCATGGCCAGTGATCAAATGTGTTTGGGCAAATTCTAACCTGCAGCAGGGTTGCGTTCTTTTCATTGACTTCTTTTGTCTTGGCTTCTACAGATGCCTTTAGTAATTCTACTTCCTGCTGCATTTTAGATAGTTCTTTCTGATGTTCTTCTTTCAAACTTCCCAGCTGATCAGTTGATTTTTGTGACATTGCCTGAAATAGTATTTCTAACAATAAGCATTGCACATATGTGAAGATAACACATTCAGATTAATGTGAACTTATCTCCTGACCAAAACATATGGGACAATCCCTTCTCACCTTTCCAACTATTCCTTTTTTTTTCTGATCAACATGAAACTTCTCCCTATTATATCCTTACATAATCCAGCAAACAGCTAATGAGGATATTCAAACTTATCAGGTAGAAGGTTTCCTCTTGATCTAACACCAAATTCTTATAACTAATTTTAAAAATATGTGTAGCAGCTAGAGGGGAGAATTACCAATCAGATCTTGGGAGTTAAAGGGTTAAACAAAAGAAAACTTAGGTGAAATTATTCTTCATTAGATCCAGAGTTTGTGATTTACTTCTGTTGTCTTGTTTACCCAAAAAATTATTTGAACTAATCTAGTAAGGATTGTGAATTTTGAAATACTTGACTACATCTCCTGTTTCCCTTTACAATTCTTTCATGCTCTAGCCGTATCTAGTGCCTTTCACAACAGAATGGAGCAAAGTCAAGGCTTCCCTATTTGTTAACTATATGTCATGGGTACAGAATCAAAATGTTTTGATCTGAACAGGGCATAACAATCTAATTGCTTTTAAATTTAGGCATAAATAAGCTCTTAACCCTTTAACTCAATGATCTGCTTGGTAATTCCTCCCTCTAGCTTATACACATTTCGTTGTAAATCAGTTAAGAGAATTAGGGGTTACATCAAGATAACAACTCCTACGCTATAAGTTTGAGTATTCTCATTATCTGCTTCCTGGATATTGTATGGATATCATAGGAAGAAGTTACATTCTGATCAATTCTGTGAGTTAAAGAGTTAAACTAGAGACTGATTGATTGTTAATTCTCCCCTCCAGCTGATACACATTTCCTTGTAAATTAGTTACAAGAATTTGGTGTTACATCAAGATGACAACTTCTACCCAAAAAGTTGGAGTATTCTCATCACCTGTTTCCTGGATAACGTATGAATATAATAGTTAGAAGTTACATGCTAATCACTTTTGGGAGTTTGAGGATTTAAACCATAAATGATCCTTTGAAACAAAAAAGATATCATACTTGGCACTGATAGTACAGAAAGTGGAACTTTACCCTCAATCCTGCTAACTCTCCTTGTGTTTTTGACAAGTCAGATTTCAAGGATTCTGTCTGAGTTCTTATTCTTTGATTATCAGCTTTCAGGCTGGATATCTGTTGCTGAAACTGTTTTTTTTCCTCTTTAATTCTCTTATACTCATCAACATCAACATCCTTGTACTGTTCTGTCAACTGTTTGATCTTTGCTGTCCAGCGCACAATCTGTTAAACAAAGTGTTGTTTGATTTGCCCCATTTTTCATATAAAAATCAGAAGATTCTTTTCAGAAAAAATCTTTTTTTTAGTCTAAAACCTTTACTTATTCCTACTACATGCAATAATTTTGCTTTTGCCAATTAGGCCATTTAAATTTTTTTTTCAACAATTATTTCAAGAACTCCTTCCAAGTATTCAAGGCACCGTTGTATGACTTATTTTATTAGTTAATAGATAATATGTACTTATTGACTGAGTGGGAGGGCCAGATGGGAAAATATTTGCTTTGAGGAAATGATGAGTAGATTGAGTGCAGCATTGTCCATGCATCAGGACTAAGTTCCAGATATCTTCCTGTCTGGCGTGATATAACTTATTCAATAAGCCATTTGTCATCCAACCTTTGGTGTTTCTTTTCCATCCTTGTTTCCTTCAGCTCACAGCTCGCAGGACTGTACAGGTTTGTACTGCCCTGCTTACAGCAGTGCAAAGGCCCTTACACAGGGATTTTTGTCTAATGTTTTTCAATAAAAGCCTGTCCAGGGCCTTATGGATTATGGTGTAACAAAATTGTGTATGATATCCACACAAGAAAACATCTGAAGGAAAAGATGTTTGTTCATTGCAGTAAAAATCATTAAGAAAATACTTCAACAATTTTCTCAAGATTTAGAGTCATCACAATCAACAGAAGAGTCAAGCTATCAACTGAGAATTGCAAGCTCTCAATGACTGTAATGCCTAGCATCTCTCTCAATTTTGTTGATAATGATGTTCCTTTGAAAATGTTCTTATCTCAGTTTCAAAGGGATTGATGAGCTAGACTTGCCTCATTTTTAAGAGCTGTTTTCTCGGCCAACAAAGCATCTTTCTGTGATGTAAGTGACTGCACACCATCCTTCAGAGGTTTCATCTCCCCCTCTAGTCCCTTGATCTGGGCAAAAACCATAATAACATCAGGATCAGTTTAACAAATGGACCAAAATTTTCCATTGTCCATAACCTCAATGATCATAGAAAGAACTTCAACCATGTTCAAAACTTTTTTAGTGAAACCACAAGGTGCAACCAAGTGGTTTCACTGCAAAGTGAATTAAAATAAAACAAACCTTTTCTGCAAGCTCTTTTACTGTCTTTTCAGCTCTTTCTTTTTCATTTGTCAGTACTTTATTGCTCTCAATAACTTCATTCAGTCGCTCCACTTTCTCCATGATCTCTGCATGCTGAGCTGCAGTCTGAGTGTTGATCTCTGACTGTGTTCTTTCCTCTGTCATGTTCTTCTGCAGATCTGCCACTTGTGCCTCTAAGTATTCACAGCGTTGCTGGTAGCGAATACTTTCAGACTGAGACAGTTCACACTTGGTCTCAGAGATCTCCTTTTCCCGACGAACAAATCTTTAAACCAACAAAAAGTAGTTATTCAGTATTACCAACTGAGTTGATAACATATCGGCCACTGTTAAGAGTTTAAAGCTGACATTTTGAGCATTAGCCCTTTGTCAGAGAGATTGGAGGAATTGTAGGTTGTGTATGCAGAAAATGGAGCTACCCTATAGGTGAGAATATGGTGACGAGAAAAGAAGATAAATAACTTGAATAAAAGTAGCGATTAGTTGTGTTAGGCAAACCCAAAACTAACATGGTGTTCTTTTGAAAATCTCCACAACATACAACAAGGGTTATTTTCAGTTTGAACCCTTCCCCCGTTCCTTTGATATTCCATGTTAGCTTCGGATCATTGATAGCATCAGAGCAACTATGCACCTACCCCTACCCCTACCCTAACCCAACAACAGTCAACTGATAAAAATTTAGGGTTAATGTTAGGTTAGGGGAGGGGTGGGTTTGCAGTAAGCTTCATATTTTTCTCTACAGAAACTTACCTTTGAAAAGTCATGAAAAAAAATTTAAAACACTTTTCTTCAATACCTACCTGTATAGATGACAAATTGGTTATAAAAAAGAGTAATAGTAAACAAACCTGATGATTTCCCAGAGTTCTTCAATACTTTTGTTAGTCTCTTCCCCTCCATCTGCTGCCACACCCTCTTGAGGTGTCACAGGGATGTTCAACGCCATCTGTTTACTACCAGCAAGTTGGGAACTGAGCTAAAGGATGGATTGAGAATCAATTTAAAATATAGTTAATAAGCAAAAAATATTTATAATTATGTAGAATGCCAGTGTTTCTGTCTCTTTATCATCTAAGATGCTTTTTGATATTGATAATCTTGGGTTACCCAATACAAAATTAGTCAGCTGCTATGACAATGCAATCTGAACATGAGTTAGTGGAAAAATAGAATCAATACAAACCTTTTCTAGCTGGCCATGAAGCATAGAGTTCTGATTCACAAGGTCAGCACAGCGAGCCTCTAGTTTTTTGGCTTCTGAAGCTTTTGCCTTTTTCTGATCCTCCCAAGACTTGGCATATTCCTCTAATTTCTGCTCTGCTGCAAGGGCACGGTCCTCTACTTCTTTAAATTTACTACTCTGTTCTTGAAGCTGGAGAAAAATAATTAAAAAAGTTACTCACAATATCACCAGAGTGAAAGCAGTTGATAATTTATGCCATCTCTTTCCTAAAAGGTGAAAAGATGCATAGTTTATTTGAGCAATCTTACAAGACTCTTGTCCAACCAGTTGAACACAGTTGTATTTGTAAATAGGTGTTAAAAAGCAAATGTTAACAGGACCTTCAAGATGCAAGCATGATAATGATAGTTTTCTTATAGCTCAACATTATGACATTAATGACTGATTTTAATTTACAGTACCTGTTCTTTAGCTGTGGACAAAGCTTGAACATCATTAGCATGGAGGACAAGTTCTCTCTCATACTTATCTTGAGCCTACAGAAGTAATAAAAAAGTGTATTAAATACTATTTTGGTTCTGAGCAATTGCATAGTCCTTGCAAGCATTGTAGGCTTAGTACAAATTAAAGGGGTTTAACCCTTTTACTCCAAAGATCTCATTTTGTTTAGTTCTTCTTGTTACTGTCTGCCATACAATTCTAACAATTTGTTGGTTTGGAGAATTCAGTATTGGATCAACTAATGAACCCCTAATTGATATTTTTCTTTATTCTCATTGCTTGTTTGCTTGATACTGTATTGATATTGTAAGGAGAAATTCTGTCTTCTCACTCACTGGAGTTAAGCAGTTAAGGTGGCTATCAACTCAAACATAAAAGTTTCATATTGGTAACTGTACTGAAGACTCTAGTCCAAAGTTGTCATTTGGGCATCTCAAATTATACAGTGGTTATCAGACATTTTAGCTAACAGCTGAGAAAAAAATTTAAAGAAAACCACAAGTGTACATTTGTGTTATTCTCCCCCTCCCCCCCCTCTAAAAAAAAATTATTTCAAAGTATTTCAGATAATTCAACTTGTATTGCATGTGAATGCTGCTACATGTAAGACATTTGGGTAATGATAAATGTTTGAGTAATCTGACTTAATGTGTGACTGTGGAGAACCAAAAATTGGGAAATCATTAAAAATTAATTTCTGTTTAACATTACCTCTGCAGCCAACATAGCCTGTTCCTTCAGTTCCTCTTTGGCTGTCATCTCAGCAGCAGTAGATGTCTGTGCCTTCTTTAAAGCTTCATCCAGCTCCCCCCTAACCTTACTCAACACGTCTCGTAAACTCTTGGTTTGTGACTCTGTTTCTCTGGTTAATTTGGCTCTTGCTGCACTGAGATCTTGGTTTGAGGCTTGAAGAGTGGCCATCTGAGATTTGTACTGAGCAATTTCTTGCTCCGCTGTCTTGAGTTTACCCTCAGTAGATCGTTTAAATTCATCACTTGCCTAAAAATTTGAAGAAAAGCTTTGCTATTTAGCCTGGATTCCATGTGATTACTACTAACAGTATAATTCTCCAGATTCACTTCCAAGATCTCCTTAGTATATCTCCTTACTGTCTGCCAAACAGTTGTTATGATGTTAGTTCTGAGAATTTGGTATTTGATTACCAATAATCCCCTTGTTGATTTTTTTTTATTCTTGTCACTTGTCTGCTTAATAATATTGTATTGATTTGTAAGGATAAATTCTGTCTAGGTCACTCATGGGAGTTAAAGGGCTTAAATGGGGTCTGAATTACCAAGTCAACTGTGGCTCTAAATTGCAGTGTATCTCTACAATTAAATGTTTACAAAGAACTGAGACAGCTGATGGCAGACTGAATTCAGTCTGAATTCTGAATTCTGAAGTCTGAAGTCTGAAGTCTGAAGTCTGAAGTCTTAAGACTTAAAAACAATAGTTCTGTATTCCACACTAACTTACCTTGTTCAAGTCACCAAGGGCTGATTCATTGGCTTCTGACATGGATCTAAATTGTTCAACATGTTTTTTGGCTTGGTCCAATTGTTCCTCAAGGCCTGTACAAACCAACAGACAAGTTCACCACAGTATTACTAAACTCAGCCAAAGTATATAAGTTCACCGAAGAAAAGAGGTATGAGAATTTCCCCGTCAGACACCTACTTGTCCCTGCTCATTTGCCAATTGGAAGCCGAGATGCATTTCAGACAGGTTTCAAAGTTTCAGATGTCTTTGCTGTGAATTGAAGAATGATTCCAAAGAGAACATTGTCAGAGCTCACCTTTGATTTTTACCTCTGCAGTGCTTAATTTCAACTCAAATTCCTGAATCTTGATGGTGTACTGTTCTTCAACTTCTTTTCTGATCCTCTCTTCATCAGCTAAGAGAAGTTAAGTAACATCATAACACATCTGGTTACGTTAATTGAGGAATTTGGATCATAAAAATATACTTTCCAATGACTATTTTAAAAACAAATTAAACTGGAAACAAGTATGCTGTTCTAAATTAGACAAAATCACTGAAAACTTTGAAATTCATAATTCAAAATCTTGGAGTGTGAAACACCTTTCTTTAGACAAAAAAAGGCATTTATTTCCATATTTCATGATCCAAGAACAGAAAAAATAGCTTGAAGCGCATTCATGGCAGACATTTTCCACAGATATGGCTCGGAATTGTCCATGGGAAGTCATCAAAAGTGTTTACATTTAGTTGGTTCTTTCCACAACAAAAAGGCTCCAGTCACCATACAGGTGGTGAATTGTAAGCTTCCAACACTTTTAATAAGGCATCTACATACATTTGGCCAAAAAAGAGGCTGAAATGAAACACTCACCTTCTTGGAGAGAACTCGTATCTTTTCCTAAAATGTCAGCTATTCGTCTTTCAGCAGCTTGCAGTTGGGCTTCAGCTTGAGTACACTGTGTGAAAAAAAACAAAATGATTGACATATTTGGGTTGTCAAAAGGAAAATTTATAGCATTAGTGAAACATCCTGTTTGTTGTATGTGTTTAGGTCACCTTATTATTATTAATATCAACTGTTCCTATGAGCCACAACAGAAGCTTAAAGCAGAAACCTTCACAAGCTTCTGGCCACAAACAATATCAACATCCATTCTAACTTTAAGTTTTTGTAAGGCTTCAAAAGCCTTCAAGTCTCTATGTTTGTTCAAGTAATGCATTTGACTGTATACCAGCAAATCAAGCTAATAACCACTGATCAGATCCTCATTTTAAGAGCTGCAGTACAAACATTTCTTTGCCTGCAAGAGGGTTTGAGCAAAGCAAGCCAGCCTGAGGTCTACACTTAGTCTAACAGACACGTCACAGATCTCTTGCCCACTGGCTTTGTCCAACGCCTCAAACTTTCTCACTGGTGAAGAAAAGCTGGTGCCACAGCCCTTAATTAATGGTGAGGGCTTCCTCCCAGGCTGGTCATACTTTAGTCCTTGTTACACTGGGTTTAATTTCACTGCACTAAACTTTAACAAGTCAACAACACTTACTCTGAGCTGCACTGAGTCAACATCCCTGGTTGAAGTTAGCAGCTGTTCCCTTGCTTGCTGGTGAGTTTTTATCTCTGCATTCAGTTGTGATTGTAGTTCTTGAACACGGTTCTGTTTTTTTAAACAAATTTTTTTCCCATTTTCTGCATAAGTAATGTATCTCATAGAAGACAATATTTATTTCAACTTTCCAAACTTTACATTTTACATTGGCTGGGTTAACAAAAGCAGAACTCATCAATTATCCTCAATTATTAAAGCTGGATTGACAAGTTAAAGTTACTGTCAGTTAACAAAATCTGGTAAATTTTTTTTTTTGCTCTTCTCTTTAGTGAGAGAAAGCAATTAACTTTAATTTGCCAGAAAAATTGTAAAATCCTAATAAGAATGCAAGATACAGATGAAAGAATATTTTAGGGAACCTGTACCAAAGAGTAAAAGGTGTCATAATCCTAAAGGCCTCCAGCAAAGTGATGACCTTTTCTGCCAACTTTTGTGCAGGATCTGTATATTTTGTTTACATTGCACAACAAAGAGAATTGTTGGCACATTTTGCACAACATTGACAAATAAGAGTCCAAAATGAGAAAAGTTGTCAGAGAGTAAATAAGAAAGTACGAAAACAATAGCAATAGCCATTTCTCACCTGCCAGGTATCAATGACACTCTTGTGATGCTTGTCTTCAGATTCCAGCTTCCTCTTCAGTAGATTTACTTCACGCTGTAAGGTCTCAACTTGAGAACCAAGTCTCGTTCTTGCCTCAAACTCAGACCTCTCTAAGTTATTCTATAATGAAGAGTATACAGGTGAAATCATTGGGCGGGGAGTTCCAAATGATTTGACATACTCATGGTAATGTGGTATCATCAACTGAGTGATAACATAAATTGGCCACCATAAAGAGTTTTAAACCTGAAGGTTTGAGCATTAGCCCCTCATCAGAGTAGTTGACTCATTTGATTAAACCACATTACCCTGTTATACTCCCCCACCCATGAAGCACCAAAGTTTCTTTAGAAAGTAACCCCCTTTGACATACTCATGGTCAACTTAACAGAACCTGACATGATGAAATAGATTCATGGCAGCTATAATGTAAGGAACTTACTAGATATGACGGTTGCATCAACCTGTGTTTTGAGTGATTTATTTACATTTCTGACTAACCTGAAGAGTCTGTAGATTTGTGACCAGAACATTTTGTGATTTCTGATGTTCCAACAAGCTTTTGTTTTCCTGCATTAGACGAACTTCTGACTCCTTCATCATGGCTTTCTCTGCTTTCAGATTTTCACAAGTGACCTGAAATTTAATGAGAAAACAGAATGCTCCATAAGGATCAACAACCACCAGTTTTGGAAAATAATACTGTCACCTTTTACTACAAAGTATGGTACTGGTTTTAATTAACCACTAAAAGAAATTAATCATCTTTGCTCTATCACTTCATCATTATAAATTGTGTGATGCATTTAAGTTAAAGAATAATCAACATGCAGCGTGTTGTAAATGACTCCAGCCTGCTTCAGTAAGTTGCACTAACTTTTCACCTTCAATAAGAAGACATAATCTATGGTTTAAGCTGTACATGGGTGATGTTTTGTTGAGGTTTCCTACAGCTCTATGTATCTTATTCTCATAACTAGCAAATGACAATGTAAACAGGTCATAAAATTGTGACCTTTCACATTTGTGTGTAACTTTTCTAAAAAATAGGGCAAACACATACCTTTTTTACATGCTACATATAAGTAAAACAGGTAAGAAACAGACTAATGAACTTTTCAAAGAGCTCAACTGATCAACTAAATGGATCACTACACAGCTCATTAAAATTGGGACAGTTCTGTGTACATTTTAGCCTAAAGTGTTAAAAATTGTTCTCTCACAGCAAAATTACAACTAAGTAAAGAAACCCACCTCAAGTTTATTTAACTTTTCTTTAGTGTTTGTCAGTTCCTATTTAAAAAAGAAACAATACAAGAACAATGATGTCTGGGACACAAACCATTTCATGTATTCAGCTAGAGTATGCATAGAAAATTTTTAAGGGAAGAGGCTCTTTCGTGCCTTTTTCACTCCCAAATCTTTATTTCCACTGTTGACAAACCATCTGGTAAGTATTTTTTAATGAGTAATCTTCCACTTGTCCAGCTTTCCACAACAATTTCTTTAAAAACATTCAAATATGTGACATACCGACACAACACGTTGCTAGATGCAAACTGAGGTGAAAATTCCTTGATCAAACTAACTAAACTGACCAGCCAAGTCTACCTTGATTTCAAGGCTTTTTCCTTCATTTTAACTTAAAAGTAAATTCAGCTAATATGCTTTTTTTTTAAAAACAAAATGAGAAAGGATCTGAAATAAAAATGGACCAATGGGGCTGTAATTAGTTCATAAACTAGTGACAGTAGCTGCAATAACTACAATTGGTTTATAAGCTATATAAATCTGTCTGAATTTTTCTTGAAAGTCATCTATTAAAAGGCACTTTTTAACTGATCTCAATCTTTGGTTACTCCTCTTAAACCTGGTATATTAACACACCTGTGACACACTGTCAAGAGTGGCTTGCAACTTGCTGAGTGCTGTCTGCAAGCTATGAGACTTCTCGGACGCAGCTGATGCTTCTTTCTTGAAAGCCTCAGAGTTTGACTTTAGCATTCCATAACGTTCCTCAGCAAACTCCAGCTGTGGCAAGAGAATGTAAAATTGTTAAGCTGGATTCATGAAATCATTGAATAAATGATAAAAATACCACACTACCTTCTTTCTTACCTCCTGGGTTGGTATAGACAAAATTTTCAGCTGTGACTTGAAGATTTTTTTTTAAGTATTATTATCATGAGAATTAACTGAAAGTGTAAACATTTGAAGACAAAGCCATGTAAAAAGTTCATATTTCCTGAAAATATTGATGAATACTTGTAAACAAGGGATACTTTCCTTCCAAAAAAGGTTGACTAGAGATTAACAAAAAAATACATGAAATTTGTTCCCTGATCAACAGCAGTTTTTCTGAAACGTGTTAAACTCACAAGAAGGAAAGAAATTTATAAAACTAACCTGAGACTTAAATCTGGCATTACTTCCATTTAACTCAAGATTCTCAGCTTGCAATTTATCTAGCAGCTCATTCGATTTCCTTTAAAAAAAAAAAAAAAGGAACACGTAAGACATTTCAGGAAAAAAATTTACACTTTGGAAAGAAAGTCTGAACTAGCTTTCTTCTTTCATGTTAAATTATAAGGAATGAAATGATCATCAAAGGTTAGCTGTCAAAGTGAGAATATTTTTCAGGCTTCGATCCTTCTGTATTTTCTTTGACTGCAGCTCATTTAAAAGGATCACCTCATTACCTAATCAGATTCTATTACATGAACAAAGAACCACTGAAAATTTCTATGCTCAAAATACACAGCCCAGATGGAAGTGGAGCCCAACTAATATCTGTGATGCACATGCCGTACAGGTTGGAATCCTATCAAAATCTGAATTTTTCCAGGATTGATTCCCAAAAATATTTAAACAATGCAGCTCACCAACAACAATAATTTCCATATTAGTAAAGATTTGATTGATGAATCAAAAAAAAAGGAAAATATATCATAAATTTACAAGGATATCTTGTTTCAATGTAGTTAATGTATTTATAAACATTCAACCTTTTAAAATATCAATTAGGGGATTATTAATTGATCAAATACCCAATTCTCCAAACTAGCATCATAAGAACTGTATGGCAGACAGTATGAGAAATTATTACTAGAGGAGATCTTGTAAATAGTCTCACATGCTTTCTGAGCTTGCTCAGGAATAACACAGGGAAATGAGGACTACATGTATGTGACATACATTGTATTAAAGGTGCCCAATTCATCTGTTATAATTATAATAGCAGTCATTATTATATATAGTTTTGACCAGACATTACATACAGCAGGACTGTAACTGTTCAAAAGGCATGGTTACAAACTTACTCCTCAGCTTGTGTTCTCTCACTTTTGTAAGTTTCAAAGTGTCTCTGTAGTTCTTTTAGAGCTACTTTAGTTTCCTCTAGTTCTGCACTTGATTTATCAGGGGTCTTGAGTAATGGAGAAGATACCAAAACAGATGGGTCAAGGTCTCCTGTAGGGATCTGAAATTCAGGAATAACATAGATTGTAAACTGATGGAAATTCAAAATTCAGGTTACCAAATTTCGATGGAACTATTCAAAGAAAGCTATACCTTAAGAAGGAAGTTGGTTATGAGGATTCGAGTCAGTATTCCAATGCGGAACTTTTTAGGGGGTTAGGTAACAGTATTTAAGGAAATTAATAATATGTAACCTGTTTACAGTCATATTCATGTCTGTGTTCCTTATTTCAACAAAAAAAAAATTGGAAAACAGTCAAGGAGGATTAAAAATAGTTGCTCCTTACTGGAGTTTGTCCACTATTGGCTAACAGAACACGGTACATGTCACGTTGCCTGATCACAGCCTCGACCTGTTAAGGAGAACAAACCACAAAATTAGATTGATGAGGAAACTGCGTGGTAATAGTGCTGATGATAGAGTTGGGAGATGGTGCATCAGCTTCTTGATATACAGTAGTAAATGTCTTTAATACAAACCATATTCATTTGCCTCTCTCTTGATTCCTTAAGAACTTCAACTTCCTTCAATGACATGTCCAATTGATTCTGTAACCCCTTCATACTGGTTAAAAGAGATTTAAATTTAGCACTTTATACAATATAACAAATGTTGATTAACAATGCATTGCATTTGAGAAAATCAAAGTCAAAACAGAGCAATACAAGAAGAGAAATACCCTTTAAAAAATTGCAACTCACATGTCTTCTCCTTCCTTCTTTTCTTTCTCTTCACTTAATTCCCTGATGACTCCCAGAAGTTTCTGATTTTGCTGTTGAAGTTCCTCGATACTCCTGTCAGCGATTAAATGACGATATTAGAAGAAGGGAATAATGGCAACATATGTATGTGCTGACCCTTTACATCCTAATATCAGTATCCATATTCTCTATACTCCTTTCTACCCACTTCCTTTAGTACTGACAAGGAGAATTTGCTAAACAATCAAAGCTCCAAGGTTGGTGATTATTTCTTTTATTCTCATGATCTTAATGAGTTATTCAGCAGTTTTACCGTAAGGAGAAATTAAATGCTGGTCACTTATAGGGTTTAAGGGGTTAAACATTTACAATACTGCCGCTGATATTGGGGGAAAAGCAACTATTAGATACTACTGTACCTGGCACTGTGCAATTTTTGTTTGTCAGTTTGTTTGGATGTGGGCACCACAACATTATCAAGGAACTGGATATATCACCTGATCACAATCCTACAATTGTTTTACAATCTGGAGAATTCTATCTCATGAAATTTGACATGAACTATTGCGAGGATTAATAAATTCAAAATATTGTTGATACTTTAGCTTGTTTACCTGAAAGTAACAAGGTGTTCAGAGATGACTTGTGATGAGCTGGTGACCTCAGCGCTTGACATGGGAGTCAAACTCAACTCAGAGCTGACCACTCCTCCTCTTGCCTCCTCGCATTCTTTCAATAAGACCTGTACCTGAAGGCAAAAGTACCACCACAGAAGTGAATCCTTTATTTGTGAATTCCTGTTATTCCCATCCAACAAAACTAATCTTTACATTGTCTTTTTCTTGAATATCAAGTGATTTTTGACCTCTTCAGGTGGAAAAGACAACATCCCACTCACAGGTTGGTTTTTACAATCAACAAAGATATGGATCCAAACTCATGATAAAGCAATTTTGGGAAGCAAAAAGGAGAATGAGTATTGATAAGCTATACTTTTGTTGGTAAGAGCACATCAGGTTGTTTAGAAGAAGATACATAAATAGTGACTACAGTGACGGAAGATACATAAACAGTGACTTGGCCTCAACATTCATCAATTTTGCTACAGAGGGGATTCCTTCTGAAGCAGGAGTACTTATCAGACAAAGGGCTTTTGCAGTAAGGGCACCTGTTGAGAAAGGACATTCAAAGTGGATAGGGCTTACTATAAAGGGGTTTCTTGTTGATAGGAGGGTGCTTGATCATTAAGAGGTTCTTACATTGAAAGCTTCTGATTCCCACAAACCTGTTGACTTAGGTCAGCAGAAAGATTCCTCAGTCTGTCGTTCTCTCTTTTCAGATGTCCACTCGTTTTGGTAGCCTCATCAGCAATTACTTTAGACTCTTCATTTTCCTTCAATAAAAATAGTGACAGATGTTAAAGAAGGAAACAACTCAAGCCAAAAAGACACACAAATTGTTGCAAAATTCATCAGCTTAGTTTTTCTTTGATTTATAACCTGAGAGAAAGGTGTGAAGGGAATTGTTCTCTTTGGAGGTTTACAGGGGGGGGGGGGCACTCTGTTTTTCAAAAATGGATTTCTTCAAGCTAAAACAGACAGCAGGGCCAACACTTTTGCATGGAAATAACATTTGAGAAACAAAAAGAAAAGCACCAGGCTTGTAATGGGAAACAATGTGGTGTGAGCATTCCTGAGGAAGATACATAAACAGTGACTTGGCCTCAACATTCATCAATTTTGCTACAGAGGGGATTCCTACTGAAGCAGGAGTACTTATCAGACTAAGGGCTTTTGCAGTAGGGGCATCTGCTAAGAAAGGACATTCAAAGGGGAAAAGGGCTTAATATAAAGGGGTTACTTGTCGATAGGAGGGTGCTTGGTCATTAATCATCACTTTACTTACATTGTTATTGTTCATTTACAAGTAAGTTCACAGATTAAAATGTAATACAGATATATAAAAATCTGCTCACCACAAGAGCTGAATCCAGTCTCCTTGACAGTTGATCCACACTGTTTAATGCCTGCTCATAATCTCTTCTCTGTTGTTGAAGCACTGGTGCCTTCTCCTCAATTTCCTACAGTATCAATTATCAAAATGTTTCTTCTTGTACTCAATCAAATTATAATGAACGTAATGCAACAGTGAAAGCAAAGAGGAAAGAAGAGACATAAAAAAGCAAGAAAACAAGAAAAAATCCTTGAAGTGACATGCAGTATAACAGATGATACTTCCCTTTAAGACTGCAGTATAAGGAAAATGGAAAACTCATGACAAAGGGAACGTTTTCATGCCATTAACTAAATCACTGATCTGTACCAGATTTACCTTCAGTATCTGATCCAGGTACTGTTTTAGTCTGATATTCTCATCTTTTTCTTGCTGCAATGCATCAGAGACTTCCACATATTGACTATAAATCTGCAAAATACAAATTAAGCATGTCAATCACAACTATTGCTTTTCTGACACAAATTGCAAACTACTATGTGAAGATATAAATAAATGTGTTCAGTCTTCTTCAGTTTACAGTGATCCCATTGATTCAACAGAAAAACAAGGAGACTTTCCTTTTAATAGTTCACTAACATCTGATGTAAGGAAAATTAACAAGGTTACCACTGAACTGTCCCACAAAAAGGGAAAATAAATTCATTAGACTAAGTATCAACCTGGGTTAGAGTCATTCCGGACTTCATAAACGAACTTGTTGCTGCTGCAGTTGGTGAAAGTGTGCTCAGCTCTACCGGAGTTAAAGGTGCTGTACCTGAAAAGAGTTGGAAACATGTCAAAGATAACGTAACTGGATGAATACCCAAACCATTTGATGACCGTTGTTGGTGCTTGAAGGGATAAAAATTAGATCACAATAGGAGAGAAATTGGAAGAAACCATATGTCTGTCCAGAGTGCTTGTTTACATAAGTTTTAGCATGGAGGGTCAAAAGCCTCTTTCAACAAAATAAACTACAAAGACTGATTGATTGATGATGGTGTTCATTTACTGTAGGTATTTGATATTACCATGACTGAAATTAACCCTTTCACTCCTGTGAAAGTAATTTTCCTCACTGTCTGTCTTGAGAGTGAATGGAGAAATTCCATCTTAATCACTTATAAGAGTTCTAATGCAAAATTGAGAGGGAAACTTATTTGCAATTAAGGAAACTAATACTAAAGCAGTGCTAAATTTTTAAGGTTATGGAAATTAATATGCTTTTAACTCCAATTTTCAATCCACACCAAGTAAGAAGTGCTCTTACCATTTTGGCTACGACTCACTCTCTCTTGCCTGTGAAAACCAGCCTTAAAGGTTTGTAATTGTTCAAGAGTTTAATTTTACCTCTTTGTCTTGCAGCTGCTAATAAATCATTGGCATTCTCAAGCTCCTTGTCTAGTTTGTTGATCTTTTCCTCTGTTGAAGAAAACATTAATTTTTTTAAAAAATCCTTATTCTGACTAATTTTTACCAATCTCCTCCTCCATCTAAGATCTGAGTGCGCACGTCAACATTATTTCAAAAAAAGGGCTGTAGTTACCAAGTTCTTTAACTTTCTCCAAATGGGAATTCTCCTGTTCCTTGAATCTGCTATCAAGTTCGAGTCGACCTAAGAATTTCAAGAAGAGAGTAAGCACTCCATAATTTTCTTAACCATTTAACTGCTATGAGTGACCAAAACAGAATTTCTCCTTACAACATCAATACAATATCAAGCAGACAAGTGGTGAGAATAAAGAAAAATATCAATTAAGGGATTACTAGTTGATCTAATACCAAATTCTCAAAGTTGACATCACATGAACTATATGACAAACAGTAGGGAGAATTACTCATAAGATCTCAGGAGTGATAGGGTTAAGAGTCAATTATAACCTGCATGGATATTTTTTTAAAGCTGATTTCAGGTTAGAATGGTTTTAAACAACAGTGGCTTGTTTCATACTTTCCTTTGTTTAACCTTCAACTCCCATGAGTGACCGAGACAGAATTTTCAACTAACAATGTTGATACAATATCAAGCACACAAAAAGAAAAAGAAAATACAATACACAATATCAAGTAGGAAAAAAGAAAAATATAAATTGGGGAATTATGACTTGATCCAGTACAAAATTCTCTAAACTAACATCATACAAATTGTATAACAGACAGTAAGAAGAATTACTAGAAATAATAAGGATTATCATGGGATTATCATGACATACAGTGTCCCAATAACAAAGGTAAAAACATAAATAAACAAAGGTAAAATACACAAAGGTAAAAACATACACTACTGCCTAAATAGTGCACATCACTGCGAGGATCACTTTCATTCACGTCTTTATCCGGAGTTCAAATATATGACTTTCATATATTCTTAACCGTCTATTCATCACTTCACGGGTTTATTTAGAACCACCATCATGACCAGCTCCCACTTGGCTTGTTGGCTCAGTTGGTAGAGCGCTGCACCAGTATCGCAGAGGTCATGGGTTCAAATCCCGTACAGGCCTGAATTTTTTTCAGGCCTTATTTTCACTACTGCCTAAATAGTACACATCACTGCGAGGATCACTTTCATTCACGTCTTTATCCGGAGTTCAAATATATGACTTTCATATATTCTTAACCGTCTATTCATCACTTCACGGGTTTATTTAGAACCACCATCATGACCAGCTCCCACTTGGCTTGTTGGCTCAGTTGGTAGAGCGCTGCACCGGTATCACAGAGGTCATGGGTTCAAATCCCGTACAGGCCTGGATTTTTTTCAGGCCTTATTTTCACTACTGCCTAAATAGTGCACATCACTTTGAGGATCACTTTCATTCACATACATATTGTATATCAAACTAGTTTAAGTTTATTTTACTCTAGACTTAATTTTAAACTGAAAAAAAACAACATCTGCAGTTACTTACTTTCATTAGATTCTTTTAGTAGCTTTTGAAGTTCTTCAAATGCTGTTAGAAGTTCTTCACTTTTCTTCTTTGCTTCATCTGCACTATCCTAATGATAAAATTACTCACAAAGTTATAATCATGATCTCCTTCTTACTGAAATAAGATGCTCTTTTTGGATCAAAGGTGTGTTAAATAAAGAATAATCCATGGGCACACATGGAATTTCTCTTCAAGTGTTCTACTCAATACATTCACAGCTCACAAGTGAGTACAGGAAACAAGTGAGATGTTGAGTTGAACACGAGAAGAGAAACTCCATACACCTGTATTTACAAGCAACCATGTATTATTTTGTTCCTTATATAAGCACAAGAGGCTTTCACTGACTAGAAAAGTTGGCTTTATTCATGAATGAAAAAATGGGATCAACAATTCCTGCAAAAAGTTGGAAGGTGCAGTTGATAAGCCATATCAAACACACATGCAAAATTATTGTATTTTTTTCACATGTGTTGTTATGGCAGCTTTTCTCAGGGCTGGAAATCCTTGTATAACACCACAGTTTGTATAATAAGTGAGGGTGGCAAAGGGTGGGGGGAGCCTGATCCCATTTCATGCCTGAATTTTGAAAAAATATTCTTGCGTGACAAATACCATAAACTGTGTTTCACATGTCACAGATTTAGAAGGGAAAACTTCAAATCACTCATCTTGTGTGCAATGTTGTGGGGAAATCTTCATGTTTTCCCAAAATGTAAGGAAACATTCACAGGTCATGTCTTCTGGAGGCCTCATGTTAGTTCATAAATACATAAAACATGCTCACCTTTCTGTAAAATTCACTCTTTACACTTTAAGCCTTAATCACACGTCAGGTACAGCTGTATAAACCCTTTGCCAACCTCTTAAATGGTAGAGAGTCAAATATTCCAAGAAAAATCACCTTATAAAGTACTGCCAGCTTTGACTGTGAGGCTAGTTCTGTTTTGAAGTGGTCGTCCTGCTTAATCAACTGCTCACGAGCCTGCAAACAAAACTATACATTAGTAACATAGTACATACCTGTAACTAACTGAGTTTAAGGTCTGTGCTGTAAGTTAAGGACCAAGTTTTTTTCTGCTTGGGCCATAAATCCTAGAAGAAAACCTTGGAACTTACAGTATAGATCAAGACAACAAGATTAGTGAGATATTACACATATTTCTGGCTTCAAATGGTGACAAAAAGATGTAGATTCAATAAACCTTTAAATTCAGCAGGCCATACAGGAAAATGCAGAATAAACATTGTAAGAAATGTATACTATTAAAGGACAGTAAGGAGAATTACATTAATTTTGTACTAATCAAACGCATCTTAAAAGGCATGGTCCTCAGAACCCTCACCGCTTGTAGCTGCTGCATGTAGCTTACAACTTTGCTGTTTGTCTCATTACTCTGTTCCTTTAATGTCTCTGATGAAGCTTTAAGATGAGAAAGCTGAAAGATGCACAAGCAAAACATCATTGTACACCCAAAAACTTATAGAAAAGCATAAAGTTATGAACTGCATGCAAAAAGCTGTTCACAACATTGAATTTGTGAAGCACTTTGTAATGCAGAGTATTCCTAAAACTAATGAACCTCTTGCCTCTTCAGTTCTCTGATCCAACAGTGTTTGAAGTTCCAATACTTGGGATGACTAAAAAGTAAAATTATTTCATCAATTTTGTAAAAAAAAAACATCAACAGAGTATTTCACAGTTTCACTAATATTGAGCAAAAAGAAACAAAAAACCTTGCAAAAAAAATATTCAGCAGAGAAAATTGGTCAATTACAGTATTAAGAATAGGTAAAGGGAATTTTGGCCTGAACTGACAGTCACAAAAATGAACTTAATATGCAAAGACCAAATACCTTTTCTTTCCGAATTTGTACCAATTCATCAGTTTTGTTCTTGAGTTCTTCATTCAGCCATTTATTCTGTCGTTCAATAAGATCCCTTTCTTGTTCAATTCTCTTTTCACGGAACTGCAAGAATAACATAATTGTTTAACTTGAAAGAACCAGCTTAAGGGCAGTTGTACAGTACCTCATTTCCAATACTTTTTCTTGTTTAAGGTTTTATAAATATTCAATGGTCATAACAGCTTGTTCTAAGACATTGCCTCCTCATTCTTTCTCTTTGCAACAAAACAATGAGAACAGTAATAACAAAATCTGAAGATATACCATAGACAGTGAATTTACTGATTATAAGCCAGTTAAGTAATCATAATAGAACTCCTCTTGTGCACTTCAGTTTTTAAATGAGGGGGGTGGTTGTTAATTAACTTTTATTACAAAAGGGTGGACGCTTAGTCAAGATGAGTACTTAACTCTAGGGTATCTGTTTTCTCTTCTCAAATGGTTTTCTAGCTATTTTTCTTTGCATCTTTCTCTAAACACATAGCTCTTATCATCCTAACCTTGAAAGAAGTTTCCTGACTTTGAATTTGATCGAGTTTGGCCTGAAATACAAATAACCCAGTTATACAGAAATACAGTGTCTATATACATTTTCCCCTCTCTTCAAGGTTAAACACATAATTTTTAAAGTGTGGTTCAAAAGTTTAAGTCTAACAGAATAGTTTTACAACAAAGTTGAGTCGTAATACAAGTAGCATCTTACATGTACATGACAGGACATGTATCACATTTGAAATTCTTATTTAATAATGGTAATTGAACTGAGTGGAGTGTAATTTGGGCTGAAATCATACACGTGATTTCAAAATCAAATGAGTGCACAGTGCGAGTTTGATTTGAAATCAAAAGTATGATTTCAGACTAAAAATTGTAGGACATGAGGTTCAATTACCACTTTATTACATCCATTTTGAAATCGCCCAAATACAGGATTTGGTCAGTTCAAATATTTCATTGATGCAGTACTAAGCTGGCTTGAAATTAAATTTATTCATTTTTTGTGGGGAAAAAATAAGAATTTTGAAAACAAAAGTTGCAAAATTTGCCACATGATACTCTTTGTCTTTCATTTTCCTGCAATTTGATTGGTTACTTTAAACAAGCCTTGAAATCTGATTGGTTGTTTTGTTTTTAGTGTAGCCTTCTCATTGGCTGGGAAAAAGATGCAATTTAAAGTAAACAATGGTGTGATTCATGAATAAATTGCACCAACTAGAGCCAATCAGATTACAGGGACCACCAGTGATTCCAAAATGGGTGTAATAAAAGAAAAAAATACACCTGACAACAGAGAGGGAAAATAAACCACAGCACAAGAGCATATACATGCAGATTTGAACAGTAGGTACATGTAAATCTCAATACATATGGGACTGTGAATAAGGGCCACAACCTTTAACACTTGTTAAGGCTGAATTCACTCAATGTTATAGGTGATGCTGGTAATTGCTGTTATGTTAAAATTTGGCACCTATTACAATTCTGCAGGTGACATCTCCAATCTAACAGCTGCTTCAAAACTTATTGACAGCTATGACCTGAATCCTACAATTTCATATCTTTATTCGTTTCAAGAACATTAAGATGCTAAAGACAGTAACCAAAAAGCTGCATTTATACTGACACAGAGTAAATTAGAACACATTCCACTTTACCTCTGCATCCACAACTTGTCTTTCACATTTACTACCATACCTGAGCTGCACACTTGACAGCATTGGCTTCAGACAGTTTTTCTGACATGCTTTTCCACTCCTCTATTTTTACATCAAGGACAAAATATTTACATTACTCATTAAAAAATTTATGAGAAATGTTTAACATCAAACCAGAATCCTCACTATAAAGGCCAGTAAGGGTCTTTATTGATTTATAGTTCACTTAAACCTTCACTTTTTATTCAACCATAAAAAACACATATTAACCTTATCCTTTTCATTTCTAGGAGAAAAAGTAATCATAAGCCACAAAGAATCTATTTGTTCAATAACAAATAGAAACAAAAAAAGATATCAAACAAAGATATTAATTTTCATACCATTCAATCTGTCAATCTCCTGGTTTTTCCGCTCTACAACTGACAAGAGCTCTAGTTTTTCTGATTCAAGTTGTTCATTGAGTCGTGACACACGTGTCTGGGGGAAAAAAAAACAATATCCACACTTCCTAAGAACTAGAGCTCATGTATACATTTCACTGACTGTCATCAGATTAGAAGAATAGCATGAGAGTGGAAATACACGAGATTATAAAGAAAAGCTTACATAATTAGCTGATGCATCTTCCTTGATACCCTCTACTTCTTGAAGTCTTTTCTGCTTTTCTGCAAGGGAAGCCACTGTAAGAAAGCAAAAGTACAAATTACCTTCAGTATAAAATGACAGCAACTAGGATTTTTGTAAAGTTTGGAAAATAGGAAGCTACAGTAGTTTGTTTCGAAAACAGAACTAGAATAGTGCAAACTATATACTATATAATTGTAAACTTGAAATCCCACACAAACTGGATTGGGGAAAACACCCCTATGTCTGCAGAAATGAAGTACTGCCAATTTTCTAAAGGGCTGCAATGGCCAGTCAGGCCCAATTAAGTTCTATCAGCAATGGAGATACTCTAACACTCCCTGAACAAATTCCTTCTAGTAGAAAACTATTGATGATATTTGAAAGTAATATTGATTGCAACAACATCCTATGTCTTGTTGAATTCTTTTGGATGATATCCAAGAAGCATCTTGTTAGATTTTACAGTGTTCTCAACACTATAATAGCAGGTGATGTAGCAGCCTAGTGGTCAGTACACTGGACTGTGGGTCAATGTGTTGTGTCCATTGGTAAAACACTTCACTCTTACAGTGTCTCTCTCCAGCCAGGAGTATGTATGGGTGACTGCAAATTGTCAGGGAAGCCTGATGGAATGCTGCAGGTAACCTTGTATGGACTAAGATCCCATCTAGAGGGGAGTGGTGGTACTTGCTAGAGTACAGACTTTTCTGTAACCTTGGATACTATAATAATCACTCGTTCATATACATATCTTAAGCTTACCAGTTTCTTCATGTTCCTTTTGAAGTCTTTCATGCTGTTTTTGCTCTGACTCCAGTTTGGCATTGCAGGAGATTAGCTGCTTCTCTATTTGGTTGAACTGTTGCTCTACATTCACGGAATGATGGTTAGTTTGAGCCAACTCGCCAGATTAACCCATAAGATAATTATATTCACCGCCTCAAACAAATAGCAAACATGATTTCAAGGAACATTCTACAACTCCCAAACGTATTTGAGTTGAAACAGTAAGTCAAAGCCAAAAGGAGCTATATAAGGGAATGTTATCAGGATTTTTATCACGTTAAACGGAAAAAAATACAAACCTGCGTCTACACGTGCCCGTCGAAGGGTAGCCATGTCCGAGCGAATTTTTTCCTCTTTAGAAGAGTATTCATCAAACATCTGCTTGACTTTGAGTAGAAATACGGTTGCATCTTCATGTTTAGTGGCAAGCTGAGCAATTAATTCCCTAGAAATCCCTAAAATGACCGATAAAGTTGTCACAACCTCACTCTCCTCTGCTGCAGAGGCCGCCATTTTGGCAGTGAGACGCTTTCGAGGTATCATGGGATATTTCTCCTGGGAACTCGTATATTTCGTTCATGCTACATGAATATAAAAGTGAGCCTGCAAACTAAATGGTAGGATAATAACGAAATACAAAGACTCACTGTTTATGACTAGACTGACAAGTGTATCACGGAAAGTGAATTGGCAGATGAAGAGGGAGATGGATTTTTGAAAGCATTAATTCATTCAATCCGTGATACGCTTTTAGTTATAACTCAATAAAATCGTTACTTGCAGATTTGACTCAAAATTTCCTTAATATTTTGGAATCTGTAAATTTGAATAGGCTTTAATCGTGTTTACAAATATGAAATTGTCTTTTATTATTCGTGGTGTTTTATTGAGATGAAGACGCATCGACTATAGTGCGTGACCTCCTCGTGGCCCACCCATCCGGTTTGCGAGGGATCGATACTCTAGTCACATGGAGCCTGTCCCCTCCCCTCAGCCACTTTTAGAAGGTGAGTAAAACTTCATTGAAAAGTTTGGCTTTAAACAATCGTTTCTTCTCATCTCCATCTGATGGCATTTTAGTTTCTTTAACTTCCTATTCAGACTTTTGATTATTTCGCCTGGAATCAACTTGAAAGTTCCCTCAGGATTATTTTCATTGCTGAGGGGGAGGGACTCAGGACCCTTGCATTTTTTAAAGATCTCAATCTGCATATGTAAATTTTTTTAAATAGTCACTGACTTGTAACGTTTTAATCACTGTTATCGCGTACCGGTCGGAGCAGAAATTACTAACGGTCTCCGTTTAGCCGGTCTGTCCAAGAAAAGGGTTTCTGTTGCTTTCGCTGGTACAGTTTGCGCAAAACAGGCTTTGGTATAACAGTAAGTATCACGCAACATACAGCCTGATTTAACGATTTCTTGTTTTCTGGATGGAATGTGGATCTGTCTCGATTGAACGACCTACTGAGTAAAACAGTTTGATATGAAATCTCTCTTTTCTGTGAAATATCGATTTCGATGTCGATGCTACAGTGTTAGGAAAGGTTGCGAGAAATCGTTTGCAGTCATTTCTTTGGTTAAATTAGAGACAGCAGACGATTCTTTAAAATTATAGCTAAATCAATTAGTGTTTATGGCTTCGCATCACTTGTTTACAACGAGATTTCAGGTACAAGTCAGATATCCTTATCACACTTAGCAAAAGCTAAAGTAACAGGCTGAGTCTCTTGCGAAATCATTAACAGCTTCGTAATAAACGTTTCCTCTTGAATTCTGGAAGCACGCACGTAGTTGAAACTTTAGAAGTCACTTAGGAAGTATAAAACAGTGTCGTCATTTAAAGAATATTGACTAACGTATACCACTCACTTAGCTTTGAAACAGTAACATCGCGATTTTTAGAAGTGACATTAATTAAGTTGTATGGAGCAGGTACATTTTTGTACCCGAACAGCTGGTTAACTTTTCATAAAATTTTATTCAATGTCTCATCGTTTAAATAACCCGAATTATTTAAATTGCTAATTTGCTAGCTTTTGTTTAAATCAACAAGTCGATTCAGCCGCATGTTTGCGTTGTTAGAGCAAAAAGCAGACTTTGTCATATCTCCCTTACATAGATATTTAACTGACAGCTTTCACTAAGAAAGATAACATTTAGAGTGAAGTGTGGCAAATTAGGGAAGTTCCAGTTTGACGCTGATACTTATGTGTGACCAAGCGATGAAAAATAGTCACACATCTGCGTGCTAGACAATAAGAAACCGATACAACATAGCACAATAGTTCACTTCTCGAATCATGAAGGAGCTAACACAAGGCTGAATTTTCTGTTTGAAAACTTCAACCAAAATTGACCAAGTTCCATATCTGCAAACCTTTTTAGTGTTAGTGTTATTCATCCTAAGCCATCCGTTTTTCCTCCTTCGCGTTTGCCCACACTAAAAAAATTATCGATTCAAGGCCTTGCTTCTTTTGAAGGAAATTATTTCTATACAGCAAAGACCGATCTTACGTATCGTGACCTGCCGCTTAATAGCCAAAAAGAGGCGACGAATTTGCGCCATTTGGTGGTTTACCACTTTATTTTCTTGCGTGACAGGCAAAACATTTGCTGAAAAACTTCCTTGATGAGAAGGTTTGCATGCTATCTCCTTGGCAGCGAAGTTTCCTTGTTTTGTTTTTTCCTCAAACTTTCGCGATGAATACATTACACGCCGCGGATCGTTAAGTCGTATGACCAATTATTATTAGTTAAGCAGTAGACCGCACCTTCAATCGGTTTACCGGCGCAATGTTGGGAGAACATGAGAAGATTTTCTAAATCAGGAAAGGTGAATGCTAATTCATCTTTTCGAGTGTTCTCCCAACATGCTGCAGGTTATAACGCCAGTAAACCGATAGAAAAATAAACCTTTAAAATAACCTTAATTTTCAATGGGTTTACCGGTACAATAAACGATAGGTTTTTGATCAATCAGGGTGTTCGTAGTTTCTCTCAGTTATTTTATCACGTGAATGATTGTGGAGGGAACTTTCTCAATGCAGCATCTTTATTTTGCTATATAATTTTTTGAATTGATGTAATGACTTTTTTTGTTCCTCTTGTCAATTTAGCTTTGAACACACAACAGATTAAGAACTGGATCATCATGGAAACGCTTGACAGTCTCATGATAGTAGTCTGTGTTATTGCACTCATCATTTTGTTGTCGTTGATCGCCTACACGTGGGTAAAGTGGCATAAGCAAGAAGCCCAAGCACAAATGCAAATCATCAACCAGCCACCCCCACCTGCATTTGAGGTCGCAAAGCACCAATCCTACCCCCCTCAAGGGCATTTCCAGCATGGTTACCTGAACGAGGCGGGTAAAGAAAGTCCAAATCTGAGCGGCTCCCGGACATTTCTAAACGATGACGTGTTGAAGCAAAAGCCTTATACCAAGGGTGGACGCGCACCTGAGTTTCAAAGCGATAAAGTTGTATACCATGCGATTTCTGAGAAAAATCCTGACACACTTCAAGTTGGTGATGTAGTGTTCCATGCCAAAGGACCTACCGCTGAAAACGGAACGGCTGATGGTGTAGACGCAGGTCACGTGGTATTCAACACAGAGGACGAAAGCGTACGAACAAGACGGGCCTCGTCGCATAGCAAAAACACTTACTTGTAAGGAAATTATGCTTACGACTGCAGTTTGTGATCAGAGTCAATATCTGAACAACTGCGCTCTTACCCCTCCCCTAACTCAACAACAGTCAACTGATAACAAGTCAATTTTAATGTTGGTTTAGGGGAGGGGTAGGTACGTAGTAGCTCAGATACTGACATTGATATGTAATTTAGTTAAAAATTATTTTTACAAAACTTTTGTCATATATTCTGATTAAAAGGTTGTTCTTGCCTAAAGGCAAGGACGTGTATAGCGTCTGATGCCATTTTAGAGGTTATTTTAGTGGAACGTACATTACATACACTTAAGGTTGTCAAACCATAATTTGCACGTGTCAGCGCAATCTTGAGTTTTACCAGCAGTAACCTTGCGATTCTATCAACTTGACATGCAGATTTTTGACGAGTGGACCTTGGTCTACGAAATGCACTGCACTGAAATTAGCCATAACCATTAATAGAAGGAAACACCTCGGATCAAGGTTCAATAGTAATCTTTCGTGGAATATCGTCAGCTTATCAGATCTTTTTCAGCATCTGTTTACTCACATTGATGAAGCTTGCAGGATAAGCGTCAGTATTTTTTCTCTTTTTTGGGCTTTTGAGGCCAACACCGAGCGCTAAGGGTGTCTCTTCTTTCACATAAAAGCTTTCGTGAATTTGTGTTACCTTTTGAAAGATTATTGTAGTATCCTTGTGCAGTATTCTAAATTTTTGACATTGATTTCTTCATTTCTTTTCCGCGTTTGTAGCGTATAAAGAAGTATAGTGTGAAATATCTATATAAAATGTAAACGTAAAAATAGCATGGCAATTGGGGGAGATTAGTATGCTTTGTATATTCTTGGTTGACCTATTTTTATAAACGTTTTTGTGGAAGAGCTATGATAAATTCAATTTTTTTTACATGTAGGACTGTCGTAGGTCATTTCCCTTGGAGGAAGGGACTGGTTACCAACAAGCATTTTGCAATGAGTTAAATACTTAGGGACTACACATTATTTATATATCCCTTGGTTGGGTCGGAGGATTTTGGTTGTGTCACGATAAAATCGGCTGACCCCCTGCCCCCCTCTCATTGGCAGTCAATTTTCTATAGTCCCCCGTTTATACCCTGTTGGCGACGACTGATCCTCATCTCCGTTCCCCCTGAAAACCATGTGATCTACCCAAAGGATAAGTAAAGATTGGCGCCTTACTGGTCTGTAACTGGTTGTCAGAGTACAACCCAGACGAAAGGATCCCATCCATTTGACTGGACGGACAGACATATGTCTAAAAAAGAAAACAAAAAACAATAAAGCAAAAACAACACTGACGAGTAGGTGATACATATTTTACATCACTAGAGCGCCATGTGTCTCAGTGGCTCAACCGGCGTTAATTGAGAAAGGAAGGGCTCCTGGGAAGAAATGGGTGGAAACACCAGATTACAGCCTCCCTATCGAACGCATAGTTTGTTCTTAAGAATTTCAAGGACGAGCAATCATCCACCCGCTAATTTTGTTTTTTGGCACCTCAGTTTTGAATTTTAGAAATTATTTGGCCACGATGCCGATAAACCTCAGCAGTCTGTAGTTTCACGCTGGTCCCAAATGCATTTATACGTTTTTTTTACACAGGAGGTCTTGGCGAATTAAGTTTCAATCAGCAACTGAGGCTTGGCTCAGTAAGAAAGCACCTGATAGTTTGCATTATTCAGAACGAGCGACTTTGCCTACAGTTTAAAAGCGCCACACGAGGAGACTAGATACCATTATTTCTGCTGATGGATACCATAAGGGATTACATGTTCTTTTTTTCCCTGATATAACATTGGGAAATATTGTACAGCCACTTGAGAGTAAAATAGCGCTAAACGTTCTCTTAAATGTACTGAGTAAATTACTCCTACCAAGTGGCTTACTAATTACAGCCCGAAGTCTGAAAAAACTATACAAATGGAAAAACAGTGAGGATCGTAGCCAATCAATCTCTTTGGCAGCACGATATGAATTTGCGGTATAGTTTCCATCGTCTTTTTTGAGCCATTAACGTAATATTATTATCAAAATTTTATGAGGAGGAATGAAACCGACGGAGCTATGTCTGACCGCGGTCAATATTTCAATTTCGAACACTCGCGTCAAGAGGTGGCGAGATGAAGGCGAGATGAAAAATAATTGAGGAACACGGAAACAGCCAAGCCACGGTGCATTTTACTTGGTAAGAGAATCATTTTCCAAAAATCTATGCCGCTGAGTCTAAAAATGGAATATATATTTTCAAGTAAAGTAAATTACCATGTTCATCGTGAAACTAAGCATATTTATTCAATACTGATCCGTCCGCTCTATTGAATACTGGCCTAATAACACGTTACAACCGCAATCTAGGAATGGCTTATTAAACTGCGCAAACAGAACTGCCGTCTTCTGGGAGATTAAAGCAGTGCTTAAATATTAGAATTATTGCATCTAGGGTGTCAGCCAGAAACCCTTTTTCCTTTTTTCTTCGGTTGTAAAAATGTAACGATATTGGGTCGGGTAGAGTCTGTTAAAAGCCTTAGCTAATTTTTTAATGCATTACACGACGAAATATAAAATTCTGGATGAAAAAAAAGAGTAGCGACAGTAACTCTTGAGAAACTGATGACAAAAAAGTTATTAAGGAGTATTGAAGAGAGGAAAGCTTGTTTCGGAAGTAATTAAAATCATTCTGATTTGCACGCATGACAATATGCGTCTTGTACGCTGGATCAGACGTCTTCAAGCGAAAAGAACTAGAAATGAATTAGTTGGTTTATCTGCAAAAAATAAATGACAGTTATACCGAAGAAGAATGAAATTCAATGCCAAAGTGATTAAAATATGACCCAACACAGACCTTTGTAGCATTACGTTTTCCTTTTTGATATAAGGAGAGATAAAATTTAGCTGGCATCACATGAAAAAAAGGATGCCGTGGATCGCATTTACATCACATTTACCTGATTTACATTTATAGCTTAGGTTTGTTAAAAACGCCCACTAGTAATTTTTTCTCCTTTTTTCATTCAGAAGTAGCACCCTGCTAGCTTATTGTGGGATATGAAGAAAACGCCTCATTTATTTCTTTGTGTCTTCAAGAAAGCCAATATTACGAATGTTAAGTCTCGCTCGCCTAGGCACTTTCTTCGTAAATGATGGATGGTGGCGACTAGCGAGGCAAAATTAGTCTCATTTGATTCGAGTGGGGAACCATGAAAGGATATTACTGTTTACGCATTGCTTGCGATCAAGATAACGTCAAAAATGATTTATTCATCAGTTGCACTCACCTGTCAGAGTTACAATGCACCTGTACTACGCGTGCCATCCGCCAATTTGACCACAAGACAAAGATATGCTAAAACACTCATTCGTTGAGGGATAACACATAACACATGGCTTGCGAAGATACGAGTAACGCCGCAAGCGAATAGCTAGGCTCTCGAACACATCATTTCTCGTTGATCTAAATCGTTCGCTTTCATTACTCTGCAACAAGTGGCTTCTTGTATTCCAGTTGACGCTATTCAACGACAGTAGGGCTCTTCACTTGGCGCGTAAGTACGTCTAACTCGCCCATATTGATAAGTTGTAGTTGGTAAACAGAGAATTCTCTGATTTAAAGGAAATGAGAAGTTAAGTTTGTGAACGAGTTCCACAACAAAAGGACTTATTGATGAAACCGCAACGTGTTCAGACGTTTATCAAGTAAACAAGTTTTTAAGAGTGAGGGATTAATCTGTCTGGGTATGCGCGTGCCAATCGACCGTAAACTGCTGTTCTTTGTTTCCAACCAAATGTTGACAAGTAAAATTGGGAACTGTTGATTTGAACTTTGTACATTAAGGAAAACTTCGTCCGTTCTCTACAAGGCGAGCAATTTAGAGATCATTACTCCATTTTAAAGGGAAGTTTGAAGGGCGCAACACCTAAGAGAGGTGAGTTCAAAGCGTATCAGTCAAATGTAAATAACTCGCTGTTTAGAGAAAAGATAAGTATTTGGTCGAAGTTGTAATGACTGTTTCAGTCAATTTGAATCTTTGATAAACCAAATATGTCGCACAAAAGGAGAAACATTTGTCAGGGAGGTGCAAACATTGATTTATTAATATTCTGTAAACCGCAATTTTAAGATCACTTGAAGTTGGCCAACCTTCTGGAATAAGCTTGGAATCTTCAGTCAAGTAATTAAGAGTCATATTGAATTTGGGCGTGGGTTTTGCTAACACAACAAAAGTAAAAAATTGATTACACTCAGACGTGGAAACTATAGAATGGAACGAAAATAACGTAAACTGTTATATCTTAATACTATAAAGAGATACAACTGCCATTTTTCCCCAAAAAATAACTATAAGAATTTTCTGGTTCTTTTCAATTTTTTATTCACTAATTAAATTTAGGCAAAGACTCTCGCGGTGAAAGCGTGGTTTAGTCTTAAGCATCAAAAAGCTCTCCATGGCAACTAATTCACACTGAGATACTCAAAACATAGGAAATTAATACTTTGGCGCTTTGAACAACGTCTCTTCAAACGACACTCTACATAGAATTACGGTAGTACATTTTACATTACAAAGTTTCTTTTTGATCAATCAAATTGTATCTACACTTGCTCGCGTGATTCTATCCTTTGCATGTGTTTTAGAATTTTCGCGAATAAATATGGATTTCGCGTATTGATTTAAAGCTTGTATTAGCCTCACCCTATGCAGCCAATACCAAGGAAAAATAGATTAAGGCAAGAAAAATATATTTGGCTAAAATAATTTGAATAATAAAGAAAAGGGCTTACATTAATCTTAACAAAAAGTCATAGTTTTTCATCAACACAGGCGTCATTAGAAACTCTAATCAAACAGAGGCTTTCTTGGAGAATAATCACTTGTTTTGAAATCAGTTTTCACCACACAAAAATAATATAAACAAAATTATCAGTTTTGTTATTTCATGATACATTCAATAGGTTTTATATTTCAGCTGCGTCCATTCACGGTTGAGCTTTGCTTACATTTTGTAATATAATGTATAATAGTCTTCTTTTTCTGACATTGCCAAAACTTTATGATGTATGTTGTACGTAACCCTCGTCATAAACTTCTGACATACACGAGCTTTGTTTAGTTCGTCACACAGTTTTGTGCGAATATTTTTTGTATGAATAAATAACTGATATGATATCAACCGACAATTAACATTTTTTTTTAAGCTACAAACTTGATGATGGCAAAACTCCTTATTCTTGCTAAGGCTTTGATCAACTCTTAGCAATATATTTCTCAGTCGGTTTTACCCCTGTAACTGAAACACTATTTTATAGAGAACGGCGCGCATTTTTAAGAGAACATCTTGTCTTTTTCGGCAAGCTTCGCATCTGCCGAAGTGTAACACTCGTAAGTGGATTTTCGATTGATCGAGATAGATTTTTGCCACTTAGAAAAACGACCTACTAGAAGGTTTTTTTCTAGTAACAAGAAATTATTATAATCAATTTCGCATTTCTCTTCTTTTTTTTTTCTGAACAGAAGAGGCAAAAATTAAATGTCACCCATGTTTTAATTGAAACGGAAATGTAAATATCTGCATCTTTGAGTTCATCGCCATGTTCTGTTCACATAAGAGAGGTGATTGGGCACAAATGAAGCGGTAAGGTAAACACTTGATGCTGTCGCACTTCAAAGTTTCTCGTAAATTCTGGTCAAAAATGGCACTTTAATTAGGAAAGTCATAAAAACTTCACAAGCGTGAAATTAAAGTGTCAAAATAAAACACTTGATGAGAAAAATAAATTGAAAAGTTTTTAGTGTCAAAAAGCCGGATTCTATTGGAGAAGAGAGATTTTTAGGAAGCCGCAAATCTTTTTGTTTATCATTTTCTGCGCTGTGTTTATCAATCCTTTGTCACTAAGCCAAGCACGCAACGCTTGGGAAAACTATCTTGAACTAAAAGATAGTCTTTTTGAGCGACTCTTTTATTTGTCGTTTGAGGTAGTAAAAGGCTTTTATGAAAAGTTCGCTCCGAAGTTTTTATCTCAAGGTATTTTCCAAAGTCGTGAAGAAGGAATGTTCGGCGGTTAACCGCTGTTTTTAAAGACAAATTTCCGATTTCCGCACCGAAACCAAAAGCAGGATATCCCAGAGACCACGAGGGACGGTTTCTTTTTATCGGCAATACGATTTCGCGATAAAATCGAAGCTACTATACACAACTTAGAAGGTATGCTCTTCTTTTGCAATCATTCCTGAGATAACCTCCTTAATATTTAAGTTCAATAGTTTACTTTGAACTATGAAATGCGGTTGGTTGTGGTTTGTAAGTGTTTTTGGTACACAATTGTGTTACGTCGGTACGCCTTCTTATCAGTTAGATGAACCAGAAAAAGCTTTCTCCGGCTATAACCAAGTGTTAAATCAAAACTCAGAATATGAATTTATGCGTGTGATAAAACTTAAATTACACTTTTCATTACCATATAACATGACTGAATTTATGTATCTTACGGTTCTGTCTGTCTAAACCTGTAGTTCTAAGTCGAATTGCAAGAACTTTCCCTAAGCTAATCTTGGTCTTCAAAAATCGATGCCCTGAATATAAACTATTGCGTTCTTATTATTTTCATTTCCAATATATCCTAGATTTGGCACTTAAACTATATAAAAGGAATTAAGACAACCAAGATATTGTATATATTTATGCTAATAAACAGCAAATCAATATTCAGAGTTAGTGAGGCATTTAGATTTCAAACTGAGTGTTGTCGAACACACGGAAACCTGAACCGAACGCGGCAACCCACAGGTAATTTTATCTTTAACTCTTTATGATGGCAACTTGCCTGGTCTCGAACTTCAAAGCTGATGCTATGTTTTGTCTAACTACCATACGTTATCTAAACTGAAGGTTTGTCTTTATCTGTTAGAGAAGTCGTATTGATTAGTAAGATTTGGTTTAGTTGGGGCCAGATGACTTCAGTATGAAGTACAAGTGTAGCAGTTGTAGTTTTAGTTGTAGTAAACTGATTAAGTTCGTTATTTCAAAACTTGTGATACATCCTTAAACTAGTCTAGTAACTGGTAACTGTAACCTCTCGGAAGGAGTATAGAAATCTTTGACCGAAGAAAAGCCACCACCATCGAAATCAAATGAAAAATTTTGCCACTTTGATACATTAACATCATAAAGGAGCCCGCCGTCAAGTTGTTTGCAATGACTGACTGATTTTAAGTCATGACAACAGTTTCAAGAGAAACCATATTATCGCTAGAGAAACATGTGACGAAACTTTTCCTGTTTCGCTTTTCAATTGCTCTTTATCTGATGGTTGTTTTTCTTGGCAAATTCTCTTCTTTGACGTCTTTCAAACAAAAACGGTTTCGCTATTTTATATATTCACTAGACTAGAACTTGGTACAAACTGATTGCATTCACAATTAGTGCCTTCAGGCAATATATAATTTTGGGCAAGGATTCATAATTAGTTTGAAGCATTTTGAAAATTTCCAAGTCGGAACCTCTCATAGAAACTGAAGTATTTGGAGCCATACATTTCATATATTTGGTTCTTAACTAAGGATAATTCGAAATATACAAGCTGAGTGCTTCTGAAGCAATTAGCATGAGAGACAATTCTCCATTGACGTATCCTGACCTTCGCTGTCGTAACTAAAAGCCTTCTACATTATCAAACGCTGCATGCCTGGAGTTTTTTCTACTCAGGTTTTGCAGGAACCCACTGGATTTTTCTTTTTTTTTTTGTTTCGTTAACAAAAATGTAGCTGAAAACGATGACGAATTTCAATCGCCGTGGTTTCTCACTCAAAGAAGGCTTTCAGTAATTACCGTAACACCGACATAAACTAAGCAATATCAAATTTTCCGGTTTAAAGATATGATCATTCATTTGCTATGTGGTGTTAATCTGGGAAATATGTCATTCCTTCTAATTTCTTAAACCAAAAACCACGACCGTATTTTTGTTATGAATTCAAATTTAGCTTTAACTCAAGTTTGTTTTTAATCGCTAAATAATTACACAGTCTTTATTATTTTGTGACTAAAATCGTTCTATTTTGTTATCTTTCTTATTTTGTTTGTTTATCTATATCTTTCGGAAAGCTTTGTTACAAGAGATGATCACATTGGACAAAGCTGTCTATTTGGAAAAGAAAAAAGAGCTTTCTTCAGATTTTTAAATTGCAGAGTCATACCGCAATTAAAATGAAACACATTGACACGCGATAAAACGACAAAGGCTGACCAATATCGTAAAAAAAAAACGCTTCGACGGAGGCGATCCATAGGTCTAACTTAATCTATTGGCAGAACTATATCTGTTGAAGCTAAAACCTCTTCACGTTGAACCGAATTCTTACCCGAATCCGGTTTGAATTAAAGAACAACGGGCCAAATTTGTGAAACTCGTGTTTCTGAGTGTAAAAAGTCAGAATTTTTTTGCGTGATGTGTACTTACGCACCTAGCTTTTAATTGGAAAATATTAGAATCAGGTAGTGAAGTTGGAATAACACTCAAACTGTTCCAGTAGAGAATATCGAAAAGTACTCCTTCATGTTCCCTTTGGAATAATTTGACTAAAAATCCTCAGATACAACATACCGTTTCTGTAACACTTAATTTTAACAACGTCACGGAAATAACATTTTTAACCCTCTCTAGGTAAAGCTAAAGGAATGGAGACGATGATTGGTGTAATATTAATGATCACCATGGCAACAAATATTCATTGCGTAACCAGCCAAGTTCGTCACTTGATAGTAAAGGGCGAGATTGTCATTGGAGGTCTGGTACCGATACACGATCATGACTTAGTGGATCAAACGCATTGCGGAGATCTTCATGAACGCATTGGTATCCAAAGACTTGAGGCCATGCTCTTTGCCATCAACAACATAAACAAAAACAATTCCATTTTGCAAGGTGTCACCCTTGGACTAGAGGTGTATGACACCTGCTCTAGCGAGACAGTGGCTCTGGACAGGGCCTTACACTTCGTGCAAGACAGGGAGGCTATCCGGGAACATCTTTCCGCAAATGGTTCCGTCATGGTGGGTGTAATAGGACCATCTTTCAGTTCCATATCCGTGCAAGTTGCACATCTGTACCGCTTGTTCCAGCTTCCGCAAGTGAGTTTTGACTCCACGAGTTATGAACTGAGCGATAAAACAAGATTTGAGTTCTTCTCTCGTACAGTTCCACACGATCTGTACCAGGCCAAGGCGCTGGTAGATATCGCTAAAGTCATGAACTGGACCTACATCTCAATTGTTTATAGTGACGATTCTTACGGCACGCTCGGCTATCATGCTGTCAAAGAGGAAGCAAAAAAAGCAGGTATGAAAGCTTTAGCTTATGAGGAATGTTCACAGGAATTTTCAGTGTTCATGCTTGTAAGTAAGGGAAGGGGGGGAGGGGGCCTTGCACTAACGCCCTACCAAGATGCCTTTAGCTGAGGTATTCCAGGTTGTTTTAAATGTTATAAACAATGACATTTTTTGACAAAGTAGGGAACTACGTTCACCCTAAGACCTCCTTCCCCGTCTCTTTCCTATCACTGTTTACCAAACTTCTATCAGCATCTAAGCGAGTGGTTTTCCAAGTCAAATCCTGCATTATGTTCAAAAGCTTTCTTTGTAGTGCGAATTAATGGTGCTAGTGGCGCAATAACCTATCAAAACTCGACAAAAAGAGTCAAAAGACTCAACGAAATGAAAGGAAGGGAGATATGCACGTGTGAAGTGTAAGTGTAATTGGTACAATTTTAGTTCCCTTTTTTTTACTCCTGACTGGATAAAAAGAGAGGAAGTATGGTAGGAGTACATCGCGTATATGAAACATATTGTTTTGATTCATTTTAGGACAGCAAGTCAGGCGATGAAAATTAGTACTTTTCACCGATACTTCTCCGAATTCAGGTCACTTTTCAAAATACTTTTTTGTGTTTAGGTATTTGTATTGCTGTAGCCGAGAAGGTTGAAATATCTAGTCCAGCTGCTACATTCAACATAATCATCGATAAACTCCTGCAAGAGCCCGAAGCCAGAGGCGTGGTAGTTTTCAGCAGTCAGGAACGACAAATCCGAAATCTCCTTCAAGCTGCAAAAAGCAAAGGAGCATCTGGGACTTTTCAGTGGTTAGGAACAGACGCCTGGGGAAACATGTTGTGGTTAAAAGGCTTGGAAGATGTGGCAGAGAACACCATTACAGTTACTCCGAAAACTGTGGGACTGAAAGCTTTTAACGACCATTTTTATCGTCTAAAGCCCAGTGTGAACTCCAGTAATCCATGGTTTAACGAGTTTTGGGAGCAACATTTCAATTGTTCGCTCAATAGAAGATTGAATGGTAAATGTAGCCGCTTGAATCTTAACTTTATGAACAGTCCAGTGGATAATCGTGTCGCAAGTGCTATGGATGCCGTCAACGTGTTTGCACATGCACTAGATGCTATGCTGAAAGATAAGTGTTCGGGCGCGAGTGGTGTTTGCGAACGCATGCGCAATATGTCGGGAAGAGAGATCTTGAAGTATATCAGAAATGTCTCTTTTATAGGAGAAAGTGGTAATCATATGCACTTCGATGAAAATGGTGACGTTGAAGGGCAATATGACATTCTTATGTTCACAAAGCGTGGAAACGAGTACAAAACTGTTCAAATTGGCGAATGGGACTCACACCTGTTGAAAATGTATTCACAGGCTCTGTCAGTTTTTGGTGGAGTGTCGTCCTCTTGTCACCCAGTTTGTAAGAACAAAGAAGTCAGAGTGCCTGTTGCTGGTAGAGAATCCTGCTGCTGGACTTGTACTTTGTGCAATGGAAACCATTATATAGTCAACGACAGCATTTGCGAGCAATGCCCTCTGGGATACAAACCAACGTACGACGGACGCTCGTGCGTGAAAATCGACATCATGCATTTTGGAAAGAACTGGATTCTTTCTTTATCAGCCACCGCTTTTGCGGGTCTAGGAGTGGTGTCAACACTTTTTGTAATCGGTGTGCTGATCAAATTTGACAAGACACCGTTAGTCAAAGCGTGTGGTCGGGAACTTTCCCATCTTCTGTTGATTGGTATTCTGTTGGCCTTTAGTGTGACGTTTGTTACAATACTGGAACCTACAGATGTCACTTGCATTGCACGTTTCTTTGGCAACGGTGTGGCTCTAACAATTTGTTACGCGTCCCTGTTTATAAAGACGAACCGCATCTCCAGAATTTTCAATCGTAAGAACTTAGCTCGTAGACCGATACTAATCCTGCCCTTATCGCAGCTTGTTCTGGTCGTTGGAGTAGTCTCGGTGCAGATTTTACTTTTGGTAATGCTTGCGCTTCTCCGGACTCCGCGAGCTAAATTTTATTACCCAGAAATCTCCTCAGTTTACCTCGATTGCTCGACTTCAAATCTAGACTTTGGACTGTCTCAAGTGTATAATTTTATACTAATTACCATGTGCACGATTTACGCTTTCAAGACCCGGAAAATCCCCAGTAATTTTAACGAAGCGAAATACATAGCTTTTGCCATGTATTCATCGTGTGTGGTATGGCTCGCTTTCTTGGCGGTGTATTACATGGAACAAAAATACGAACTGAAGCCTTTGATCTTGTGTGTTAGCGTTTCTTTGATAGCCTTTGCTCTCTTGTGTTGTCTTTATGGGCCCAAGGTATATATCATCCTCTTTAGACCACACAGGAATGTCCGGAGACACGTAAACCCGAGTTTGAGTCTGTCCAGCTTGAGCAAAGAGAAAGGCCAGAATTCGAAGTCCACGCATGCGTACGTCGGAATGAACGAAAATGCTGAAAACGAGGGTGAAGACATCCCTGGTAGCAGGTAATGGAAACCTCGTCACTTCTCAGTTTTAAGCCGGATTGCTTATGCTATGATCGAATACGCAGCAATAATGGAAAAATCGAAAAATCCGTGAACGTAAATCAGCATTAATGACAGGGTATCCAATTCCTTCCCCTGCGGCCTCGTGCTGACATCTCGCAAAAATTATAATTTCTTGTTTGGATGAGTTATGGTATTTTCTAAGGTATGGAGCACAAGGGCCACGCTAAAATTTTTAGAAGTTTCTGTGTTCTAAGTTCTTCTTCAGCCCTGTCTGTTTATTTCCAATTGATGATAAAAACGACTTTTATATTTAAGTAAAACATTTGAGGCAATGGTAGTTCTACAGAATCTAGATCAGTTAATGCTTCTATATTTTTATGCATAAGCGACACTAGTGGATACATGGAGCTGTTTAAAAGGCTTTGTAAAAGACTACTTTGAGGGTAGTAATTGCATACTATGATTTGACACTCCAGTTCAGAAAATTTTTCATGTTCACTGATTTAAAAACTCGTGACGCGATGGTCAGAAAAAAAGAAAAACTTTGCTAACTTTTTAATTATTTTTTACAGCGCTGAGGATGCATTAGAAAAACAGAAGATGATCATGTCTTCAGATTCAAGCAAACATGCCTCAGAGACGTGTTCGGAGGAAAACAGTGACCCCACCAAGAAGCTTGAGGTATGTATCAATCACTTTTTTTACTTTAAATTGATCTATCACATCTTCATTCAGTGAAGCATTTTGCTAGGAGCTCTCTATTCATAACTTTCGATGCTTTCACTCGAACATCAGAATATTCAATTGTATGTGATCACTCTTTTTATCACGAAGATCACTCCCCTTATCACGATAGCATATATGAGAAGTTAAACGCCACAAGGAGCCCCACCCATACTCACTTAGTATCCACGAAGTGTATTTCCCCATCAGAAACTGTTCATGTTATAGCCAGGCGTTCACTGTCAGAGTCAGAGCTACTTTGTTACACTTCATGTTTCTTTCTGCAGATGGAGAAGCTTATTAAGCATCTACGAAAAGAGCTAATCTCTACCAGGGAAACACTCCGCACGACACAAGACCAACTTTTCAGGCGCATGCAGAATGGTCGAGACTTGAGTGAAACGAATTTGCCACAAGGATACGAGAAGTTACAAGCACATAAAGGTGAAGCTTGTTCAGGGTGGGTATCATCATGACGTTGCCGTGATTTGTAGGCCATAGTGATATGACGATAGTGTGGGTGGGTGCAAACCTGAAAATAAGACCTTTCAGATGAAAGTGAGCGACTTTCGGCGGCCTTGCTCTGATGATGACTTTAGCGTGGGTTTTCCGAAATGTCATTCTCCTTCACCGACAAAAGTCCTCTGAAGACGGAGGTTCTCGCACGGAAGATCACCATTGGAAGGTCACGCCATCGTTACCCCCCCCCCGGTTTAAACCGTTAAATATATTACCGAGATGTTCGCTGACCTCCAGGTTACCAAAAAATCGGCCATTTTCGTTCCCGAGGCATTTGTACGTTAAAGAAAATAGTGATTTAGTGACAGGATAGGGCCAGCGGCGATGACTGAGCGTGGGAGGAAAATGAGTGAACGAATCCTAAAGATTGTGCGATTTTATCAAAATAAGAATTTTCACGTCACTTTTTCTACTCCTGATGTAAAATTTTAGATGTACTCTCAGCGGATTTGAACAAATTCTGACCTCTTTACAATATTTTTCATATCTATTTTATTTATGTATCACAATTTTCATTTGATGTTATCAGTTCATTTCAATGTATTGTGCCTTTGAACATCTTGCGTTAAAAGTGCGATAGAAATCAGTTCCTATCTAACTGTTATTATTAGCCTGAATGTTCTACTGCGTTATTTTCATTTGCGTTGCACATGTGAACTAGGCTTCAAGCCTGGTTCACACGTACGACGTAAGTGCAAATGCAAGCCACGTTCGTATGTCGAACGCAAACGCAAGGAAGGCAACATATGCAGGCGTAATGGAAATGCTTTTACAAGATGGCGAACGAGGATGTGGCCTCAGCACAACGAGTTTCCAGCTTTTCCTATTGTCATGGGGGTATAGAGAGGAGTTTTAAACTTAGAGTTTATGCCAGCATCTTATTGGAGTTTACTGAAGAACACAGCACGTAATACCATAGATCTCAACTCATTCATATGAAAGAAATAGGGAAGATCAGAACGGAATCACGCGCGCAGGCGCACCCACGCCCCTAACTGGTGTATGTTTACTGTTACTTTCACTTGGTTTAATAATTTTCGTTTTCCTAGGAAGACTTTAAACAACTGGCCGAAGGGAAAGACACCGAAAGTTTCTTATGAGGAAGAAAATAGTAAAGAAAACATATTTTGTAAACAAAAGGACTTCAAAGCAACTAAAAGACAGAAATTTTTGCGCGGGGAAAAACCAATTTCATCTCAACGAAGGTTGCCAACTTGCCTTCCACTCAGTGACGTCATGGAGGATAAGGATTTAGAAGGTGCTGGTGCTGATCGTAATATTACGGGCTCAGATATTGACCGTAAAACACATGTTATGATGGATGGTGACGCTGACCTAGAAATCGGCAAGGAAAAATTGAATGATACCGAAAAAAAACGTGCTCATGTTGATAGTAGATGTTTTAGTGACCATACTCCTCGGAGGAACAGTATGACAGACACGTTACAAACTAGTAGAAGGAAATCAGAATCTGACATTGACTCGAAAACTAAATTGATGGATCAACATTTATCAGAAGGGGTGGATCAAAAGGAAGGCGAACAAGATGCACAACTGCTTCACAATAAAACTCCATGTGAAACGTGTCAGTTGCTTCTGAGTGATGAACAAAACAATAGAGTTATTTGCACCGCATGTTAAAGAAAAGAAACTTACTGAGTAGGATTATGAAAATTAACTAGATCTAACTGGGGATCTTAGTTTAATTCAGTGAAGAAGCAATCGAGTTTCTACCGGTCCGGATAGCTAGCTGTTTTAGTTCGGATACTTGATTGAAAGGAAAGCGACAGAACCGCAAACACGTAATTAAAATAAAAGAACCTGCCAAGAGGCAAAAAAATAAAAACACATTTTATTGCGGTTCTTAATTCAAAATATTTTCTCCTTCTTATTCTTCTCGCGTCATGTCACTACTTTCTCGGCTTCGTCGCTCAAACTCAGTTCCACAAAACAACCTGCCAACACTGGCCAACGGGGCCAAGTTTCACCCTGAGAACCAAACTTATAGGGTTTAAGCTAGTTTTACTGGCCGTGACCGATATCTTTTGACAAAAATTGCAAATGTAAATTAAAAGTTTGTTAGTACCACTTGCGCACCGATTTTGTTTGTGTAAGCCAAACAAAGAAATGCAGACGAGTAAAGTAAAATTATACTTTTTCGAAGTCATGTAATAGCGAAATGAATATTATCAATCAAGTGTAGTTTTTCAGTGGCTGTTATTCAAATTTTACGTGCCAAGACGAATACACCGTTAGAGCCGTCGTTAGGGTTTTTTACCCAAAACGTTCCCTTGTGTGGTCTTGTGTGAGTGCGCGTTGAGTGGCAAGCCGTGACCGCAAGGTGGCGACAAAGACCAAGTTAGAGAGAGACAGAAGGCATCTCATCCGTTGTCTGGTTGGTAATTTGTCTGCTTCTCAAGATCTTTCGCTCATTTCTCCTTTTTTTCCCTCACCTCATTTCCTCCCTTTGTTAAACGACCTTAATTGTTCCTTCCCTCCTAAGAAAAACGTCGAAGAAAAAAGTCCAATTGGTATAGAAATGAAACAAAGAAGAAACAAATTCATCCTAACTAACACAACTATCATAAAAATTACAATTTCCTCGATTGTGATTGGTTTAAAAAACTCCTACTTTCCACTTATTCACTTACCAAGCTATTAAAAGTTAATCACAGTCAAATTATCGGACAGTTAAAAGAGCTAATCACATTCGAAGTTGTAGTTTAAATCAACCAATCACAACCTTGGTTTCAATCACTATAGAAACAATGTACAGACTCCTAAATTGCGGCTATTTTCCAAAATGGAGAAATTTTTTTGCCTTGAACAATAACAATATTTTGGAAGACAGTAGAAATTTTGTTTATCCTATGGTTCAAATGTTTACGCCAAAAATCCACACTCTTTTCTCGGAAATTGTAATTTTTGTGATTGGTAATAAGACTTAGTGTCGTCCAATTCAGTCTGTAATCATACTGGTGATGAACAAATCGGACTCCCGACCGAATTGAACTCCACTCAGACCTATTCCATTACTAACTACGGTGCGAAGAAAAAGGAAAGATTCAAATTCGACGATCCTTGCCTTTTTGTGGCATTAGATCCATATGAGATGGATATGTAAGGAGGTCCAAAATACACTAAATATTGTGTTATTTTCATCAGTGCGTCACGCAATCTGTCATGTCAATAATCATTTGGACCGTTTTATGTACTGAAATCCGATTTGTCAACACCATTGTTATGAGGCGCAGCAGTTCTTGTGCAACGCTTACTTCGAATATCCTGCGCTGTGCAACGTACACCCGAGAAGCTAGAAACAATTCTTCATCTCTACCTACTAAAAGGTGAATACAGGGTCATACAAGTGAGTGCTCTTCAAGGTGGGTATTGTTTCGGGCTAGGGGAAACTAGTGCTCTCTCTTTTGAAAATGCGAGGTAGTTCGTAAACAAATTACAATCTGCGATTATGTTGTGATCTCAGGCAAACATGTGCTCTTGCTTTCGTTGTGTTGCTAGAAAATTGAACTAAACGAAAAAAGAAAAAACAGAAAGCGACTTGTCTTTGTTAATTCTTAAAAGTCTCTTTTTCGGGCTTTAGGACACTTACTGAGGATATTTTCACAAGAAGATTCGGGTCCACAGGTTATTTGCCGGTGCCTAAGTATAAATGTGCATTGGAAAAATCGCGATGTTCAGCGTATAGAAATCATAAGAAATGTTTTTTTCTCTGGCGCAACAAATAGCGGAACCACCATAATCAACGGCGAGAAAGGAAATGCGAAGTTTTAAAAGATATCCTTTGAAAAATGGAGGTTAAAAAGCCACGTAACACTGAGCTTATTTACTCAGTAGTCACATTTTTGGCTTCACGCCTCTGATTTTTTTAAAGTTTTGATTCCTACGGAAGATTCTGTCTGTTACTAGACATTTAAATGTTTTGAAAGTTAATACGACACTTTGAAAACAGCTAAATGTGCATGTAAAAAAACTTTTTTACTTTTTTCATGGTGATTCCTGATGCCTAATTTTAACATTTCGGCAATCCGCAATAAGACCAAGTCCAGATATTACGCGCGTGCTGAGCTAATGTTTTACTAGGAATTCTTTTATTACACTACGTCCTCTTACCGGATTCGTTGTGGTTTCTCTAATAAGGACCAACTATTCATGTATGACGGAAATCCAGAGGCATCGATTTTAGTTCGAGTTCTAGCAAGGATCGAGTTAAGGATGGTTGGAATCACCGGGGTGTTACTGTACGGGGAAAGGATTATTAATATCGTCTTGATTTTAACGATTTAACAAAATATAGCATGATTTGATGTAAACTACCTGTAAGAGAACTAGATAACGATCCTGAACGAAAATGTCCGCAGATAGGACTCGGCAAAAGGGTTTCTCTCTTCGTACGCCAGGAAATTTGAGTGTTCTTAAATGAACTGGCATGTTTCACCACCCAGGGAATGTCAAGTCAGATAAATACTAGAATACACCTCAGGGGTCCTAATATGAATGACAGGGTGCGCCACGACAGGAAATTGAGGAACTTGTGCAGTACGAATTCTGGTTAAATAACTAAAAACATTACCTAGTAGCACTCAGAGGTGAATATACAGTGTGCTAACAACATTGTTTTGAATTTCCAGTTTAAATAATCAAAAATAAAACCTCTGCTGCTACTAGTACCTATTAGAATGAGATATTAAAATTATGGAAATTACCTTTTTTTCAGAGGTCGAAGCTATATAGCATATTCAAATGATTTGAAGTAAAAGTGAGCTATAGTGTGCCTTCTTTCACCTAGAAAGAGATTGTTTACAGCTGCGGAGATGCTGAAGATTGGAAATTGTTAAAATCTTAAAAAGACTTATGGCCACGACTTCACACACTGTGGAAATTTTTCAGGATACCTTCATCGATATGCCCACAGGCTTTTAATACTGAAATATATACTTTAACTCCTATAAAAATTATCTGTATATTCCGAGCGTTCCAAGCCCTCTGCTCCTTCCTTAAACAACTTCGAAACCAACCACAGGTTTTCTGATCATTTCCAGGATTGTAATCAGCATTAAAAAGGGAAAGGAGCACAGTTGGCGACATTGTTTCAAAATGTGTTCATTTTATCACCTTACTAATTATCTCAAGAATTTTATCGAGGATTGCAGTAGCATCCAGTGATACATGCAAGAGCACCTCTTTAGTTGATATTTGGAAAAAGTATTACCAACGCTGTTTACTCGTCTCTTTAGATCCCCTCCGTAAGGTAGACAAGGGAGACTAGAGAGTCTAGTGGTCGTCATTTGTGACTCTCGAGGAAGAAGTGCACTGTAGCTTTGCAAACGTATAATAAGCTTGCTAAACCTTCACGAGTAGAGCAGTTAACATTACAGTTTTACTTTATGCTGTTATGTCGCAAGTGTGAGGTGAGCTTTAGAAATTGCAGTTATTTTCTTATGAAAAGCGATACGGTTGTTTTTGTCTCGTAAACTGTGCGCTGCGGTAACTCTTACCCACTCGCCAACCATGAAGTAAATCCGGATCTGTTTTTTTTTTTTTTTTTTAGGCTCAAGTTATCATGGATACGAAAAGCCTTCTTGCCATAGTTTTCATGGTGATCGCCATTGTTATTCTGCTTTCTCTCACAATCTACACTGTGGTCAAATCATGGATGCAAATAAGCAGAGAATACGAACAGAGGCAACGTTCCTCGATGGAAGATACGCATTCGTTTGGAAACACGGAATGCGACAATAACGAGCCTGCTGCCCCCAATGATACCTTTACACTAGGTGAAAAGAGCAGTGAATATGCACAGGCTACGTCAGACTGCTGTCAGACTGCAGATTCGAATCAGAATGAACATGGGGGAATAAAAAGTAGCAAATCGGCAGTAAAAACAGTTCTTGTTCAAGTTGAGACAAGCAATGACACCAGCTTTTAAAGGACGTTCTGAGTTACATTTTGATGTGGAACTTGCTTGGTTTTCTAGAGAATCAGTCAACAGATAATTTTTCTGCAGAATTATCCAGAGAAGAATGAAGAGAAACAGACATTAACCGACCTCCAGGGAATCAAATTCGACAATCAGAAAGCACTTTTATAATAAGGGAGAACATTAAATCTTTGTTGAGAGTGTAAATTTCGGGGAATGTCGTGGAATTACTCCGCCTCAGATACTTTGATGAAATTACAACAGCTGTTCATGCTCAGGTTTTTTTTTTTACTTATTCCTCGGCTGGAAAATCTCTCCCATAATTGACTTATGGAAGAAAAGTAGCGTTTTCCAGGTGTTCAGTTATTCAAACGGAGCGAAATAGTAAACAGCTCGGTAGTAGCAGCTTTATGAAAAAGCGCGGGAGGCTTGGGTCGGTTTGAGTCGGGTAAAGAATCTTACTCAGACCTCCCTCGCCTTTTCACTCCTCCGCTTCTATTGTGTCAATTACTATCACGCTTCGTTTACCGTACTGAACGCCGTCTGGAAGAGGCTATTAGGAAAGCGACTTACGGAATTCAGAGTTACCGTTCGTTTCATTAAGTACACCCGTCTCTGCAGATTGTCTCCATTTTCTTTGTGACGCTAATTTTAATGTTTTCATTAAACATAAAGGAAGAAAAAGATAGACGAGATTATTTGCTGTAAATTAAAGTAGCCTGGGTTAGTCATACAATTTAAGATTTTTCAAAAGGTTAAATTTACTCCGAATCCTTTTGTAATTTATAAATTAATTTTTTTTTCAACGATTAAGATGCGATAGAAAGAGTACATTTATTGTGTCTGTATAAAGTCAACCAAATAAAACGCGCGAATTAAATGATTTTCTTGTCCAAAATTACGCCAATGGAAGGTAACAAAATATTGCTAATCTACTCTCAAGTGTTAGGAGCAGCTTTTTAGATAGCGGATGTTCGAACTTGATAACAGTGATTTCAGGACTGTTCTACACTCAAGGAGGTACAGTTTCCGCCAGCGGCGAGATGACACTGTACAGTTCTATCCGTGAACACTTTTGACCCCTATGAGTGATACGCAACTAATTCTCCTAACAGTATCACCCATGAAAAAACATGAAGGTCGTGAGAATAAAGGGTTTGATCGCTAACTCAAGAAGCTCTTGATTGTTAGATAAATTCTTGTTGTAAGTAACATACCAAATATAAGAGAACAGTATGGAGAATATAAAACTGATGTTTGTATTTAAAAGGTTTAAAAAAGGAAGCAGAACAATGCAAATAATATCGTCACCTCGAGACACTGAAAATAAAATTGGGATTATTTTTAGCCAAAAGGCCTACGCGTTTGGTTCAGAAGCAAACTTGTATACACGAGGAAAAGTATACAAACATGGGAATTTTCCGATCAAAGGAGAGGAAGACTGTGTTGTTGCCCTTGGCATGCCCTTGGTGTGCACTTCGAAAAAAAGATGTCATTTACGTTCATCGCTGACTACCGATTACAAATCTTCAGAATGTATTGCAGCAGCGTGAAAACGGCGTCAGGTGGCATTTTGGCCGAAAAGTAAAACCTTTTTCCGCTTGAAGACGCCGACGGAGTAAGAAAACACCATGACGCCGTCCTTCACGCAACACATGATATGCACCAAATAATCAGATATGTCCTAGGACAATTTGAGGTTTGTCAGTTCATCTTATATGGCCGATTGGTTCCAAATAAGCCCTGTTCACTTTGATTCGACTTAACAGCGACGAGTTTGCATTTGATTGGTTAAATATGGGGGAGCGTGAGTTTCTAAACCAATCACGACGCGGAGTATGGAACAACTATGGCAATCACGAATTACTTCCCCCAACACAATCGCATTCAGTTAACTTGACCGTGATCGTTATCTTTCTGATTGAGGAAAATTTGCCAGAAAAAGAGCTTCATTCAGTTGATTAAAAGTAAGTTGCACCTGACTCTTGAACGTCTATCAAACACACATCAATAGGGATATCATTGACAGTCCTTTCTCTGTTTCTTGAATCTCTTTATTGTTGAGTTATTTGTTTGTTGTTGAGAACTTTAAACATAGTTTTATACAGTTTCAAGTGTTCTTTGTAAAAGCATTATCTCGCTAATAAAAGTCGGTGTGCTGTTGTTTGCGCGCGGACTATTTGCACAGATGGTGAAATCTGCATTGTCGTGAGAAATTAGTGTTCTTTCAAATTATTTTTTGGCCTTTTTCTTCCTTCTGTCCGCCTCGGAAAAGAGTTCAGATAAAATTGGATTGCGTTTTCCCTATCAGCTAGGTATACCTTTTTAATTTTTGTTTCTTTCATACTTTTAAAGTGGACTTGTGTTTGACGGTCACGGCGAGAAAAGCTTGTTGAGGGGTAAGTTTTTTTGGGTGATGCACCACCATTTTTCGATAAAAAGTCTACCTCTCCTTGTCGTCATGCAGGAGGATCAGTGTAGAATGTTTCATGGCATGGCACCCTATTCCTCCTAATTTCGCCTGGCTATCTTGCGTTTGAAAGCATTTGGTAAAAAATCGAAAATCGAAATGCTAGACGAAAATGAAATCATATGTTAGAATTTTTCCTTTTTAATTTGTCTCATTATTGGTCCGGCGGTTTAAAACTAATTTTAAATAGCTGTTTGTAAACGGCAGCCAACGAAGAAGAAAAAAGCTATCATTATTTCGTTCCGAAAATCACCACAGTCAATATTTAAAGTGTATACAAGTAATTTAAACTTCTAGGACCGAGCAACAACCAGCAGCAAGATAGGATTATTTAAATATTTCATGAAGAACAATGATGTTTTGATTAAAGGCGATCCAATTCTCCAGAAACTCAAACTGAAAGGTTATTGCTGATGGGGCGACAACCATGGTAAATTAAATTTGACGAAATTAAGAGCGTGTGCATGCCGCATGTGGAAGTGATCAGCAGTCAAACGCGGGATGTTTCAACGCTACGCTAGTCATTAATATTTCAAAAAAAGATAGAAATTAAAGTGATTTAGGGAAGTTCTCTCTAGAATGGACTGTACCGCAAAATACTGCGGCTTACGCGCAGTCTTGAAAAATATTGCGAAACATTTTTCACGATCGCGTTAACAAGCCGAAAAGTGATAAAGGACGTATTTATCATTACATACGTCAAAGTCAAACACAATCGAGGTATCATCCTGGAAAATTGTTTTTAATTTGTCATTGTAGTCCGTGTAAAAAGCCTCTTGATAGTTTGTTAACGCGAAAAAAAAAGTTCGAAAACATTTTCCAAATTTGGAGAGAAAAAGTCATTCAGTTTCGTTAGACATGCAGTGCTTTCTTGGCTGCCCTTGGCATTCCCCGCACTCTTTTTTAAAATGTTTATTTTAATTTTCAGCTATATGACACGCACGGAGGCAAACCTCTAAATAAATAGTGATTATAAGCAAAGCCAAACGGCGAAACAAAACTGCGATTTTACTTACTTTTCCCATAACCCTTAACAAAAACCCTGAAGATAAATGGCAAGTAATATCTCTTGTTCATAGCTAGTGTGTATATGTTCATTTAAGCACATAAACGGCTTAAAGCAAAAGGCACGAAGTTGGATTTTTGCTGTTTGCTGCAAACGTCATGCATATAACCTTTTTTTTTTTATATTTTTGTCCCTGTGCCCTTTGGAGAGTGAACGAGTACATTATATGTGATTGACATACAGCGCAAGGTATTTCGCATTCACGACTCAAATTATTATTTACCAGTACATTTAACGAGGGATTGAGGAGCAAGTCATTATTACACGCTACCATTGACACTTTTTAATTGGTAATTTAAATTTTTACCAACAAATTGTGAAATGAATTCCCATTTTCAGAGAATTTTTCATTGTTGTATTTTTTGTCATGTTTTTTTTTTTTCTTGGAGGAGCATGGCACCTTTGATAAGCGATTTGTGCACTGATAGAAACGGGGAAATTAAACATTCTTGGTGGATAAGCAATCAAACCCCAGCAACAAGCCAGAATTGTATTATTCAGAATGATATATGTAGCCTCTCTAAATCAAGTTAACCGCATTGGCCAAAATTACATTCGCCTTAAACAAACAGATTAGCTGTCATAAGCAATCTCCTCTGCATGAGATTTAGCAGGCTGTTTTTCCAAGCCTCCATTTTGCCTCCTTCTTGTTCCTTACTCATGGGAGCTCGACATCTGTAGAGGAAACAAACGAAATTGATCATCATCTCTGTTATATACGTTGGCTTGACAGGCAGATATCAGTATTTACGCTCCGTCGCTAATGGAAGGGTACAGCATTTTCGCTCTGGTTCTACTCTGTGCAGCTCAGACGTTCTGTAGCCCTGTCGACTATCAGAGTTCATGTAAGTTCATTTTGATATTTCAAAATTTTTTAAATGATTGTTGAGCACAAATACCCATAACGGTGAAGGAAAGCTTTGCAAACGCGATTTTGGCATGGTTTATTGTGCAAAAAGAGGGAATCCCTTGATTGATTTGCAAATCTCACGAAGAGTATCCTCGGCTCAAAATCGGCACGCTGAGAAGTACCTAGAAGCAGCCTTTCGAGAAAAAGTTGTTTGAGCTTTCATTCAAATTTTCCGGAGCAAAAGGAGAATGAATTTGTTTAATTTTACCGAGAAACCTTTCCTCTGTTGCCCTGGATTTCCGTTTGTTTCCCCTATGCTAGATCATCTATAAAATATAATTTCAGAATTTTCTCTTATATGTGTCAGATTTAGATTTGTTTACAATTAGTACCACTAAGAGTATCAATGATGATTTTGAGAAGCTGGAATAGTTCTCTACAAGATTTGTAAGATTTGGGCAATTTTCTTTGTCAAACAAACCGGAGAAAAAAAGATTTATGATAGAGCATAAACGAATTCAAGGCGTTTGTAGATAAATCTTATCTTTCATATTTATTTCCAAAGAGCAAACATGATAAAGAGGTGTTTCTCTCTTAGGCAAGAGCCTAATTGCTAGTTACCCTGGGAAACAGTTTAATTACCAAAACCTAGTTTTTACAGATTTGTTAGTTAAAAAATCTAAAAACTTCTCAACCCACTTTTTTAGCATATCAAAGAAGTCTGGTTCATGACGATAAAGATCAACTTTCTGGTGACGACACGATTTTGGATCACATCGTCAAAGTTAATAAAGGTACCCCTCCTAAAATAAACTCGTAAAATGTTATACGTGCTTTAAATATTCTTCCTTTTCTACTTCTACGTAAACGGAAGATTTCTAATTCTCACATGGTAAACAACTCTTTTCTGGCTGACAATTCAGTGTAAATAGAGTATAAAAAATTATGCGAAGATCAACTTGAGGGCAGAAAAACACGTATTTTTATTTCAGGATGTCACTTAACTGTCGTCTTGTTGATACCTCGTGGACGTTTTGCAATATTTATATTTTTTCGCCTTGTTTTTAAAGTTTTATTGCCTTTCTCTCGCTGAGATTAGTTCCTTCACCAAAAAAAAATCAACATTTCATTTCTATCCCGTGTACCATGGCCTTCTTTATGAATTTGCAACTGCTTAACTTAGGCTACCTTTTTGGACCCCTTGGGCATAATTTCTCCTTACAATATCAAAAAAGTACCTGACAGACAACTGAGGAGAATAAAGAAAAATATCAATTAGATTATCAGTTGACTCAATACCAAATTCTCCAAACTAACAACATAACAATTGTACGTCAGACAGTAAGGAGAATTGCTAATGAGATCTTGGGAGTAAAAGGGCTAACTACGTTGTGAATTTTCAGTCCCCTTTGACTCAATCGTAACCGAAGTTAATTAGTAAAATTATCAATTGTATCACCTTGTTGTTATTAATATTGTTGGTTGTGTTGCCCAGATGATGACGTAAACATGTACGAGGCAGATATCGAGTTATCACCTGATGACAATGTCGATCTGAGTGATGATGGTGATGTGGACGGATCGGGGATAGGTCTGAGGGAGAAGCGCAATGCTGCACGTGACCGAAAAAAGCTCTGGGTTACTCGTGTTATCCCTTATGAGTACGACAGTGGTCTTCCTGGTGAGAGCTAGCAAATTATAACAAAGCTAACAAAAACTATTGATAGACAGAATTGAAACTGAGAAAATAATTAAATACACCACATTAGAGCTAAAGGGAATTTAATGTTAAATCCATTGAATGATGATCCTATATTAGCTACAGAAAGCCACTGAAAACATAGGTAAACATTCAAATTGTTGGTTAGTGTTTCAATTCCTTGTTTTCCAAAAGATTCCGGTGCCAAGATCAAAAACAAAATAAGTTGACTTCGCGGTTCCTTTATGCATTTACCACATTAGACTATTCTTGACCAGGCACTGAGTATTATATATGCTGACTCTGACCAACTTCCAAAGAATTCAGTTTACTTCCCACCAATCCCTTCAACATGGTAGGATACAAATTGGATGCTAAATCGGAGGGGATCAGTTTTCAAGTGGGTGTTGAAATTAACCTGTGTTTTCCCTTCGTTGTCTTCTCTACTTCGCTGCGTATTAATTGGTAAGGAGACCTTTCACCACCCTTTTCCACTGATGAAATACAACACTAAAGCCAATAGCGAATTTTGATCTCCTGCATTTAAACGATTTCAAGGATATCAGAGGAAAGTTAACTTTTCTGGCAGCGTATAGGAAGATACAGTTCTGGTTATCAGCTTATTTCTTGAGTAAATAGTCTAAATAGTGATTGTCTTTATTTTTTCCGAAACTTTAGACAGCTTCAAGCCAACAATTCAGGAAGCCATAGCCGAATTTGAGACCAGGACGTGTCTGAAATTTGTGCAGAGAAGTAGCGAGACCTTGTTTATCAAAATTGTCCATGAGCCAGGGTGAGCAAAAGTCTTTTCAAAATCGAATTCTCCTCAAATTCTCATCGAAGTTCACGTCACGTAAGCGCTGTACATTATCTCATATTACTCCTGTTCTCCTCGGCCACAGCTATTTCTCTTAAAACTCGCACCACTATCTCTCATTCACTCCCAGATGCAAACCTAAAACCAGTCCCTGCTTAGTCGATCACATTTTCCCGCGCTTTAGGCTGATTGGCTCTTAAAAGTAATTTCCTTTCTTCTGATTGGCTGTTGTGATACCTTTGGTTTTGGTTTTGGCTTTTACGACACGAAAAGACCAAAACCAAAGTTATCAGCGTATTTGTCGCTTTGAGTTCTCAAAAATTCCTTGTAATATCTAACTTTGTTCCAAATGGCCCTGATTTCTTAGTTTTTGTTTCACGAAAATCTATAGAAACGCATATTGATTGTTTTTGTCAGGTGCTGGTCATCAGTTGGTCGTCAATATTGGGGGTCAGGAACAGGACAAAAGCTGTCTCTTGGTCCCGGGTGTAATCACAAAGGGACCATCATGCATGAATTGATGCATGCTGTTGGTTTCTGGCACGAGCAGTCGCGACCAGACAGAAATCTTTACGTGGAGGTACTTTGGGAGAACATAGCGGCTGGTAACTATCACTGATTATCCCGTTATTTAGTTTGTTTTTCTTGGATGATGGGGAACGAAGAATTTCTTTTTAAGTGTCTTGTTTCAATGCAGATGACAACATTACAGAAATTGCATCTTGATGGCAGCTATGTAGAAGAGGTTCTTGAATTTTGAATTCACTAACTGTCCCACTTCATTCACGTGGCTTTATGGTTAGCGCCCTGGATTCCGTATCAACAGATCTGGGTCCGTGTCTTGGCCGGGCAACACACTTCATACGTACTGTCCCTCACTTTGTACAGAAAAAAAAAAGAACGGGTAACAGCCCCTGTAGTTAAGAAGAGTTAAAGTAATGCTACCTAGGGTAGGGAAGATAACTTTATGATGAACTAACATTCTGTTCAGGAGAGTAACTATACTCTTATTCACTTTCTCCTGTCTTTAAGATGAGGATCACAACTTTAACAAGTACAGCCATCGTGATATCGACCGACTTAAGGTCCCGTATGATTTTGACTCCATCATGCACTACGGGCGTAAAAGCTTCTCCAAAAATGGCAAAGAAACCATCCGATCCATCCTGGATCCTAATAGGAATTTGGGACAGAGGAATGGATTTACTGACCTTGATGTTCATGAAATAAATGCACTCTATGATTGTGCAAGTGAGAGGAAAATTGTTTTTCTTAGTATGTAAATAGCTAGGCCATTATTGAGATAGACGTGTACTAAACGAAACTTCTTGGTGGCTCTTTCTGATTTCAAACCATATACCAAAATCTATTCAAGTGGAATTTATTTCTTAACAAATATTTCAAGTCTATTTTAAACTCTAAGTATACATTTGCCCTCTAGAATTGTTAAGAGGCGAAACAAGCCTTCTCCCGGCCCTAAGCGCCCGGGACTCTCTAATCAAGAGAAAACGAAACAGAGATGTTTGTCTCGCGACCGTTCACTGCCCTAATGAGTTCTGAGTTGTCTTTCATGTCAGCTTCGAATTAAGGTACATCAGGAATAGGAGATTGTGTACCAGAGAGACACAAGCAACATCAATACGAAAAAAAAAACTTTTAACAACCCAAAATTTTACGTTTAGGTTCTAGAGGAGAAACGTGAAAATTATTTGTCTTTTTTTTTCTCATTTCTACGTCTTTTGTTCATTAGCAAGTGGCAGTTGGAGTACCTGGTCAGAATTCGGTCCATGCAGCACCTTCTGTGTTAAAGACCGTCAACGTTTCTGCACCTCTGGTGACGTGAATAAGGACTGTCCAGGAGCGGACCAGTACGGAGTTGAACTAGAACAAGTCCAGTGCAGTGACAAGGAGTGTCACGGTTTGTTACAATCAAACTGCTGCCCAATTTTATGGCCCCAATATCCTATGTAATCATCTAATCATCCGAAAAGTAGGTGATACACCTATTTAAATGGGTAAAAGGAGAAATTATGGTGCAATCGTAATCAATCACCCTGTTCCTATGTTGCCTTTCAGCAGCCACATGAACCAACCAGTGTCCAATTCTTTGTGTCGTTTGGTGTTATTTTTCCGCCACGAAAGGTGGAAACCAATACACAATGCTTTAACTCGACAGCTGTAGTTTTTGCCACTCATTGAACTGTTCCACTTCCAGTAGGAAGCATGGGCGAGGATGGGAAAATTCTTTAGCAAGGGGCCTCCAACAGCATCTTGCTATTTTGTTTTCTTTGGTTGTCAATAATTACATTTTTTTAAAAATCCATTCATAATTACATTTTTTTAAAAATCCATTCATAAAATTCCTTCCAATTGCACAGCACCCATCGACGGTCACTGGGGCCGCTGGTCATCATGGGGTTTGTGCAATGCTGAATGTGGGTTTGGAACACAAACCAGAACAAGATCCTGTGACGATCCACCTCCACGATATGGAGGCAAACAATGCACTGGTATCTCGAAAGGTTCCCAAGACTGCAAACTGAAGTCATGTGGAATCGGTAAGTAGGTAAGACTGAGTGACTCTGGCTTGTAGACACACAAAGCTTTTTGCTTCTATGGAAAGCCGACAATGAGCCTTCCTACCCAGGGCTACACGCGTTAGGTCGTAACTTTGACCTTGACTAAGGAATCCAAGGCTACCCTTGAGGCTACCCCAGAGGCCAATCCAAAGGCTACCGTAGTAGTGTCCTCTGTCTAACAATAGGAAAAATGTAATCCCTTTTTGTAAGTTAACCTAAAACTTCTGCATTGTTAGCTAGACTTGTTTGGTATTTTTCTGGAATAACAAAATCGTGTCATTATTAAAGTGTATCGCTATCCTACTAGGCCTAAGTAACTTTATAATAGGGCATCGCACTCTCTATCGGTTCATGCATATGTAGAGCCTTTTCTGCACAAAACTTTTTCATATAGGCCCCACTTTTATCATTCTTCAGGGCCTTATGATTGTGAATTTGACTTTGATGGGATGTGCCATTGGAAGACAGATGACAGTAATCCCTCACGTTTCACCTGGGAGCGAAACTCAGGCACCACACCTTCGTCTAGTACTGGACCATCCGGAGATCATACATCCGGACCAGGTAAAAATGAAGATTTATCACAAATTTATATTCATTCGTCCTTCATGAAGGTTTACATCACCGTATCACCAGAGGGACAATTCAGCACATTTAGCTTCAACAAAAAAGCATTGTAGATACTGTTCTTACATCTGAGGGTGTAGAGTTTTCAACGTCTATGTAAGGTGTCTGTGTAAGGTGAACAAAAGGTTGCAGTCTAAACGATAGTAGAGTTAAAAATAACTCAAGGATTGTAGAAACTTCAGTTGGTGTCACGACTTCTTAAAAATACCGATATTGCAATTATCATTTGTTCCCCACGAACTGCTCGGACCTTTTCCTTACCTTTTCCATCTGGTGCCACACGAGCTAAGAACCAAACAATGCCAGCTTGCGGTAATGAATCTATCGCTGCCACCTATAACCTAAGCTCTTTCTTTCTAGGCTACTACCTATATGCCGAAACCAGTGGTATTCTTAAAGGAGACCAGGCACAGCTTGTCAGCCGAACCTTCCCTGCAACTAACGGTCGTTGCATGACGTTTTGGTATCACATGTATGGCTCAGGGATGGGAGATTTGAATGTGTATGTCAAGATCAACGGTACCAAACATAAGGTCTGGACCATGTCTGGTGACCAAGGAGACGAATGGAAAATGGCCAGAGTTACTCTTGTTAGCAAGGGATACCAATACCAAGTAAACACAACTTATAAGTCTTTTTTTAAGTCTTTTTTACACCCAGCTTAATCCTCAACTTAAAGTCCTTTCGGAAATATTTGCACGAGTTCAATTGTCCTCTACCCGACGCAATTGTCTTTATTTAGGACTAACCCTTTTTATGACCAAATTCTGATCTGCTCTCAAAAAAGTATCCTTCAATCAGATTAAGACCTCGTTGGTGCATGAAACCAAGCGTCTTCCACTGACACAAACAGCTTGGAATTTTTTTTTGGGGGGGGGGGGTGAAATGGATTTCCTAAATCAGTATCTTTCCTGAAAGTCACCTCAATTCAGATCTGCCCATACACGATCACACTTTGTGTTCGTATTTTTTACCCTCTCCCCACGCGAACCAAGACATTGCTACTGGACGATATAGAATGGTGTGGGACGATCAAAGCGATGTGAACTGCTTCTTAAACTGTGTTTCTCCACCTTAACTGATGAAGTGACTTATAGACTTTTTTCTCTGCAGGTGATATTCGAGGCAGTTCGTGGATCAAGTTTCCGAAGTGACATTGCACTGGATGATATAAGCTTTAAGGATTATCCTTGCCGTAAGTCACTTCTTTTCAAAAACATGACGTACAGTCTATCATGATATCTCGCGCGATCTCTCTAACGGGACGGAAAAGGCTGGGGGGGGAGGGGGGAGGGGAGAAAGCCCAGAAAGTGTGCGAAAGGGAAACAAGCGTCAGCTCGGAAAGGGTATTAACCGTGTACACCCTAACATCAGAATTCATATTCTCCATACTGTTTGCACAAATTTTCTATGGTGCTGACAAGGAGAATTTGTCTAACAATCAAGGGCCTATTTAATCATTGTGATCATTTCCTCGACTCTCGCGTATTTCAGGGTGTTATTTTTGGGAGAAATTTAATGCTAGTCACTCTTAGGGGTTGAAAGGTTAAAGTAAGACGCTCTACTTCCACATTTAAATAGTTTTGAGGTACGCTAACTCATCAACTATATAACTATAATCAAAATCTACCCAAGTAGCGTACAGCTAACAGTACGATCCCACGTGGATCTGAATGTGGAGGACTTCAAGCATAACCGTGGATTTCTTTTTATCCTATAGTGGAAGCCGTCGGTTGTTACTTGGACAGCGTCTCTGCGCGTGCGTTTCCCGATTTACTTAAGAACTTTCGAGGACATATAGACTGGTACCATATAGAAAACACCATCGGCGACTGCGCCAAAGAAGTGCAAAAACTAAACCTCGCGGTAAGTCCAGGTAAAACCATAAAGGATGCCCGTTCCTATGCATTAGGAAAATCTGAGCGGATAAGTTGTTCACAAAATCTTCGTGGTTTTCAGCAGCGCTGTGATAGTTTTAGGCGATCGCCAACCTTTCGTAACCCCTCCTTCTTGCTAGACCTTGCTACCGATACGTACATTCTGTATTTCAAACCATGAACTCTGGGTTTTAACCCATTCACCTCCATGATCTGAAAACCAATTCTCTTCACTCTCTGTCGTACATTTTTTAACATTTTCGCGATGAGAATTTGGTGTTCATTCGATATTTTGGACCCTCCCAGGAGTGAAAGGGTTAAATCCACCTCTCTAAACCACTAAGATCTGAGGTAGCCTCCATCGTTGCCGTTACTCCCTCTCTCGTCACTGAACATGCTCTTTCCAACGGAAGGGAATGGGAAAGAAAGTGTGACAGAAATTAGGGCGTGCTGCGTGACCATCCATCAATATAATATACAGATTTAACCAAGCCTGAATGGAGCACAAGAAGGTTAACTTTCTTGTCCTTCACTTTACTGAAACTCCTCACTAGCTGTTGCAGAGTTGGCTTACAACTTTGTGACTGGTCATAATTTAAATAGGGGTGGGAAGAGGAGTCCAGGTTTTTTTTTTCGAAGAAGTAGGGTGGGCTTTGCTTTTTTTTATAAATGTTACAAATATGGAGTTTTTCATCTTCTGTCCCATCTTTTACTTTGCTCACCTTAAGAGTGATTAAGAACCACTCTAATAAACTGTGTATAAAATGCATCAATCAATTCGAAGCTTTACTATCCCACAGGCAGCCCCCTGGAAACTTGAACTTTTGAAGATTAGCTTGTTCAAGTTCCTTCCCCCCCCCCCACCAACCTTGAGCAAAAATTGCCTCCTAACGGCTCACCCAATACTGAACAATTCTCTGTTGAACAATGTTGTAAAATTAAGTCTCGTATTAGTTTCTGGTGCTGCTGTTGGGTTTTTTCTTGTAAGTATCATTCTACAATATCAGGAGCTCCTGACAATGTGAAAATGGTCTTTCTAATCCATTCACTCACCACAGCAGACTCTTTACCTTTAAACTCCTACATTAAAGCATGTATATTAAGCTTACACTTCCGGTTCAAATGCCTCACCCCACCCAGGCAAGGTTCAAATGCCCATGAGTTGTCCAGGGTTGAAGCTCTGAATTAATGGGCGCATAACACAATTCAATTATCTTTAAATAATTGTTATTGTGTTAGGTTTTTGCTCTTCAGTTCTATGGAGAATGCTGGAGTGGCAGCCCAGAGAAGATACAGTATGACAAATATGGAATCGCCCCATCTGAGGACTGCTGGGAGGGGGTTGGAAAGCATTGGACAAACTTTGTTTATAAGATAGTTTAGTAGAAGGTAAGAATGTTTCAATTCTTCTCAAATAGCAAATTATGGTTGTCTTGTTCTCAAAGTCAGTCATATCATTTACCTATCAAACTTCCTTATAGAATTAGAGAAGATAAGGGAAAGCCCATATAGGACAAGCTTTCACATGTACTTTCACAGTATCAGAAAGCTTGTGTTTATTCTAGATAGCAACATGACAGTGGAATTTAAAATCCCAAGCAGCAAATTTTTGTGAGATTGCCTCACCCTTCAGGCAGTGAAGTAACAGGAATGTAGAGCCTCAAGAGAAATAAAACGGACCCACGCCGGTCTGCAATTCACCCCATCTACATGTGTGCTGTGCACTCATTGAGAAGTAGTTTTGAAGTGTTTGGTAATGGAGAAAATCTAATTTTAATCTTCTTAATTTGCAGCCTGGAAGGACCTGGCTTATCATACAAAGATCATTAAAGGAAACAAACCTGTTTAAAACAATAATAATTAAATCTAGTACTGGTTAAATAAAAAAAAAAAACTCAATAAAGGAAGTTGAAATCATAAACATGGTCTTTGCTCCTTTTCCAAAATTCAATCTGGTCTAAGCACCATTTAATTCTCTAGGTGATAATCTTTTTTCACAAAATAACAATTTGATGCTTATATGTGCCACCGCAACTTGCATGTTCCCAAAAACTTCGCTTAAAAAGACCAGATGAACAAATAAACAAGTTTTATAATTAGCACAATTGTAAGTGACCAGACCATTCACAAGAATTATTTTCCCTTCATTCACTGATTCCTTTTCTAGAAATCAGTTTCTTTAAACAATATCAAATTGCTCATTACCGATATCCCTAAGTGGTAAAAGGCACTGCAGCACTTCAATACAGTGGTTTTTACAGCCACTGGTTTCAAGCATGTGTAATTTGTGGGAATTAAACTGGCTTCCAGATCCTTTAGTAAATTTGCCATTGAATCAATAAACATCATTAAATTGTTCATTACCAATATCTCTTACTGGTCAAAGGCATGACAGTATTTCAAGTGCAGTACCCCTTGAGTGTACTGTAGCACCCCCCACCCCCCCCCCCCTGTGCATCAAGCACATGCAATTTCCGGGAATTACACAGGGTTCCAAATCAATCCCTCAGGAAATTTTCTATTAAATCAATAACAATTGTAATTTGTCTTCAGCTATATTCTGAACTAGTTGAGCTTTCTCAGACTTTCCTTACCTAAACAGGTCTGCACTAGGCTACAAAATAACACATCATTTTAAATTTTCATAACCTGTGCATGAGCCCAGTTTAGATATCAATTTTAGCAAAATAATAATTTGATAGGTGCAAACTTAACACTTTATTCTACAAATATATTTACAATTTCTTCAAGATTTTCTGTAACAATCTTAGCGTGAGCAAAGGACATTGAAATCTTAGCAACAAATTTACTTGGAATTTAAGTTGACTCCTTTCCACCCACTTGGTTGAAGAGTTTATTCTTAATGACTTGGGACATGAGACCATGTATAGCCTCAATGGATGTTTTGGAGCTGAAAAACATATATAAAGCAGCAAATATGCATATCATCATCAAAAAAATTGCTTTGCAAACCTTTTTAGTACTGTGAAGAATGACAATATTGTTTGGCATAACATCATATTTTGGTCAAGTGATTAATTAACCCTTTTGACTTCAGGTTGAAAGATCCTGGGTTCAGCCATAACTTGCTTATTGTCCAGTGTCCTTGCCCCAGACACTTCACTCTGATAATACCCATCCTTCACCCAGGTGTATAAAATGGCAAAATTTCAGGGAAACTTGATGAATTTCTGAGAGGGAACCTGCCATGCCATAGCATCCCCTTTGGGATGAGTGTCAATGCTTCTTGTCACTATTTGCTTGGGAAACTGGAAAGACCTGGCATCGTCACTCATCATACACTATACATAACTATGTTACTTTCCTCTGACAAAGGGCTAATGCTCAAAACACCAGCTTAGAAACACCTTAGGGTGGCCAATTTCTGCTATCAAATCAACTGATAACACCAAATTATCTTGTTAGCAATGCAGCACCACAGAAATGTTCCCCCTTAATCAATTATGTAAGTTTTTCAATATACCTATCTCTAGTGGTTTTTGCGAGCTTTCCTTCCTCCTTTTTGTCTTGATCCATACCAATCATGAAACTCCCCATGCGACCTACCTAACAGACACAAGGCACTTTGCAAATCAACAACATGTGATTTAGACAACGTTTAGAATGTTTGATGTTTGCTAATAATGAAAAACTTATGAAAAGCATATGGCATCAATTTGATTTCAAAGTAAAATTTACTTACAATTGGAAGAATATTTAATCAAAGAAAATGAAATTTTAAAACACAGAGGAATCAAAGAAGATGACCAACTATGATATAGAAGTAGAATCAATTCTGTTTCATTGAATGAAATGCAATTTGCATTCTCTCATTCCCCCTTGAAAAATGAGACTTTTTCTTACTTGAGATTCAGCTTGTTCTAGTTTTTCAGAGAGATCTGCTATTTGATGGTTGGTATAGTCTGCATTCTGAAAATAAAAGAAACACAGCACTCAGAACAGGATGCAGGGTTACAGGCTAAACTGCCAGCCAACACACATATGCATACAGGCTAAACTGCCAGCCAAAACACATATGCATACACAGCCATGAATACTACAGAAACTGGATCCATTTGTTACACAAAATGCCACTCTTGGATTTACTTACATGAAATGTAAGAGTAGGAAAAAAACATTGCATTATCCACTCACCGTAAGTAGACTTGAAGATGACAGTGTATTTACCCAGTATTTATTCCACAACATCTCAAGAAGCTTTCTATCTAATGCTGATTTGAAATATGCAACCTCCAATGAATAATATCTGCAAATATTTAAAAATATGGCAGTTATACGGACAATATGGATTATTCTTCCCAAATCAATGAACTTTTCTTTCATTTCATCCTGTGCTTTTCAGATTTTGGTCCTCTATACATTAAGTTTCTTGTCCAGTAGTGCTTACAAGGGGTTTATAAGAACTTTTTAATTTACTGAAAACCATCTTTCGGACCTCTGCTTAACTGAGACAAGCAGACGAAATTTTTTCCCTGACTTCCTTGTCATATGAAAATTAAGAGGACAGAGATGTAATTATATGAATTTAAGTCCTGGGCACAGTTCATAGAATGTCAGTATTTAAACTATGAATAAAATCATCATTTATCGGTTCTCTTCTGCACTTAACATATAACTGTTAGGGAGTGTCTGCTTACTGTTTGCAATGGACTCCGAAGTCTTCTATCTTGTTCAAAGGAATAGTCTGATATTCAGAAGGTCCTTCATCTGGTGGCTTGTATCCCTGGATATCAAAGGAAACATTTAACTTGCATAAGTATTTAGCTCCTTCTAAAACAAAAATTTCCTCAGTTCTTATTATCATCAAATTTCTCCTCAATCTTACCTTGGGATATGTGCGGAATGCTCCTAAATTTACCTTTCCAGCTGAAATAGTTCGTGTGGGATCAATCTATGGCAGAAGCAGATGACCTTAAGGTTTAGGGCAAGTAGAGTGTCAATCAAGAAAGCTTTTAAAAGGAACTTATAAAGTTTAAATGCACAAGTTGAGATTTGCATTTGTTGTTATTTATTGATATTACTGTTGGATGTGAACATGTATCGTCCATGAGAAAGTAGTCCTGAGAGAGACTGATGTCAGTAGTAACCACTGACTTTTCAACAACCTGAGTGGAAGTCTCAGCTGGACAATCACACGACATGATCATGTTTTACCAGGGTGTGAAATTGCGCCTAATACAGGCACCAATGCGGCTAAATTTTTCACTTTGGTGACCAAATCCTGAAAATTAGTTGCCAAATTGGCAACTAGAATGTTTCATCATGACTTTACTTGTAGATATAGTGAATTACTAGGATCTGCAAAGATAAATCCACAGCAAACTTCCTCGTTAAGTTTGATTCCAAAATGCAGCACATGCATCTCGATAACTAGACACCATATTGGATTTAAGTTGCAGGTGAGCTTGAAGGTTGTATACCATCAATCCTAGTGTCCACTTTGTAGCAGGTTAAAGATCTTTTTCCTTATATAATTTTGGAGGGTCTATCTAGAATGCTGACAGCGTAAAAAAAAACAGTTTTGTTGGTCTTTGAAAATGACGACCAACTTTCTTTGAATTGGCTACCACTTTGAAGAATTTAGGAGCCAAGTGGCTATCAGAAAAAAAAAAATTTCACATCCTGTTTACTTCTGCATTCAAACCAATTACTGTTTTACTGTTACACTAACCACAATAGCAACAAAAGGTTCCTGGAACTGTTGATTCACCATCTGTGTACCAACATCAATTCCTGACAGCCAACAACCATAGCCAGGGTGACTATGATACCAACCAATGGCATTCTCCAGACGACCAACCTGCCATGGACGAGACTCATATTGCTAAATTGTATTTTTCACCCTAGCACCCTGTATGTTTATGTCTTGAAAGTAAGGTTGACATAAAACATAACCAACTGCAGTGCCAAGATTTACACCTTTTAGCATACTTTGTGCTTTTTTGTTTCTGAATAGTTTTTCTCTTTGCAAGTTCATTTTCAGCGACAGAAAGCATTTAATGCAATCAATAAAAGCCATGTGTGCATCATATCACTGAATGAAGGTTAGCAACAATCCTCATAACATAATGAAGGCTTTTTCTTACCAATTTAGATGACTCAATGTATTCTGCCATGTATTCATAAGCTGCAGCTTGTGCATTGACTCTTGTCTCTGTTCCTTCAACTGGTAAAGCAAATGCATCCATGACAATCATGGTGTTGCCATCAACTTTGCCCAACATTAGTCCCATGACTTCCAATGTTCCCCCTGACCTGGCATGCATCACCTAATAAATAAAAAGAAAGTCTCATGCCAGACTAAGTTTTATCCTTAGAAAGGTTATTTACCTCCCTACCAACCATGAACATGTACATTTACTCATAATAATGGTATGGAGGTAATTACTTGCAAAGAAATCTGATTATATGAGAGAATAGTGTCTGGTCCTTAAACAGCCCCATAGGGGCTCATTTGTGGTGTAAGATGCTCACCAGCCTCATTCTTAACCAAGAAACAAACTTAACACAACTATTCGACTGATTAAGCCATCTTCTATAATGTATTACATGTGATGGATGGAAAAAATAGAGAGATATTATCCATTATCTATTGTAAAAAATGATGTTTTTTTTTTTCCTCTTTCTTGCCTTGATGTGTACTTGGGATACGAGAGGCCAGCTGAGTTTGGTTTTGAAAGGAACCTTAACTTTTTTTTGTATTGGTCTGCTTGGAGTTATGGCCTGCATGCTTAGCACTCAGGCCATAACTCCAAGCAGAAAACTTAATCATGATGTAACACAACACAGCCCGGACCACAAACTTGGTTAGTTAGAGTGGTGTACATGTATATAAATTATTCAAATAGAAAATCCAGGACAAGTATAATTCTATAGGAATATGGGAGGGCTTAAAATAAGTCAGCTGCCTGTCTAGAAGAGTAAACAGTTTCCTACCATTTTCAACAAGGCCAGCGCTGAAATTTTAATGTACTTGAAGTAGTGAGGGCTATAGATTGAATAATAATGAAATCGAAGTTAGTAAGTGGTAAATTATACATGGATACCATGTACTAATTTTTTGCTGTCGAGGCATAAAAATGAACGTTCGAGGTTTTTGCAATGGTCAGATGCCCCAAAATACATAAGATTTTCCATACGCTAAATGATTTGACACAAAAGCCATGACAATTTCAATTACTTCATAGAGGAACTCACTCTTTCTGCCATGGTTTTGCTTGCAGAATTTCTTGCTGTTGCTGGCGGTCATACTTAAAAATTTCATCTACGCTGTTAATTGTTTCCATGTTATTGGACATTTCCCAAGTCTTAAAGGCCATAGAAGTATCCATTGAGGACATTTTTAATTCAAAATAGAGAAGAAAATCCTCAAGCTTGAATGAAGAGACAAAATGGCGGCTATTTACCCATGCTGCTTATCGCGCAGCACAAGAGTTGAGGGTCTGGGACGAGAAGGAAGAGAGGACGCCATATTGATAAAACTAGTGTAAACAGTGAAACGAGATTGTTTCAAAGCGATCTTTTTCTTGCCTTCCACGGTTTGGGTGTTTCAAGACAACAATTTGATATGGGAGAAGTGTATGCACCTACGGTAAGTGTTTTCAAGCAGTAAATTAAGAGCAGTAAGCCCTATTTATCAGCCACATGCTTTCCAGTTTCTCTTTGTTTTGTGTTTGCTACCGGCTTTATGTCATCAGCTGTTTGCTAGATCTTTCTTATCAACACGCGCTGCACTCATTGTTCTACATTGTTTATTTGAATTATTTTGCATAGTTTGTTCTTCGCTCCACGAAATAAGCGTACTTGGACATGACTGTCATTATTCAGAACTAAATATTTACATGATCTGTGATATTCAGACAGGTGTTGAATTAATATATGAATTGAATTTCGACTCTATTGCTTTACGATATGTGCGATCTGTGAAACGAGGATTGATGCGAGTGCTCTTAAGGAAACAAATTGGGTTTAAGTGGGCACGAACTGGAGAAAATGTTACAAGTATTTCACAGGTGTGCAGTTGATTCTGCTCGAAAGTGCTCTTAGCTTGTGAAGCTATCATTTAGTCACTGCTTTCCGTCAGTGTGGATTAATACTGTATCACCAACAGTACATGTATATTAAATAATTTTTCATAACAATACAGATCACAATAAAAACAATGAACATTTTAAGTACATGTTTTTGGCCAGTACAGAGAATCAAGCTGTTGATAGGAGTCAGATGCTGAAAAAACAAACAGAGAAAGTTGACACAAATGTGTTTTTCAAAGATCACAAATTTGAAAATGTTGGCACACAGAAAAACCAAGATTTATCTTTACAACCACTCACAATAACTTTTGTTCTATGTTCCCATTTATTATAATATATATTAGAAATGTAACATGTACTATCTTAAAGTTTTTTTAAATATCACAGAGCTTTATGTATAATATTTTCCCAGCAAATAATGTTGGAGACCAATTTGTAGAAAACTAATTTTGTCCTTAGAAAATAAATTAGTTTTCCAAAGAAAATCCTTCATTCTGATTGGTGTATGTATTTGTTTCACATTAGCCATTAGAGAGCTGGGAGGAAAAAGTCTCCAAAGTTGATACAAAAAAAATGTATTGTGAGAACATCCTATGCTAATTATTGTACTAAAATACTACCTTCAATGAGACTGGTACAATCATCAACAGAATGATTGATCCCTTCTGAAATTCTGTTGTGCCTGAAAGGCAATGCTTTTTATCAACTTTGTAAAATTTGGTGCTTGTTTTTGAATAGATGATAAGGTGGTTTCTTTTTGTTTAAAACATCTCTTGACTCTCAGTTTTGTGGTAAAAAGCTGCAACTTTGACTGAGTATAAAACTGGATTTTTCTTTTAAAGCAGATCAAAATGTTAGTTTTAGAACTTGAAAATATTCCTCTTCTGTGTCCTGTTGGTTGAGTCCATTGTGATAACATTATTGTGGTTCATGTCCTACTCAGGGTCAGTCTGAAGCAGCACAACTTCTAGCCACTTTCTGGCCAAGGCAAATGCAAGAAATCAGAAATATGAATACAGTAAGTACTCTGAATGATGGAGTGTATAAAGACAGGGACTTTTAGCCCATTAGACAACATTATCACTGTATGAACAAGTTTTAGAGTAGTACATGTGAAGTAATGCTCAAATGTAGACATTCTAGATTCAAAACTCAATCCTCATTGCTTGTAAGTTTGAAATTTGAGTTTTGATTTTCAAGAATCAAGAATTGAGTTCTGAAATACTTGAAGACTTTTTCAAGGAAGTGAGCTTATTTAATCCAGCATGGAGCAATTATGGTACATGTAGATAAAGCACTTGACATGCAGCTTTCTTAGTGGTGATAGTTTCAGTGGATTCCATTTTCCACAAGACCTAAGTTCTCCTTTTTTTATCATTGCCAATAACAGACAAAATATTCCGTCACATCTATAATACATGTTACACACAGTGATAGTGATGAAGCCAGCTTTCTTCTTCCCTTAGCACTTCATTTGTTATAGTCCAATATACTCTGTCTTTGCTAACTACAGCTGAAGTTAGTCAGTTTTTAGTCACTTTTTCATCTGTTATTTCTCAGAATGATTTCAAAGTTCAAGAGTTACCATTAGCAAGAATCAAGAAGATAATGAAGCAAGATGAGGAAGTCAAAGTAAATGTATTTGCTTCTACTTTAGGTTCTTTTGCAGCACATTTTCATGTGGACGTAGGCTTAGTTATCATACATAGAGGATATTACATAGTAGAACATGTATTCAGATGTCATCCTCAAGCAGAAATACCACTTGTACACATTTGTTACAAACAAGTGCTGTAAAACACTTGTCCGTATGCTCAATTTATTTAATGAAGTATGACTCTAAACATATTTTTTATACATTGTTCTCCTTTGATTTGTGTTCAGACAAATTATTGTATTAAAGCAAAATTGTGTCTTTATGTACTAACAAGCTCCTGACTTTTCACATTTTGGTGCAAAGAACAGTCACTATAGATAAGTAGAATTTACATCAATGCAAATATTTATATATATATATACATGTTTTAGTGCTATTTGATTGCATAGTTAAAAAATGAAAGGTGTTAACTCCTACTTACCAATATTTGTTCTGTGTTTCTTTTATAGATGATCAGTGCAGAGGTAAAGGATTAGTCTTGTTCATTAGTGTGGAATACACAGATAATGTATATCAGTGCAGTTTGCTCAAAAGATGATGCAAACATTGAAAAATTTTCATCATTATCATGGTATCATTCCTATGGGTCATTCTGGGTTTCTTGTTATTTTCTCCAATGCAAAGCTTAGGAGAGATTGTATATCCTTTGCTTTTCCCAGTTAACTCATTCTGCATTCTTTTCATTTTTCTAACATGTGGTTGCATTGGTTAAACAAACAAGGCGTCAAACATACTGTGATACATTTTTGGGGTGTGGCCTGTTCTCTGATCAATCAATTGGCAATTTTAGTTTGACTATCAATAACATTTTAACAATGAGTTGATTTCATGGGTTTTTATACATTTTCTTTTTCACTCATCTTTTTCAATCTTCTCCCACTACTTTAGGATGTGCATCTACATTGTACATAGCACAAAGGACATTTCTCTGATGTACACACATGTAGAGTGTACTATTACTTTAACTTCCCTTTGCTGTCATCTTTAGAACTGGTTCTTTGTATTTTGAAGATTGAAATTTTTCTTTATTATTTTAGGCTCCTGTTCTATTTGCAAAAGCAGCTCAAATTTTTATTAATGAGTTGTCACTCAGAGCTTGGATTCACACAGAAGACAACAAGAGAAGAACCCTCCAGGTACAGTGAACATTTCCCTTTGGATCTTAACCCTTTACACTCTAACATCAGTATGGATACTCTCCATACTGTTTTCTGTACATTTCCTGTGGTGCTGACAAGGAGAATATGTTTAACATTCTGGAGCTTTTTAAATTGGTGATCATTTCTTGTATTCTCATGACCTTTACATTTGATTCAAGGGTGATACTGTGAGGAGAAATTAGATGCCAGTCACTCATAGGGGTTAAAGGATTATGTGGTCATGTCAACAGTTCAGCTTTTGTGACTGGAAGTGGTAATTGCAGGGTAGTGATTTGTGGGGGTGTGTGTATAATTAATTGACCACTCCCCTTAGGAGGCTTTCAGGGCAAATACAGACAAATTGAAAAATTGTGAGTAAATGGACTGTTGAAAAGCCCCAAAAGGCAGAAGGTAGACCAGTTGGCTATATACAAAGTGCAGCCAAGGAGTTCAACTCAGAAGAACCGTAACAAATCCAGAGAGTGGGAGGGTGGAGGGCTTGAACTGGGACCATCAGATTACAAGACTAGGGCCCTTAACCACTTGGCCACACTGCCTCCATAACCAGATGTGACAATGTTAGAAATCATTAAAAAAAAGTGAATGTAAACAAGGAATTAAAATGTTAACATACTGAAAGTACTGAAATTTGTTTTACTTTGACTAACACACTATAATTACTTTTATTTTTTGCAGAGAAATGACATTGCTATGGCAATTACCAAGTTTGATCAGTTTGATTTTCTCATTGATATTGTGCCAAGAGATGAACTCAAACCTCCTAAGCGACAGGTAGTGATTAGTGACTGTCATAAATTCGTTTTATTAATATACTCTTTCAAAGGACGTCTTGACAAACTTAAATTGACATAATTATACCATGGCATATATGAAGTACTCACATGTATGCATGAGTAGAATTATTACAAAAGAATATGAATAAACAAGTAGAGTGTATGTTTGTGGGCATAAATATGCTCTGGACCCTTCTTAGAGTCATTTTAACCTTGCCTAACCGCTCAGGTTGAAATGACTAAGAAAGGTCCAGAACTTAATCATGCTTAGCAAAATTAACTGTTTAACTACTACAATAACCTTGGAAGGCATTGAGAGAATAAAAAACTGAAAAAGATTTTAAAAAAACAGCCTGAACAATTACACAAGTGTGGGAGTGGGCTAAAATATATTTAGCTTGAAAAATATGCCATAATGCCCAATAAATTTGTAATAATAACTTTAACTGATTTGTGCATTGTAATATTGTCATCTTCATATCAGGATCCAATTCGTCAGACAGTGGTTGCTCCTGATCAAGTTCAGTACTACTTCCACCTTGCCCAACATCATGCAGTTTCAATGCAACAGCAGCAACAACAGCCTCAGCAAGGACAGCAGGCGCCACAAGCACAACAGGCGCAACAACAGATAGCAACACAAGTGCAACAACAGCAAGTGGCAGCCAGCACCCAGCCTCAGACTATTATAACTGGTGTGCCAACACAGCAAATTGTCACCATGGCAGTAAGTTACATTTATCCCCAGGAGTAGCAAAAGTTTCACAACATTTTGATAAAATTTAATGGTTCTGATTAAATCATGGATGTAAGAACAACTTTACAGTGTATGTGGAAATGTTAATTCCTGCCAAAAAGTAAAGATGGCAAGGAAGCCCTTCTTAGCAATGTGCATTCATTCATGCATCTTTTGTTTCAGCCTGGACAGGCTCAGATGCTACAGAACCAACCACAGGAACAAAGTGATGTTCAGTATCCGGTTAGTTAAAAGCCTACTACTTTACATGAATTACAGTCAACTCGCCGACGGTCCAACTTGCTGACGCCAACTCACCGACGTATAAAATCGAGTAGAGATGTCAGCGAGTTGGTCCTCAATCCAATACAACTTAGTTGACTGGATACCCTTTACATGATATTTGAGATCTATTTATTTTTTCCTCCAAATGAGTATTTTCAGGCTTTTCTTATGATTGTAGGGATACAGCCCTAACCCTCCTGAACACAAACCTAAGAGAAGAATTGCAAATTGGATACCTCACAATCAGCAAGAATAAGGTTTATAAGCTGGGCTTTGGCATTCCAAATTGTCTGAGAGGGTTTTGGTTATCCTTGGGGTTATTGATGTCAATACACTCAGTGAAGTCCACAAACAGGGACAGGGGGGGAAGTTTTTTTATATCTTTTTTGTAATGTAATTGGACTACATTATCTTTTAACAATCACTGGGTTCTCTGTCAGTTTTTGTAAGCTTGCACATGGCTTTGCCTAAATTTCTTACGAGAGAGAAGATCACCACGGAATTAAGAACATGGCAAGGCAAATCCTGCCATTGTTGTTGACATCACTGTTACAACTGTACATTGTCAATGTTCAAAGTACAAATTTATAAGATGGTTAAGAAAATCATAGATAGTTTAATCAAACAAAGTTATGTTCCTCTGATGAACAATTATCACTCTTAATTGTTTTACCTCTGTTATCAACAGGTCCATTTTAACTCTCCACAATTGCAGTACCTCCGTATGCAGCAGATTCAGCAACTTCAACAACAGCAACAACAACAGCAGCAGGCACAAGGCCAACAACAAGCGCAACAAACAACCCAACAACAACAGGCTGCACAACAGCCTGCACAAACAACTGCTGAACAGGCACAACAGCAGGCTCAGCAGCAAGCGCAGCAGGCCACTGCTCAACCAACGGAGTTTACATTCACTGCCGGAGGACAGGTAAAAAATGACGCAGGTCAGAGGTATTATTTTAAAGGGGGTACGTTTCTAAAGAAACTGTGGCGCTGCGTCGGTGGAATAGTAAAACAGGGTAATTTATTATTATCAATTGAGTTGATAACGTAGATTGACCACAGTAAAGAGTTTCAAAGCTGACTTTACGATCGTTAGCCCTTCGTTAGAGCTTAGAAGAGCTTTAAACAATTTGTTATATATTTTCATCATAAAAAATACTTGAATAGTATATTTGGATGTCACAAACGTAATTTGTCGAGGCAAAAAAGGCAACAATGTTTGGTAAAGAAACAAAGATGGTAGAAGGCGTAGAGTATTTCATATTTATCACGACTGAACATCGATAAATTCAGGGTAAACTTAACCAGGTGAACAAACCAGGGAGGTTTCACAACTGTAGCTTGTCAGAAATATGGTTAGTCAGAAGTTTGTTGAGCAATTCTCTATGCAGTATCAAATTCAGGAAAGGTGCTGCTTTCATTTGTGAAAGGACTTTCAACAACATTCCAATGTTGCCTTATTTGAAATAAGTTTCGTGTAAGTAAATCACCAACCGGAAGACGGATACGAGGTAAAAGACTTACATCCATCGTGAGACAAATGAGTACATTTCTCTTTTGAAATATCATTCAGTGTGTGTACCCTCTTGTTTTTTTTCACTACTAACAGATTTACCAGCTTCAGCAACATCCACACACTGGCGTTACTGCCGTGGCTGTAGCCGCACCACAGGGAACTTATATTCAGCAGCAAGGCGCCACAGCAGAACAAGCCTCACTCACAGCTACTGAAGCACAGCAACAGCAATAGGAAGGTAACTAAACTTAACCTTTTATAATATAACACATTAAATGTTTATAGAATTTCAGTCAACAGATTGTACCTCAATATGCGACATGTAAAAAGTCGTGTCAGAGTTTCCTGAGTTTAAACTTACTTTTTAATTTGAGATAGAGCATTTACATTCGAAAGACTTGCTTCAAAGCTCTCAAGTTAAAAAATTATTTAAAAAAAAAAAAACGAAAACGTGAAAGTACAAATTAAGACACAAATTTTTGGTTTATTATGTAAAGATCACGTTCCGATGAAAAAACAAAAGGTGTTGATCATTAGCGTCGTAAGATGAACTTATCTTGTAAAACGTTACGGCGTGGCATCTCAAAAAGGTTCTGCAAAGTAGACTAAAGGGAGGAGACTAGAGTGCTTTTTGAATGAGTGTCACAAAGCCAAATCCAAAGCAATCCCAAAAGCCAATCATTGCAAGGAGAATATCATTATGAGCCAAAGGGAGATCGAAGTAAAAACAAACAAACTACTTGAGGCGCGGGAAAACGCGGGTGACCAAGTCGTGATTGGCTGTAGATTTTAATTTGATTGTTTTAGAACAACTGAAGTACCGTGAGTTTTCTGGGCCAATCACGTAAGGAAGTAAAGGAAAACCAAAGCAATGAATTGACACTCAATTGGAAGTTCCTTTAATGTCCACTATTTGATTTAATTTTCGCTGTTTGATTTTTCTTTTCCAGGTTGTTTACATTTTGAGGAATCCACTCTAAATTTATTAGAAATGGAACAATGGAATACACTCTGCTCATGTATATAACGGCGCTGTTAAACATTGGCGTGACGATGTGCTACTGCAGATACATCAAAGTGAACTAATTTATTTTTGCTGCGATTACTGCCGCTGGCTACAATAATATTTTATAAATATTTTACACATGTTGTCACGCAATCGGATAGAATATATAACGAGAAAAAGCCAAAAGTCTGGATAGGGTTTTCTTTTCCCTCAGAGTTCAGTGAGAGAAAAGAAATCCAAAGAGTTAAACTTTTTAGGATTAATGTCAGTATCTGGGGAACTGTGCACCAACCCCTCCCCCCCTAATCGAAAAGTCACTCTTGTTATCAGTTGACTGTTGTTGGGTTAGGGGTGGGGTAGGTGTGCAGATGCTTAGATACTGACAGGGATCCACAGTTTGCAAGAGAGTAGGAATATTGAGTAAAAATATTTACGTGGAAGTACGGTATACAGTCTGTAAAGATTGGTTTCCAAATTATATCAGAGAGCATTTATTCGTTTACCGTTTTAACTTTATCATTTTACAACAATCACCTTTGACGAGCTGAAACCAATCAAAGGAAAGATATGAGAGTGTTCAACCCAACCATATTCAAAGTCTTAAAAGTTTTCGAAAATACATTTACTAACGCGATTTTTTTTTGTGCATGTTTTCTCACCCCCTTGGTATATATTGAACTTAAGTTTACCTCCTACATAACCAGAACTTCAAGAAGCTCTTATCTGGCAATATTCTCCTTTTCAACTCAAAGAAAAGGAGAATACAGATAGAAGAAACCAACCTTAAACTTCTTTAGTCAAGGCAGCTTGTAGTTCATCAAGACCTACCACTTCCTAAGTGATGTAAAGGTACTTTGCCTCTGCTGCCTAGAGGTAAATCCTCTGTCTTTATCCCCTCTTTCTTCGATAGAGCGGTTTTTAATTGAGTATCGAAAATAATCCTATATTGCTTTGGTCTTGCGTTACTTCGCTCTTTGATTGGTTCAGAAATCTCACGCCACCATCTCAACCAATCAGATGAAAAACGTAAACCAATACCAACTGTGTAACTCGCGTTTTCCCGCGATTGAAGCGGGTTGCTTATTTTACTTTGAGTTCTCATTGGTTAATGATGACATTAACCTTCGTTCTGATTGGTAGATGTGATAACTTTGATTTTGGCTTTTTCACACAGTAACACGTTGGTTATTTATCTTTATCCCCATTCTCCACTAGTTGAAAGTTCTTATGGCTGTTTATGAATCGTCTGGCATCGATCGTGCTTTTATTTTGGATTGCTCTATAACATTACTTCTTTAATTGTGTCTTGCATTGTACCTTTACTAAGCGTAAACATTCATGTACTTTTTTCTTTTCTGTATATCAGCCAATATATATCTTTTCTGAATCATCTGGCATCGATCGTGCGTGAAATTTTGAATTACTCTGTAACATTACTACTTTAATTGTACCTTTACAAAGCGCAAACATTCATAGCCTTTTTTTTTCTGTATATCTGCCAATATATATCTTTTCTGAATCGTCTGGCATCGATCTTGGTTGAAATTTTTAATTACTCTATAACATTACTACTTTAATTGTACCTTTACTTAGCGTAAACATTCATAGACTTTTTTCTTTTCTGTATATCTGCCAATATATATCTTCTCTGAATCATCTGGCATCGATCTTGGTTGAAATTTTGGATTACTCTATAACATTACTACTTTAATTGTACCTTTACAAAGCGTAAACATTCATAGCCCTTTTTTCTTTTCTGTATATCTGCCAATATATATCTTCTCTGAATCGTCTGGCATCGATCTTGGTTGAAATTTTGGATTACTCTATAACATTACTACTTTAATTGTACCTTTACTAGGCGTAAACATTCATAGCCTTTTTTTTTTTTCTGTATATCTGCCAATATATATATTCTCTGAATCATCTGGCATCGATCTTGGTTGAAATTTTGGATTACTCTATAACATTACTACTTTAATTGTACCTTTACTTAGCGTAAACATTCATAGACTTTTTTCTTTTCTGTATATCTGCAAATATATATCTTCTCTGAATCATCTGGCATCGATCTTGGTTGAAATTTTGGATTACTCTATAACATTACTACTTTAATTGTACCTTTACAAAGCGTAAACATTCATAGCCTTTTTTCTTTTCTGTATATCTGCCAATATATATCTTCTCTGAATCATCTGGCATCTATCTTGGTTGAAATTTTGGATTACTCTATAACATTACTACTTTAATTGTACCTTTACTAGGTATAAACATTCCTATACTTTTCTCTATATATCTGCTTTCCTCTTATTCTTTCCTCTTTTCCTTTTTTGTCAAATCTTTGTGTCAAATGACCGCTATTTTTATTATGCATTAAAAGCTATTTACAACTTCACTGGAAAGATTTCGTGCTTTTTTTTTTCAGCAAAAAATGGCTGTTTCTAGCGCTCTGACTTGGTGCAAGTAGACCTGTGAACATCTAACTCATTCCCCATCGTTTGCGACACATCTCTTCTTTTGATATTTGCGAGCGAGCACAAGAAAGATGTGCGCAGAGTGTCTATGCTCTGCAGTGCTGCTGCACATTCATAACCACCAAATCTGGAACTGCGGCGAGTTAGAACGAATATAATATGGTGTTGTTAGTTCGTGTTGCCACGTATACGCCCTGTATGTTTAGACTCAAAACCGGAGGAAGACTGGTTCTCGAGTACGACTCCATAAATGCTCGTAGACTTTCCGTGCGATAAATCATTGTAATGTAGACCGTAAAAGTTAAAGATATCTCGGGAAGTGTGTTCCCGAAGAGCGAAAAAGCGAAACGGAGTGAGTCGTACCACGAAAGGAAACTGTTTGTTGCATGTTTTGCGAAGAGGTTAACTAGTACGTCGCCACTCGATTGCATCTACCTAAATTTTTCCTCGCTTGCGATTAAGTAAATCTAACGAGGGCTTTCCCTATAAACGTAGCGTGAGTAGCACAACTGACCAACAGAGGTAAAATCAAAGGAGCTATTATTACGCCATATGTTATTGTGGTGAAATAGAAAGGCACAAAAGCACGAAACAGGCGGTATTAAATCAGCAGAGACCACAGATAATTTGGTTTTATCAACTGAGCTGATAATGTAAATTGGCAATCGTAAAGAGTTTCTAAAGCTGACGTTTTTCGATCGTTAGTCCATTATCAGAACTTAGATGATACAGGATGGGGAAGATTGGATGGAGAAGATTGGAACGGACTGCAAACAAACTTGACAAATGTGGGCTAAATTTTTTAAGATACACAAACTGTGACGTAACTTATTCGAAATCCCGAGTATGAAGTAATAGAAAAACTGAATTCACTCTTTTTGAAAGCTGAAGACGACTATTTCAATCTTACCATCAAACCTACTATGCTGTACTTTTATCAATATGTGGTCTAAGTCAGACTCTTTTAACACGAACAGAAATGCGAAGTCTTCATACGAGTGGAGATTGGGCGGAACTTGATTGTTGACACCATTCCCCTCTCTATTTTCTTTACACCGCTATCTTCCTCTTGCGTCAAAGGAAATCTTTCTCTCACCAAGTTTAGGCTTACATTACCTCGTTATTGACTTCTTTGTTTAAATAAAGGAAATAAGTAATGAAATTGATGTTTATTTTGAGAAAAATTAGACAATTTTATGCAAATTTAACATAACAGGATGAATGTGATTGCTTTAAAAAAATCTCTTAGACATACACAATTTTGAAACAGTTATTTCGAAACTGTTTAGAGGTTAAGTCTACAGAGGTCAGGGGTGGTCTATAGCTTGTCTCAGCAGTGACCTTACAGCGAACATCTTGCTTGGTAGTTTGCCTTTGATCTGGTTAAATAGACCTCCATCAACTTTGGGATAGAGAGTACACTTTTAATACGAGGGAATTTATCGAACAGTAGGGGTTTGAATTTAGCATGGAAGACCATGTGATCTTTTTCTAAGGAGAAAAAAGTGATCCTAAGCACTGGAATTCGCATGAATTGTTCATTTTATAATGTTTTACTGCATGTTCTTTCTATTACAACGTTGCTAAGATACGCTTCTTTAATATTTATTTAATTACCAGAGATTTAACACTTAAAGATAATATCATTTTTGAATATTTGTGTTTTCCGTTATCGCTACGTATTCCATTAAACCATTTTGCTGTTTCAATAGCGCTAAAAAAAGTCGGAAATGTGTACAAACTTCCCGCAAAATACAACGGAAAGTGGTCAGCCACTTATAAATTTCACAACCAATTGTAACTCAAGTAAGTGGCATTAGGAAATTGCAAGTCAGATTCATTATTAGATACGGACATTTTTTCTTGGTTTAATAAAACGTGCGAAGTAAGCGCTGACTGAAAAGAGGACGCCTGTCTAAACAAGCTTTTCTCATAGATTTGCACAATAGACAGATTCATCTTTCAATCGCCATACTGAATAATCCCTTAGTTCTTGAGTCAGCCGTGCACGACGTCTTGGTTAAACAAGTGAAATTGATACGCCAGTGTCATCCTAGTATTCCGCTCGCTTCGTTCGATTTCCTTGGCTAAAATCATCTTATAACGTGGGAAAATTGTCTTAAGCATGCTCTGTCCAATCATAGCCGGATTATGGCGAGTGTAAGAGAAAAATGTCACCTTTTCTATAGAGCTTTGTAAATCTCTGCTCACGTTGCTAAGGAATTACTGTTATTATCTTGGGAAAATGGCATATGAGGACTTCTGCTCTTGGAGACAATAAAAGGCCAAGGAAATAAAGAGCGATCATCCTTTCTGACACTCGGCCGATTAAAGAGAACGTGTTTGTAATAACTTCACTGCATTCACGACAAGATTGAACAAACTCTGGATTTGGTACAACCGAAAAAAAATGGCCGCTGGAGGTGTTTCTTTTATTTACATAGTTTTGTCTTCCATCATGTACAGAAGCTTAGCTCTTCCTGCTGCGCTGCAATCAGGTGAGTATTCCTATAAATTTTTCTCTAGAGGTCAAATTTGACGAGGGTTGCTAATTTTAACTCATATCAAAATTACATTTAGGGAGTCATTTCTTTTTCGGTTACCACACGAAAATTAATTAATCAGCTGAAAGAAAATTTTTCACTTTCCGCTAGTCTCTTTTGGATTCAGACTATTCTCCAAACTTTTGAGACATTTTCTGGATAATCAAACAACAGCTACACATTTCCTCTAGTCATCTTCTGGATTCATTTATGTGAAATAATTAAATTCGACTCTGAAAAGTACATGAGTGGGAACCTATCTAGCAAAGTTTATCGTCTAAAATAAAAGTGTAACAATAGTCAAATGTCAAGAGAATATAAACTGCAGTTTATTTTCTCTTGTAAATGTTCATTAACTTTCTCAGTGCCTGGTTGGCATTTTTGACAAGGTCTTGACATCTTCGACAAGAGAGCGTCCTAAAAAATAATTATAAGAAGAAATAAATAAATAAAACAAAATCAAGAAAGGAAAAAGAAAATTTCAAAGGTCAAGCTGATAACAAGTCTTTAAGCCATTGTCGGTAATATCTCTAGATGTGACATTCAGGGAGTTTATTGACCTTTTCAAGACAAACAATTTTGACAGGGAGTACTGTAAAGAGAACAACAGCAAACGGTGAAGGAACTGATTTAACATCGAGTTCATTGCCAGGCCTGTTTAACCTGACCAGGAGCCCATTAATGGCAATGGGCTCCTGACCTGACATAAATCACTGATAATCTGTACATGCATTCAGCTGTGATTACAACACGGAAAAGACCGATTGTGTTTTCTTCAGCCTCAAGGCAATATCTCCTTAATTTCTAAATCAACTTTCTTTAGTGATTACTCACGTGAAGACACGTCTATCGAGGCCATTCTCAAACCTTCCGGGGCCGCATTAAGTCTCTAATAGCACAGAAGAAACAGTGCTGCTCGCGCGTGCAATGACACTCGAGTAATTCCCACGCACTGCACGCGCGAAACACGCACGCGTCACCGACCTATTACTTCCCTAAACTTGAAGAGTCAAAATGTTTTGTTTACCTATCTCCATAAAATTCAAGCGTTGTGTAAGTGAAACTGTTTCGTTTTCGTCTCAGTTTTTTGCGTTAACTAATTGTGCAACACACATAACAAAGTGCACGTTGATTAATGTTGCCTTAGAGCGGCAAGAAATTAGTTCTGTGTTCCATACTTCATTGAAGAAATGTGAAATGGTTTCCGTGTTTACATAGCCTGATGTAAACACAGAAACCATTTTACATTTCTTTTATAAAATAACTAATGAAAGAGGAACGAAAACCGTGTTTACATACGCTCATGTAAAATGGTTTTATGGCCAATCAGAGCGCGCGTACTATTTGAATTATTTTATAAAAGTAAATAAAACTCAGTATCAGAGCGTCGTCAAGGCTGGCAGAGAAAGATCAACTGGAGTAGAGAAAAAGAGGCCAATCCACCACTATAAAAACTCTTTCATCTTTTCAGTAAAAGGAAACAATGAAGAGGAGGGACTAACAAGTCATCTGGACAGAGCCAATAAAGGTTACAACGTAGCACAATAGATTGCCTTTTTATTGAGCGTCGCAAAGCCAAAAACCAAAGTTATCATGACAGCCAATAAGGAGAAAGGAAAATACCTTTAGTACCTTTAAGAGCCAATGAGATCTCAAAGTAAATTCAACCAAACTACCTTAAGCGCGGGAAAACGCGGGCGACCAAGTCGTGACTGGTTTTAGTTTTGCATCTTATTGGATGAGAAAGAGCACAAATTTTCTAGATCAATCACAGAGAGAAGTAAAGCAAAACCAGAGTGATTTCGGATCACTTTCGACACTCGAACGTTTCAGCAAAGAGATACAAAAACTGAAAAATTGTCGCTGAAAGCAATTTTGCATCTTTAAAATGTGACTGACAACTAAGATATAAGACAGTGAAAAACTGCCGTTTTAAGCTTAAAATCATTATTTTACTTTTGTATCGATAAGATTTGAATTTTGTGGAAAGTTTTTCGTCTCGAGCATTGGTATGTGATTTTAATAGTTTAAACGTAATCGAACATTCTTTATTTCATCATCTACTCATTCTTATGTCCAAAATTTCAGTGGTCGCTAATTCTCTGTTTGAGGGTGATATCAAGTTATCCCCGTTTGATCTGAGGTTTGTGGACACGCGAGAAGAGGGTGACGTTGATGGGGAACTGGCGCCAAGTCGACAGAAAAGGAATGCTAATCGCAATAGGATGGTTCTATGGCAAGACAAAGTTGTTCCTTATAAGTTTGATTCGAGTCTTCCAGGTGAGAGGAAATCAGCAGCATGTTTAAAGGTATGATTCTCACAACAGCACGGACCGTTAGTGGACAAAGTACATGGAACCTTGACAAAAGTCAAATGAATACCTGCCTCGAGAAAGTTTAGAAGAATAGATTAAGGTTATGACTGAAGCCCAATCAGATGAAAGGAAATAGTCACTAGCAACCGGACAAACACGAAATCTGCTTCAAGCGCGAAAACGCGAGTGATCAAGTAGCAGTAGTCACGATTGGTTTCAGTTTGAATCTGATCGGTCGAGAAAGTGCATGGTGCAAGCTTTCTAAACCAATCACACAGCGCAGTAAATTAAAACGAAAGTAGCCCTGGATCGCTTTCGACATCCAATTGAAAAGTTGGCTCGCCATTAACCAGAAATCTACACGTATTGGCTTTATCCTTTTGGCCACAAGTAAAAGTGTAGGAGGGAGTCTCATTAACAGTTTGACCGCCACTCGTGTCTAGCATCTAATTTCTCCTTACAGTATCATCCCTTGATCAAGCATTAAGGTCAGGAGAATAAGGGAAGTGATCACCAACTAAAGAAGCTCTTGATTATTAAACAAATTCTCCTTGTCAGTAGCTTAGGAAATGAATGGAGAACAGTATCTAGAATATGCATTTTGATGTAAGGGTGTAAAGGGTTTACACGCAAAAAGAGCACGCCTCTCTACTTGCATCTGGCGAAATGGTAGAAATTCTGTGGTTTTCTGATGAAGGAATAGTAAAGCATTTTTTATATATCTCTTTTACAGCTGATTATCAGATTGCTGTACACGAAGCTATGGATGAATTCCGCAAACACACTTGTTTAAAGTTTGTTGAGAGAACCAAGGAGCCAAACTGGCTGCTTTTTGTAAAAAAAGATGGGTAAGCTGATAAAAATGGGCAATGAAGAACTAAACTTTAGGAGTAGGTTTTGACCTTGTCAATCGAGAGTGGGATTTAGCCACGCATTTTTAGTTTGCCATCAGAACGACCTTCACAGAAAATCGAAATTTGACAGTAACTTCTGAAGATAAACTGTGCGGGGGCTATGGGATATGTTTACTGCTTTGGAAAACTCATCTTGGGGAATAGATGTATTATGTTGCGTTTCAATGTCAAAGCAGCTTGTCCGATCACAAGAGGAATGGAGGCGTTATCCCAAGAGTGCTATTCCAAGTAGTTATACCAAGTAGAAATTCATTAATCAAATCAAAAAGTTCACCATAGCAGTGACTTCCCGTAAAAGGTCATTCAAACACTTCAGCAAGAATATTTCTGTAGTCAGGTTGACTGTCGAGGTATCAAAATTCGATTCCATCAAAAATCTTTAACTTCAAGCTGATATTCTCAATTTGATAATTATTGACTTTGGCTAGCTCAGTAAGAGAGCTGTGTCTGTAAACTTCTTTTGCTAAGAAAATAATTGTCGATGTTGCCTGAAACCTAATTCATAAAAAGAAATTAACAGCAGGAAAATATTCTTTTTTTTTTTAGATGCTGGTCTAGTGTAGGTAAAAAATATTGGAGAGTCAACTATGGACAAGACGTTTCCTTGGGCAACGGTTGTAATCACAAAGGGACCATAATGCATGAAATAATGCACGCGGTTGGCTTTTGGCACGAGCAGTCGCGACCAGACAGAAATCAGTATGTCGAAGTGCTATGGGAGAATATTGTGGAAGGTACGTTATAATAATATATAATGGTAATAGGACCGAGTAGAGTCCAATTCCGTCTGTAATCATACGAGTGATTAACAAAATAGGACGACCGCGAAGCGGAAGTCCGATTTGTCAATCACGAGTATGATTACAGACAGAATTGGACGACACGAAGTCCTGTTATTAATTAATCACAACTATGACAAAATTTGAGAAAGAAACTAGACATCGGTTATACGTTTTCACAAAAACAACAGTTAACTCGGCGAAATGCGCGTCCTGTCCACTTACACAGGCACGACGTGTTAACTGTCCCTTTAACTGTCCTATTACACTGTCCACTTACAGGCATGACGCGATGACGCGTACGCTGTCCTATTAGTGCTCAAATCGGGCTGGTGATAACCAATCACGTTCGAGAATTCGTTATAGTTTTGATTAATATATAATCCTTTGTCTTTTGTCCTAAAGCCGAGCTTTAAATAATTATATCCGAATTATTTTCCTTCAAGTGAATAAAATCGTTTGTTACAGCTAAGTTTTTGTTCCGTTGGGGTTTTGAATAGAATGATACCTGGGCGCACGTAGATGTGGAGTTCCTCTTCGAGTGTTCGACTCGATAGCCTGTAACCGGCTTTAATTCAAACCCTTGTCGTTGCGTAAGGTTCGTTTTTTGAGAGTGTTCAAGCTATGTAATGATGGGCCCAAATCACTTGGTATTTTCAGCAAGTTCTTTGACAAGACAGTGCAAGTTTTTTTTTTCCACTAATCAGTAACAATTGCAGATACACCCTCAGACACACGACTGAAGCGTTGCTCTTTAAATCTGTGTTTAACTGCAGGCGAGGCACACAACTTCAACAAATACGATCGCGGCAAGATTGACACTCTTCAGGTACCATACGATTATGACAGCATTATGCATTACGGCACTAACGGCTTCTCCAAGAATGGAAAACCTACCCTAAGGTCGATCAGGGACCCTTCAAGATCTCTTGGTCAGAGAAATGGCTTCACGGCGTTAGACATACAGGAAATCAACGCCCTTTACGAATGCGGCAGTAAGTCTCGTGATCAGTTTTAAATTTTTGATGACGTCAGCTCATCATTGATAAGTTTTGTAGCATTGTCTCATGGGCCTCCTGAAAAAGACCAACAGTTCCAGTATGTTCCTTCAATTAGAAATGTTGATGCTCTGGAGCGTTCGATCATTGCCCAGGGGCCAGCTTTTACTTGCGTTCTCTTTTTCGTTTGTTCATTGGGGACGTTCAGCAACTTCGAGATGTTAATTCTCGTTGATGTGGCCATTTTGATTTCACAAATAGCATCTTCTTTGAAAACGAAAACGAAAAGGAGAAAAAAAATCTTCTTTGTTAGCGTAATGTCAGGAAAACGACAGAAATGACCAATGTATTTTAGACATTGGTTCCTGATCACACCGGTTGATAAACAACAGAAACGACATCATAGCCCTACCGCAGTAGCACACGAGGAAGCAGCAAAGCAACTGTAACACATTGGATATATGTTTGTAGTTCGTGCGAAGTAGTAATGGTGGGTAATATTTCTAAATCCTTTTTTCATTTTAGGTGGTATAAGCTCAAGCAAGCCTGGATGGAGTAGTTGGTCAGAATATGGACCTTGCAGTTCCAGATGTAGAAAGACTCGTCAACGATTCTGCGCTTCTGCAAACAAGGATGTAGACTGTCCAGGCCAGTCATATGGAGTGGAAACAGAAGAGGTAGCCTGCACTGATCAGGAATGCAAAGGTGAGCGGGTAATCAAGGGGTGTTGATATTATTCTCTGCACCTTCAGTTCTGCGCATCACAGTGTACAAATGTGTATTATACAATAAGGTAGTCTGCTATGGAAGATCCACTAAAGATGGGTAATTGGCTGTTTTTTTGCAGAGATAGCCCCACTCTCCCCTTGACATGTCTTTTTGCTTGTACTCGGTCACATCCTGTCTCCTCCTGATGCTGTAAAATGTAAAAGAAAAATTTGATTTTGATCTAACTGGGCATGCGCCTTATACAACAAAAATTTAATCCTGCGTTTTGATCAATACAGTACACTTAATTTTTAAAACTGTACTTTCTGCTTCTTCTATTCGTACCTTGAACCGATGGAATTAACACTTACTCTTTTTCTTTAAGTCGCACAGACCGTAGCCTCGTAACTCCCCGGACAACGTCATCTTTGCTTATTTACTGCAAATTTCGAAATATTATAACGGAGGAACGATCAAGTGAAAAGAAAATCTTATATGAAATTCTGTTCATAAGAAATCACCTTAATCACCTTTGGCAAATAACGATCAATTGTCACCATAATATCTCAAAAATTATGCAATTTAATGCACATTACAGCCCCTATAGATGGTCACTGGGGACGCTGGTCAGCATGGAGTACTTGCAGCAAGACCTGTGGAAATGGGACTAAAGTTAGATCTCGCCAATGTGATGATCCGACCCCGGCTAATTCTGGAAAACTCTGCTCTGGAGATGATAAACAACAGGCAGCTTGTATAAAAGGAAGGTGCGGCTTAGGTGAGTAGTACCAGACTCTTCTTGTACTTTACATACCACAAGGGAATGGGGCTGACCTTGGACGAAAACTTGCTATTTACAGAGTCTAGGTCTTACAAGAAAAACTAGTAAGCATCCAGTGAAAAGTGAGCAATTGTCTTTCCTGTTGAACAGGCCCTCATGATTGTGACTTTGACTTCGAAGAGGATGGATTCTGCCGTTGGTCCAACGTCCAAGTTTACAGCAGTGACCGATTTAAGTGGCAGCGAGGGTCTGGTGCAACACCCAGTAGCAGCACTGGGCCTTCCGCAGACCACACGACAGGCGCAGGTACGAATATCTTATCCATGTAAGTATCTATGTTAAATATGAATAGCGTTGTGTATACGTCATATTTACCGCACCCCAGGCAGCTATCTCTACGTCGAGGCTTCTAGTCCTGCTCAGGAGGGTGATCAGGCTAGGCTACTCAGTGAGCAATTCCCAGCGACCCAAGGCCGGTGCTTATCATTTTGGTACCACATGTACGGCTCATCAACCGGGACCCTAAATGTTCTCATCTTGGACAAGGACGGCACGTCAAATCTTGCTTGGTCCAAGTCCGGTGACCAGGGAGATCAGTGGAGAGAAGCTAAGTTGACACTTGAAAGCAAAGTGGAATTTAAGGTAAGATAATGTATTTCTCGGCCACTCGCGAGGTAATCGCTATACCCACAATGCTTTGCCAATCAGCATATTTTCAATCATATCAAATATCAAGACGAGTTTGCAATCTTACGAAGATCTTTAAATAAAGAGTTCGTCAACACTTCCACGGTTTCACCGCACCTTTAACACCCATGAGTAACCAACAGAGAATTTCTTCTTACGATATCAATGAATATCAAGCAGACAAAGTGATGGGAATAGAGAAAAAATCTTTTAGGGGATTATTTTATCCAATATCAAATTCTCCGATTTAACATTGTAAGAATTGTATGGCAGACAGTAAGGAGAACTGCAAATGAGATCTTGGGAGTAGAAGGGTGTAAAAGGAACACTTTCATCGTTTTGAATGATTTCCCAGGTTGCCATCGAAGCCATCAGAGGAAATAGCTTTCGAGGTGATATTGGACTCGATGATATTCGTTTGACTGAGGGGCCATGCAGTAAGTTTCATACTAGTTTATGTTTTCATATTTTCTTGTTGACAGGTTCTGTTGTACCCATAGGAAACTTAAATGATTGGCAGTTTTCATTTTGTTTCAATGGCACCTCGTGATCAAGTTATCTTTAATCTCCTTACCTCAGTGGTTTATGAATTAGTTCTAGCACGCTTTTGTAAATTTTAACAAGTGCTCATGATCACATTCCAAGCTGTACTTGTTTTATTAAAGCTATTACGATGCGTTCAAGTATCTCCATTAACTTTAGAATTTGTTTGAAAGTTGTTACACTTACAAAGGTTTAGAAAGGTACAACCTCGCTTGGGGAGATGGTTTTAATGTATCAATAAGTTTTTCTCTCATGAAATTAAATGCAGTGGACAGATTTAGAGAAGAGGAGATTTAAGGGTGATCTATCATACTTTACAGTGGAAGAGGTTGGCTGCTTTAAAGATAACACAAAGGATCGAGTCTTTCCAACAATGCTGAAAAACTTGCGGCCCGAGATAGATTGGTATCATTTGGAAAAAACCATTCAGAAGTGTGCTTTACTGACCAAACAACACGGTTATCAGGCAAGCTCCTCTTTATATTGTGAATGTTCATTTTGCTGCCTAAGGCTTAGTTGCCCAATTCAAGTTTTCAAATGATGCCGCCTGTAAATTAGGTTTCCTTGAATTTGTAGGTGATTTATGCTGGCTGGAGGTCCGTAAGAGAAAAACAGCACCCGAGGTATTGAATACCGTCCGAGGCAATGGCCGAGGACCGTATTCAATTTTTTTCCATACGGACCGGCCCAGACCGGTAAACAATTTAATTTTTTTTTTTTCTGCTGATTTGATTTTTTTCGAACTGTGTTCCGTATTGTAAAAGGCTGGATCGGTAGCAAGCGTGCGATTCGTTAACCGGATTCAAGGCCTGATGAGATGTTTAAAAAAAAAAATTAATAACATACCCTCTTGTTAATTTTTTCCGGCTTCTACCTCCTCGCTATGTTAAACATGTTTTCCTTTAAGTGAAGGTCTGTACAATTTTTCCCTTTTCAGGTTTTCGCTATTCAGTTTTACGCGGAATGTTGGAGTGGAGATATATCCAAGGTGAAATATGATCGTTGGGGTGCAGCTGACAAATCCAAATGCCCATTTGGAGTTGGAGCAGCGAGAATTAATGCCGTTTACAGACTTCTGTCTTAAATGCCATGATTAAAGATTTTCTCGTGTCATAAATAATCAATCTTTGTTCATTAGTATCGGAAATGCAAAAGAGTAAAAGATAAAGAAATGGGTGTTATGAGTAAGAGATGACAATAAACTATTGCATGCCAGTGAGATATCATCTTGGAGGACCGAAAGTATAGAAATATAGTCATCGTATATCAAAAAGACGTTTAAACGGGTTGCTCGAATGAAATCAACGTACTTCTTGCAAAGAGAATGTGTGCCTATTGAACATGGTTGGGTAGAGAATCAAGGGTCTTCGCTTCAGTAGAACGAAAATATCTCGTCAAGGTGTAAGGTTCTCAACTGCTCTTCGTAACTACACTTAGTAGCTGCCCTCACCCTACCCCTTGAGAGTCTGTCGTCGCTCGTTGGGGCAAGCTTCAGCCATCACTAATATCGTAGAAACCTTATCGCCTTTTGTTTATATCAAAACAAGTCAAAAACTACCCCCGCGGCTGTTCGAGATAAGTGGAGGCGCTTAATTGCCGCTCAGATCGAAGACAAACTGAAAAAAATTTGGAAAACCTGTTTGAACTTTTGACGAAAACCTAAAACCAAACGCTAAACCACGTAAAGTCCGCAAACCGAAATGAACAATCGGATCCGATCCGGTCCGGTCCGGTCCGATCCAGATTTTGTCGACGCCGCATAGTTCACATCACTCAAGAACATATTAGGTTCTTTTAGGTCATTTTAGAAATCACTCAAGGTCATTTTGGGTCATTTTAGAAATCGCTCAAGGTCATTTTAGGTCATTTTGGGTCGTTTTAAGTCATTCCTTGTTTTAGTAACTACCACTAGAGGCCGCCATGATGCCCTACTGTGTCCTAAAGGCCGAAGAGAAGTTCAAGTCCCCGAGAGCGGAAATCTTGACGATCTCCTAACTAGCTTCTGCATCAACAGTCTCCTTGAGATGTTAGCCATCACAGAGTGTAACACTTTTAGAGTGAAATGCGGATAAGAAAATTTTACAGTCTCTTAATTGTTTCCAATGGCATGCATTCCCTTGCGAAATGGCTTTTGGAATTCCTATGAATAAAGGTGTGAATTTTCACGGTAAATTCGGACTGGGAATTCCCAACCATAACAACTCTGGTTCTAAAAACCTAGAAATTCCTAGAAATTCCCAGAAATTACAAGTTTATAGCCAACAGGATTTGGAATTCCTAGAAATTCCTAGGAATTCTAACTCAGAGAACCAATGACTTTCCCTGAAAAGCTGTAAATCTAAAAAATTCCTAGGAATTTCTGGGAATTTTAGGAATGTTAAAGAATTTTGTTTTACCAAAATACTTTAAATTTAAAAACCCAGCTAAAATTCAAGTATTCAATGGGTAAAAGACCTTTTCAATCATTCTTTAAAACTACATACGGATTAATCCTCAATTACAGCTATTCATATAAAATAGTCCTAATCAATCATTAAATTTGGTTTAATAAAATCTGTTGATTCTTTTCCATAAAATACAATATCTTAAATTATATTTGAAAACCAAGCACTTTGTTTAATAACAAATAAAATTGTTTTTATTAAAATGAATCTTGAATGTTCCTGCAAACGTGACTAGAGGAATCTTGAAACCTTACCATTTTGATAGGTTTATTTTTGATTAATATATTTAAATATATATATATTTAAAGTCAAACCAGAAGATGACCGATTCGATTCTCAAATTGAAAATTATTCTAGTTTTTACTAAAAAAGGGCCGAATACATTATTTTGTTTTTACCAAGGAGGGCTTTTTATGTAATAAGTTGCGCTTTATGAATCGTGAATGTTCCCAAACGTTGTTTAAACCTAACTGAGCGTTATGTTCCCTCAAACGTTAATTCAACCCTTACTACATCTATTCTTTTATAAGATTTTGATCACGTAACGAATATCGCAATTTTTAATCACCACAAACTTTCAAAATCGTAGCTTTACAGATGGCCACTCGACCCTTGTTTGTACCAGTCAATATGTCAACTGTTGTCCCTTCTTTTAACTCCACGGTGCCAACGACTTTCTTTTCTTTTACAACACTCACGCTGTTCTCGTTTTCCCATTGAACCACAATAAAAGCTATCTTTAGAAATGTTATATTAAGCAAAACAGTTGAGAAAAAATTCAAAGATGAGCGCCAAATGGAGTCTTCTTTGTTTCCGATCAAGGGCATGATCACGTGGATCTTTTAGGACTTGTCATTGGCTAGCAAAGTGAATCCGCTGGCTTGCCGATTGTAGTGTTAAGAGAAGCGCACAACTTTATTTTGACTTCTCCGACCGGTTCTCTGCTTCTAGACGATGGATACCTTGGTGATATAAATAATGATGTGAGTTCACTCTATGTAGAAATAATCGACAAGAATCGATCGTATTACAAATGCACGATTTGTGGCCGAAAGTTGTCGAGGAAACAAAGACTCGAAACTCACTTGAGTTGTGTTCATGGCAAAGGTGAGAAATAACACAAGCCAATCACAGTTTTGAATGCGACTACAAATCGTCTTTTACCCTCATATTTATAAGAGAAGGATACCACATTAGGAAGTATAAGAGATACATAGATGATCCCAGTGTACCAGTACCTAAATCTACAAAGCTTGACCGTAGCAAGCGTTCAGCAACATGTTCCAACGCCGCCATCTCGATTCCTCAGTCAGTCGTTTCCACTGAACTTAAAGCAGTAGTAACAACAGAGTGGGGTGCGTCTTACAAAGGAGAAACATTTTTACAAGAGACAGAAGTAACTATATGCGATTACAGAGGTGCGTTGGAACTCTGGTCCACAAATAGTTATGCACTGTCCGAAGTATAAAACAATTTTGTTGATAGCTGACAGACAGAGAAGAACAACAAGTAAACTTTAGAGCTGTTATTATTGAAGTGTGACTTGCAATTTTCATTTTTATATAAAGAAGGACTTGTATTTTGCACCAAAAATAAAAGATGTAATATTTTTTGGGAGATCCAGCGATAGGGACATTTAAGAAATTAAGTTATGAAAGGAAACTTGGTTGGTACTTCTCACTACTAACAAGTCTTGTTGACAAATATTTTCAGATCAGAGTTTCAAATAAAGTAAATTGAAGACGTCATTTAAAAGGTGTTTTTTCTCAAAGGGAACATTGACTACCTCTGTCTTGTCTGCATGCCAAATGTTTGCAAAGTGTGTGGATGATCCACAAGTATTGGAACTCTTACAAAAATGTTTTGTAAGAATACAAACAGCAAAAAAAATTACAGCAATTAGTCACGAAAACAGAGCAAAAAACTGAAAAAAAAAACAGCAACAACAGTCATGAAAAAAGAAAGATTAATTAGGTGTTGAATTTTTTTGTCTAAGGCATGAAATTTCTACTAAAAATATTGTCAACAAAAAGTCTCTGACAGTGTTTGAGGCAACTGAGCTTGACTGTTCCAAGGTTTTCTAACAAAGGTAACCAGTAATGTAGGTTAGGGAAGTAACTTATATTCATAACTAGCAAAGTTCTTTAAGTGTAGATAACAATGTAATTATTGTTAATTATTGTGGAAGTTGTGTATCATGGAACAGCCAATGAATGTTTGATGATTTTGGCACATCAGTGAACATGAGACATTAATTTGCATCACAATAAACATATTTTTTGATCATGGAATCCAAGAGTCCTTTGAGGTTAGAAAGCAAATCTGTGATATGAGTACATTGGATTAATTGGCAATTTCCATTTAACATAACTGGTTCATGAGAAAATCCATATTAATGTAAAGATTTACTAAAACTTAGTTTGAATAATAAATTTCATGATCTTTAAGTTATAAACATATACATGTATGTATATCTCTTGGTAAGTTTTGTATAGCATACCTAGCCTTTTATTGAGCCAAAGTTTTAAGCCTCTGAAATTACTCCTTTTCTTAAAACCTTCACATTCAAGGTATTGAGAATTTCTTAGAATTTTTGTGGACCTCAGGGTATTAAAATTGCCTCAAATTCAATTCCCAGAAATTCCCAAGAGTTCCACACTTCTTATATTATAGGTAGTTTGTAAAGCTGAGAATTCCTAGGAATTTCTAGGGATTCCAAGTCCTTACAAAACTGGAGTCTTCCTTTCCCAGAAATTCCCAGTCATTCCAAGCTTTTTAAATCAGAGTTAATTTGCATAGTTGGGAATTTTTTGAGAATTCCTAGGAATTCCTAGGAATTCCCAGAAAACTGGGAATTCAGTTCGCAAGAGTTCAGGGTTCGCAAGGGTTCAGAAATTCCCAGTAATTCCAAGCTTTTTAAATCAGAGCTAATTTGCATAGTTGGGAAATTTTGCGAATTCCTAGGAATTCCCAGAAAACTGGGAATTCAGTTTGCAAGGTCATTTGCATAATTGGGAATTTTTGAGAATTCCTAGGAATTCTTAGGAATTCCCAGAAAACTGGGAATTCAGTTCGCAAGGGTTCTGGTGTGAAGCCGACTGCAATTATGTTTTGACTCGACCTTCGGGCTCTTCAAAATACGGCGCAACTCGTAAAAATACTCAGCGATACTACACCCGAAAACGTCTAATAAGTGATTTCAGAAGCCCATGGCCTCCTGGTTCGTTATTGTCTAACTGCTTTTTTTCTGCTCATTTCTTATAAGGCGGGAAAAGCAAAGCAGACAAAGAAGTGTGGCTCGGTTATAAAATTAAAGAACTGGTTTTAATTTGTTCTATCATTATTTGCGTGGGTGGTTTGCTTCTAGTCCTGTAAATTCATCCCTCTCTCTCTCAGCGTTAATAATTAGATTAAAACAATGAATTCCACAGCTGACTACGAATAAGGTCTTTATGTATCTAATTATTCAAGACGACACTGTGAATTGGAGCTGGGATAAAGGAATTCGAATATGGAACTAGTTTATTAGCTTTTATGATTTGAAGAAAGCGATGAAGGACTAAATCCCTTCTTTCCTTCTGGTAAAAACTCAGGAAGGAAGCTCAAAAGTTTCAAACAACTCAGGCGTAAAAAAGCTATTCCAAGAAAGCGACCGGATGTCTATACTGACCTTCCTATCTGTTTCAATCTTCAGACATGTTTTGACAGCTTGTAAAACATCTCATGTTTTAACTTTAGAAAACAATTGATAATTCCGTATTTGAACTGGGATCGGAAAATGCTTTTTTTCATTTAATTGTTTGTTAACGAGTTTAGAGTATCGCAAGATGGCTTTTAACAAAATTTTCAAACAGTTGTGTAGCTTACGATCAAGAGCAGTCGTGATTGACAAATTCCGAATTCCGAGAAATCCAAAATTAATGCAGAAATTTCAAAAATTAATGCAGACTCTGCTGCAGTTATGTTTTGGCGGCCAGTTGACAACTGATCTATTGCCAACTGTCTAGCTGCTACAGTCATGGAAACTGAACTTTTAACACACAACCTTCAGAATCTTTGCAAGGAAGTTTCTTGTTCAAAGTGCCAGGCTCTTAATACTGAACCTAAAATGCTGCCATGTTTACACAGTTTTTGCCTGAATTGCTTAGAGCAGGTTCTGCGATCAAGTGGCCGCCCTGATACCTTTACATGTCCCGATCCTGAGTGCAAAACAGAAATTAGTGTTCCTAGCAGTGGAGATCTTAAAGAGCTGCCCACTAACTTCCGCCTTGTAAACCTGCTAGATGTCGTGGCCATTAAAGAACACGATAGCAGAGGAGTGAAATGTGGAAACTGCGACAAAACAAGCACCCAAAGTTTGTACTGTTTTCAATGCTGCGCATTCTGGTGTAACGCGTGTATCACCGGGCATAACATTATTCGGGCTAACAAAGAACATCGCGTAATGGCTCCTCACGACTTTCAAGAACATGATTTTGAGAATGTTCTAAGGAGACCTGCCTTTTGCCAAATAAAGGACCACAAAGCAGAAGAGTTAAAGTTCTTTTGCAAGAAATGCGAAGTTGCCATTTGCCAAACTTGCATAGTAGCACTACATGACGGCCATCCCAAAGTACATTTGGAGGAGACTGCAAACGAACTAAAGTCGAATGTCATGTCTGAAATTGAATCCTACAGGGAAAGCATAGAGAAGAATATGACTGACATAGCAAAAATTGAAGAGGATTGTGATAGGATTGACATTCATTTCCATAAATTAAAGAGAAGAGTGGAGCAGTTTGTCGATGACACAATCGCTGTCCTTGAAAAGAAGAAACAGAAAATCATTGCCGACTTAGAAAAGGAAGCGGCATTGTCAACTCAAAGGCTTGAGCATGATAAAAACGAGATTGAAAGCCAAGTGAACACAAAACGTTTAGCACTTATCAAAACTGAAAATCTTTTGAAACGAAACCCAAACGCAGACATATTACAACAATACAGTGTTTTTGAGAAATTGCTGCAAAGGGAATTTCGTCATGACAACTCCGTTGCTCCTGGCAATGTACGATTTTGCGAGATAAATTTCAAAGGAAATCAAAACCTATTCAACAATGTGAAAGATGAAGAAATCGGTTCCCTTGAAAGCAAACAAACAGCATCAGTCTCCGGCTCTGTTGAAACTCCAAATGCACTCAGAACAAGTCACGTCGAGTACGAGCAATCCCAACAGCAACGCGATAAAGAGCAAGATGATTCTGGTACTTGCCAAGGTAATGATGGTGTGACGAAGGTTCCCGTGGCTCAAGATCCCAACGACGTTCGCTTTAAAATCAGCGATTTTGTTGCAAAGACCAGTGAAGGGTTGGCAGCTGTAAATAGAGAACCTCTTCCTCACCGTCTATTCGCTGCTCACTTAAATCCCGGCCATTTTGAACCAGTTTTATCTTTTGGAGAAGAAGGTTCTTCTGACGGAATGATTAACTTCCCGTGGGGTGTAGCAGTTAACGAACGCGATGAAATAGCAATCACCGATCATGGACGCCATGGGGCCGAGCGGGTTCAGATATTCACCAGCGATGGCACACACTTAAGATCTTTTGGCGCGAAGGGTGCCAAACAGGGAGAATTTAATTATCCCACAGGCATAATATTTGATAAGAACAGAAACATTATAGTTGCAGACAATGGTAACCATCGTGTTCAGTTGTTCAGTGAGCAGGGTGAGTACCTGAGTCAGTTTGGTGAGAAAGGAAGTCTCGTACGTCAGCTTAAAAATCCGCTTGGTTTATCTTCAGATGATGACAATATCATCGTCACTGATAACACAAACAAACTAGTTAAGATATTTTCTAACAATGGCCATTTCCTGCGTAAAATTGGTGAAAGGGGTTCTTTTATCTATCCTTTTCATTGTGTCAGGTATGATGGCAAATATTATGTGTCAGACCGTGACAAACATTGCGTCAATGTGTTTGACAGTGATGGCACTTATCTATATAAATTTGGGAAAAAGGGAGATGGTGATGGTAATTTCAATAAACCCCATTGCTTAGCAGTGAATAAGGCAAGAAACCTGATGGTCTGTGATTCTAAGAATCACAGAATTCAGGTATTTGATTTAGATGGAAATTTTGTGTCCAAATTTGGAACAGAGGGCACTGGCCCAGGGCAATTTAATTTACCAGTCTCCTTAGCAGTCTTAAGTGATGGAAAGATAGTTGTCACAGACTTCTGTAACCATCGTATTCAGATATTCGAATCAGTATGATATCTATTTTATATCACTGCTGATATGTTCATTTTGCGTGCAGCATTGTAAGGTTCGGCTGTGGATAATGTGAGCAGTAAATATGCAATCAATTTTCTGCTTAGCTCAGCTCAACAAGCACCTAAATCATGCACAATAAAAGTGAGGTATTTGTGCCTTATATTTAAACCTCGGACTTAAATAAATTTGTTTGGCATTTTGTTTTTGATCAGGAACCAGTTCAGTTAATGATAGCACTATGTAAGCTTGTATACATGTATAATGAGCTGAGAATTGTGAATAAATCTCTCATCTTATCTGGAACACCATTTGATCTATATGAATCTTTGATATCAGTCTCCCTTAAAGAAAAATGTAAACTCAACCACAGTGCCACAGAAGGGAAAATATCTCTTTAACAATGTAAGAAACAATGTCCATTGTTAAACTAAGGGGGGGTGAGGCCATGTGCGTGACAAGAAAAGTCTCTGAAGGTAGACGAGCGAGTGACCTCCCACCTAAATAAAACAGTGAAACTAAGTAAGATCTTTCAGAGTGAAATTATTTGTGTGAGTAACTTTTTCTTTCATCCAACTTAAGGTTAAATCCTATAACTGAGCTTCCTTATGACAAAAGTTTGAAGTGGGTCTATAAATTTTCATTAACAACCTTAAAAGAATATTGGTAATCAGTAAATCAGTGGTTATTACTTTGAGAACATTGTTTTCTTGGAATCACTTCAAGGAATATCACATGGCATAAGCATGCGTCACCATCCATGAAAACTTAATGACTCTCCTTTCTGTCTTTTGTTTGCAAATCAGGGTCAGTCAGCCCTTTTAAATCTAATTATACTCTATTTGGTTCCTAACTAACACTCAGATGATTTGATATTCTACCCCAATTCTTCAATCAGTCAATTGGAGTAAACTGAAACTATTCCTAATTACAATACACTTAGACAAACACGCTTTGGTTACCCCAATGCATGCTTCCCTCTGCAGTAGCTGCTGTGAATATAAAAACCTTCCTGAGGAACATTCATGAAGAAATATCGTGTTTTGTACAACTGGAAATTTTCATTAAACTCAAGTGTTGGTGGTTCAGACTGTTTCAAGACATTGTGTAGGACACATATCCTCCTTCCTCAGTGAAGCAAAATATTGTCACAGCAAAGCATCACATAACTAAGTCATCCATACAATACAAGAAAGGAAAAATCAGTCATCCACTATTGTTTTACATGTATTATAGAGTACCTAAATTGTGACCCTCCTAATCTGGGTAGGTCCAAAAAAAACACCAGTTGGATTCGCTCCCTTCTCCCTTAAAGGATTCATAACTAACTTATAACTGACAAAAGAATTGGTACTAAACTTGTTCTCCAAAGGTTTTAATGTCAAAATAGAGAAAGAAACCAAGGTTTTGAAAACCATCATACTATGAATACAAATATTTTGCTTCAAATTGTTAATCAAACTTTATAAATGCACAGACGGCATAAATAAGTAGAAAAGACATCATTCATTAATGGCCCTGATAAACCATATAGTGTGTGAGCTGGTGCGGAGAAAATGTAAGGGAAGTCTGGCTCCTTTGTATGATTGCAGTATAGAAAATTTTGAGATTATTCTGCAGCCATGCGTTCCCTTGAAGGGTCATTATGCTATCAAAATATTAAAGTAGTAAGTGAGTGGTCCGCATGGGTGACATCTTTTCATAGGCTAATCTAACCCAAAGCAGCAGGGACATTAAAAGAACTATTATTCTTCCCATTGGAGACATGAATGAATCTAAATGAGCATTCAAAGAGAGGATGATGCGGATGAAAATATGAAAATACAGACAACTGTTACAACTCATGCAACCCATTCCCCCAAGTTTAAAACCCTTAATAAATAATGAGTTTAAGTTTAAGTAGTGTGATGATACATATTCTAAGATTCAGAGTGAGGAAGTGTCAGAGTTCATAGCTTTAAGTTGACATATCACACAACCTTTCAAACCATTGTTCCACTATCAAATGGTCTAATCTTAACCCTTAAAACTCCTAAAATCTGATTGATAATGTTAATTCGCCACTCCAGCTGCTACATATTTCCTTGTGAATTAATTACAAGAATTTGGTGTCAGATTAGGATGACAGCCTCTACTTGATAAGTTTGAGTATTCTCATTACCTTTTTGCTAGATTATGTATGGATATTATAGAGAAAATTTACATGTTGATCACTTCAGGGAACTAAAGGGTTACGCCGTGTTTCTACATCTTGATCCCTAAAAAATTTTATTTTAATCAAGAAATAACGCTATTACAAGGTTTACCTTTACAGCTTCATTCTGCATAGGCGAAAAAATTTTCTAAATTTGGTTAATGAAGGAGGTAATGTCCATGTTGTGGTTATTGATAAGTTTAAGGACCATTCACTAGGATTACACGAATGATTAATTTTTTATCTATACCGCTGAAACACGTTATGGGCTCATGTTTTGCAAGGCGGGATTTCTTGAAAACATCTAAGTCGTTTTGGACCTTCGTTTGCCCAGGACGTGCTGGTAATGCCATCCGATTTTAGTTTGACTGATCGTATAAGCGCTTCTTCATCCTGATAAAAACTTTCCAGACCACAATGGAACGGAAGAAAGTCTTACTCAGTCTTAAAACAGGAACGTCAAAGAAGAGATCAGAGGTATGGTGAAAATGGCTTAGATAAATCTACGTCGTTATTACTAGTATTCGATAGAATGGTCAATCGGAGCATGTGATGAGCTATGAAAAAGAATTTAGCAACACATGTTACTTGTTGAATTAAATTTAAGCTGATAATTTAAAAAGAGAACGTCGGAGCGTATATCTAATTTTAGCTCCGCGTTTGCTGCTTTTGATTAAATTACACGGGCGTGTTTGAACTTGCACAGTATCCACATAGTTATGTTTATTATCACATTTTTATCATTGAATAAACTATTTTAAAGTCTCTCTAGTCTTTCAATCTTAAATGTACACTCTACACTGTAAGTATATATTTTTCAGTTTTTTACCTAAATAGTCATTTTTGAGTTATTTTTTGGAGGGATAGATTTAAGAGTTGTTCAAAGTGTGGTTAGGTATTAAGCTGATAGTGTTGCCTAGCAAAATATTGCTAGGCAATATCTATGACTGGGAATCTGTGATTCCCAGTCATAGAGGCCCAAATCCCAGGTCTCATTTTACCCCTCCAAGCCTTTTTCAGACAACACAAGCTCAATTTCTTTACAACAAGGGTAATGTTGAAAGTGGTCATATTTTCTTAATCTTTCAATTTTTTTTGGATTAAAGGAATCAACATTAGAAGGAATGACCTCACAGAATGGAAGTCTCAAGAAAGCCATTTTGAGGGAAAGTACAGCAAACAAAACTACTTTGTCAAGAAGTAGAAATAACCTCGCTACTGAGGAGAAATCAAAGGCTCACGATGAAAGCTTTGACTTCCACTGTTCTTTTGAAACTAATTCCAGTGCAGAGCAGGATGATGACATTCCTTCTACTCAACCAGTATCACATGACCAAATACTGGAAGGTATGAGTTATGTAAAGAACTTAGCATAATATTTTTATTATGTCTTTAAAGGACAAGTAGAAAAAAAAAGCAAATGGCCCACACTTGAACATTTGTATTTGCTGTATATAATGACAAAGTGCAGACAATTAACTATGTATTAACTTAATTTTGTAACCTAATGGTTGTCTTTATGAACTTGCAAAGATATGTTAAGGGAAGAGCTCTTGAGAGCCCACAATATAGGGTTCACTGTGCACACAAAGGAGTGCAAAAATCAACTTAATAAAGGGGGTAAGTTTTTAAAGAAACTGTGGTGCTGTGTCAGTGGGAGAGTATGACATGGTTATTTGGTATTATCAACTGAGTTGATAATACAAATAATATCTCATGAAGGGCTAATGTTAGAAATGTTCGCTTTGAAACTCTTTATGGTGGCCAATTTATGTTATCAACTCAGTTCACAATACCAAATTACCCCCAAAAATCAACTTGTTATAATATGATTTACTTGTTGTCACTTGTTCATTTACATCTAGTAGTTTCTCATGTCTAATTTTCCTGAAAGGAAGAAAACTTTTAGTCTTCCAAGTTATGCAATTAGTGAGGGCTGGGAAATAGAGTTTTAAACCCTGAGCCACAGCATTTGGAGATGTTAAATTATTTGTATTCATTTTGTGTTATGGTGGACTCCCAAAAAATTGAAACCAACCATTGAAGGCTGAAACCTCAAATAAAATGTATAGTTAATTTTATGCCAGGCACTGAAACCATGTTCTTGTTTTGTTGAGTTGAAAGGTTTTGTTTGTCTCTTTATGTCTTACATATTCTCATACAATGTAGGTGTTGTAGCATTCATTGAGGTACGGTCAAATACTGAAAACAGATTTGATGGAATTTCAAAACAAGTGGAAATGCTTGGAGCAACAGTAAGTAAATCAGACCATATTGACCCTGTAATCAGTTGTTTATGGATATCAGGTAGTAACAAATTCAGTCATTTTATTTTTATTTCCTTTTGTGATAGCCTGTGTGTAACTGTCAAGTGACAAGAAGCTGCAGACTTTGTTACCTGTTTTGGAATAATTTACTCATTAAAATTGAGAATTTGATGTAAAACAAACCAGTATCCAAACACTCTTGAAAATTAAAGCTAGATCATGAAAAATACCATTTCATTTTTTTCCCAAAATTTTCTGCAATGTATATGGCAAAGAAAATGTATACCATACACCATAGATGTAGATGACTTAATGATAGAAATAGACATACACCTTCATACATGTACATCTTGAGTTATATATAAAAAATTGGGGGAAATGGAATCAATTTGTTAGGAAAACTTTTGTCCTCTCTGTTTTCATCCTCTTTCTCTTTTTGCTTGGCTTTAACAAACCACTTGCTGGATTTCAAATGAATATTCTTAAATGTTTTCCACCACAGGTTGTCAAGAAGCTTACTCCAGAGGTTACACATGTGGTAA